TTAGTAGATTTCTTATTTGTACATTTTTGAATACAATCCTTCCTGTAATAAAGGAAATTTCAGTTTTTATAGCAAGTTACTTTAGCATCATTAATAACAAGCAAATGCAATACATATTCGCAATTACCTTTCGATTTTAGTCTAGGGCGAGGCATGTAATAGGTTTTCGGAATATTTCGATATTAACTGATGTTCTAATGATTGTTATGATGTACATTACAATCGATATGTCAGTAACAACAACGTGTGTAATTCTCATTCGCAAATCTATTCTCATTGTTATTCGCATAATTAAGTTCGGACTTTGGAGTACTTGTAGCTGGAATATTTTTATATAACGAGGTTGATCGGTGGATAAATTTTAAGAGGCGTCCAAACACCAACAAAAACAAATACCTAAAACATGCTTACAATCCTACCACGAATTAAATCGAAGTCCCTTCCTGATCGGCGTCCATATATTTGTGAAGTAAATTGATAACGTGTTTAATTAAAATTTTTCGCCCGTGTTTATTTTCCGAACCGCCCTGATGAGAAGAAACCCCGACGAATAATTGAATTTCCGAATAATGTCTTGTTTGTTCGCCATAATTCGAAAAAGGACCTTTTTCCACATGGCAAGTAAGGCCGTCTTTGCGGCGAATAACGTATCTTAATTCGCCCGCAAACGGCAAGGAAAAAATTATTCCAAATAATTTCGGCAACTTTAATTCCTTAACTCCCCGTAACAATTTCGTCAAAGCTAACGACACAAAGAGAACAAACGGAAACGTATTTCTTGCGGAAATTGAGGCATTCGAGGATTTCGAGGGAAAACGTTAATTAAGACAATGAATCGAGAGCCATGTAGCGGGCAAAAAGTTGGCAAAAACACACCAAACAAAATCTATTTTTTTTTTCGTTATAGGCATTCCTACGAACCACACACCTGCTTCAACTAAAATTTGTCCTGTCGACTAAATTCCTGAATTTTTTATGGAGTTGTCAACGTTTTCGGAGTCCATGCAACTGCCATCTAATGATATATTTATAACGTATAACGTTATACTACTGACGTTTATGAACAAGACATGTGCCCCTTTGTGGTTCTAAGTTAACTTTTGCGTCTCCCCAAGGACCCGGTTAAATAATGGCTGTTGTACAGCATAAAGCCGCACCGCATCCCTCATGGTAAATACTCGTTTTATTAAAGCTTACATACACTTGATTAAACAACATTATATTGAATTATCTTACAACTATTATACGAGTACATAATACATAACTAATAAACAACTTTTTTAATGGATTATTTGAAGGTGCAGATGCAAAGGTTCTGTAAAACAAGAACTATTAGTTTCTCTTTTATCTGATATAAAACTACCTAATAGGTATAATATAAAAATTGCGCAGATTATAGATACAAAAGGTAGGTAATTATATAATGCAATTTGCAATTAAACTCTGCAATACCGAAAACATTCCAAGTAATTGAAAGTAATTACAAGTTAATTCGAGAACATTGTCCGCAACAAATGAACTTAACTCGTTGAAACCTGCATTAGCGTATAATCAAAAACGTTTCTTTGATCAAGTCTAGGGTAATTACGGTGTACGAAATACACGTTCCAAGCAACCCAGAAATCCCATCCGGAAAACGTTCTCATCTCCTACAAAAAAAAAATATGCGAAACGAACTCATAACGAAGTTTGCTCCATTTTTCTCTGCTAATTCTAATTTTAATGCAGCCGTACGTCTCTCTCTCGTTTCTATCAAAAAGAATTTTTAATTTGTTTAAGTCCGTCCGGCCGTGCACAAACGGCTTTATTCGATTTGCATGCCCGAAACAAACATTTTTATTTAGTTATGTTGCCGATTTTTTTTGCGTGACAGTCGGGGACATTCATGGCGGAGTTCATCACGATTTTCGACAAAATTTAATCAACCGTATATCGGCCATTGTCGAAACGGCCGCGAGGGACTCTGCAAACGGCCGAAGAATATAATATAATTCCGATTCATATATTTTAAAAAGGAATAAACAGTTTAGAGAATGTGTATTAACCGCGAAAGAGATGGTTTATTTTGGATTTGAGGATGGATTTTTTTTGAAGATATTTAAGAGGATTTTAATAAAATGAGACTTTCATTGAATAAACAAACATTTTTAGAACTCCCTTAAGCATTTTTTAAGCTTATTAAAGTTTGTGTTTGGAATATTGAATGTTCTTTGAAGATTCCGAAGTTTTTATTTACATTTATTCAAGAAAACAGAGTAATGAATGAAAAATAAGTTAATAATGTGAACTAATTCCTTACGTATATAAACAGAAACTTCTTTGAATATTGATTTTATTTCTACATAACATTAAAACTAAAACATGTTATCGCAAATAAGCAATTATCGAAGAAAACCTTAACAGTCAAGAAGCCGTTTAAAGAAATTGAAAACTATCCCAGTAACTCCGACGAGAACTTTCTTTTCAGTAAACTCCATAAGTTAGATTAGTCGTTATTTGTAAATATTATAAGAAGTTTCGTATATACAGCGAAAACTTCATCAGTATAACTCAAGAGGTACGCGACTGGTAGAAACTTTTCTTTATGCCATTTGCATATCGGCGTATTTGCAGTATCCCGCGAGGACGGAAAAAATACAATTTTCATAAGTAAAACGTTAAAGCTAGCTGAAAAGTTTACCGATATTTCATTTCTATTTTCTTTGCAAACTACTCCTTTTAAATAATCAGTAGCGCACTTTAATCGTGTTGAATAATACACATTCTGAAAACACCAAATCACTATATAACTGTCAAAATAAAACCAACGTTGTCAGATATTATATTATTGCATAATTTCCACCTGAAATAAAATATTTCGCTACCCTCTTCTATCTACTTAAAATGCACAATATAATATTTCGAGCTGATAGAATTTTAAATCACATTAAGTATTTCTATTTCGATTAACCCTATATAAACCCGCTACGTGGAAGGAGACAATTTCGAATCGATGGCATACGCCCCGCCATCGAGTTCGGTTAATATTTTCTAATTAAACGTTACCTATGGGTATATTTTATGCAGTCGAAAATCGATAGAACGCGATCGTTTCGGTACGCGAAAATACCGGGACGTCCTGAAATATCCCGCAATCCTGAGCAATGGGACGAACGTATAAAAGCGACGTTGTGATATGCAGCGAACAAAGAGCGAGAAATACAATACGAAAAGGCTCAGAATGAATCGAAACAATGGCTAACGTGCTGTCAACTGAAAATTATACGTCTACGATTGGCGTACACACTCACTCGAATTGTACAGACACTGATACACTCGCGATTTTCATTTCGCATTATTTGCGGCTGGTGGAAACTGGAAAACGGGGTCGGCGTTTAAAAGATTTCTCTTATACGACTTGTACCTATATTCGCCGCATTAGTTGCTCGTTTGCAGTTTTCATTTAATTAACAGTCGTGCGGAAAGGAAATTGGAGAAAATCGCAATCTCGAGACGCTTTCGATCGTTCCTTTATTTTAATCTAATTAACTGGCTTTCCTAGATTCTACTAGTAAACTTTATAACGCAGAGCTTTCATATGAAGTAAACTTATCCAGATAAACTGATATTCTAGATTAGTTATACTGAAATTTTTCAGATCAATTCGTTATAGGTATCAAACTTTTGGAATTAAACCTAACCGAATCAACCCTTGAATACCATTAAGCACACTTCAAACACACACCCTGCCCCACACACACCGTTTCATCGAAAAACGAACGCAATATGGAAAAAATTCACCGTTCCCGAATAATCCGGCTTTTTTCCCCCGAAACGATTGATATATACGAACAGATGAACATTTGAATATTGTTTTGTGTAAGTGCACCAAAGCGGAAGAGCTACGAAAAAGTCAACATCGGACACGTGACGCTTTCGTAGGTAGCTGACTGTTAAAAATTGAAGTGTGCAGAGGCGTAATAAAAATTCAAATTTTCGCATTTACATTTTAAATGCCTTTTCATACAGGTTGCGGCGACGAATGAAGCGTAAACGAAGCGTTCGGTGAGGTCTTCCGTTTAGCCGACCATCGATAGCATGATTAGTTTATTAAAGTATAGGTATATTACCTTTCGGAGAGTTTTTTTTTATCCTTTCAATAACACTATACAGCAATTTATAAGGTTAGATTGGAGTATTTAATTGGAGAACGTTTGGAGAATATATTTGCAAATTTATCATTCAACATTAGCTTTAATGGTGAATATTGAATAGTATGAGGCTCTCAATTTGTGGTGGACTCCGATTGTAAAATTTGGTGGATGTTCAAAAATGGTGTATGGATTTTCTAAGCCTCTTTTTATTCAGGTCTGTGTCTAAAACAGGGGTTGAAATGGGCCTCTTACCCAGTCTTAAAATAGTACCCACAATAAAATGTATGAAACTGATAAAATAAAATTGATTGAGTGAAAATAGAGTACTGTGATTGGCTAGACTCAGTGACGTCATTGTCAATTAGAGCCCTTATTGTAGGTAGTTCTATGGGTAAGTGCAAATTTGTTTGCACTAAACTATATAAATAATAAATTAAATTATTCTAAACGTTTAGAATGCAATCAATGAGCTTTCATAATACCTTTACAAATCTAAATGTAACTTGAAGAAAATTAAACACATGATACTTCATAATGTCCTTAAATAAATTAAAACATTACTGCCAATTACGTGTCATATTCCAATTACCCACCATAATCAAGTTATCGTAATCGCCACCAGTGACAACTGATAACTAGTTTAAAAAAATGTAAACAAACCTTTGGAAGAGCTCAAACGAAGCACCAAATTTTTAGGTTAAGTTTTGAGAAAAACTTTTTAGGAGCTCACGTAGAGGCTCAATTACACGCATTCAATCGCGTTTTAAAACCGCTACAACACCAAAACAGCATCTAATCAATTCATAGTGTTTTATACGGCACATTTTCATAGAAAAATATCATAAAAATGATTGGAAAATCACTTACCCTAACATAGCGCCTCGCCGACGATCAGCTCGTTGCACGATTAGGCCTCGACGACGTCGAACCAGCTCATTCGGCCACGACACGGCGAATTTAAACTTTACCAACGCGGTTTAAATAATTAAAATGCCATTACTAGTTAACAAGTGGTTTGCAAAATGGCAAAAAGGAAAAACAACACACACTTACGGGCGGTTATTACGCTCAGTCGGCGTATGATCGGCGAGTCGATCGGCTATATCACGTACAAAAATACTATTTGAATACTGCTAACGTAACTATTTGGTCCGAAATCAGGTTTAAATTACGTTTTTGGTCCGCTGAAAAATCGACTGCTGTCATATTCCGAACAGAGAAGGGTGTGCGTCACGGCCGGTAAGATAGGAATCTATCGATCCGGGGATGACATGACGTACGGGCGGGTAACCGGAGGAAAATCCAAACGGGCCACGTTTGATTTGAAATTTTCCATCTCGTTTTTACTATAAACAATCAATTATTTATCACGCTTCGAAATTCAATTTATACCAGGAGATCGGTAAGTGTTGTACCAAAAGCAAAGGTTGCCATGATCATGGCCACCTAAGTTTTAATCAATTTATATACTTAAATTATATGTCCGTTTATTGATTTAAAATTGAAACTATTGTTAGTTACACTTTTAAATAATTTGTAATAAGGTTCTTTCTAAGTACATTTTATAACAAAATTATTATGAATCAAAAGGGAAGTTCAGAATATTTGACACTTGGATACAAGTGTCAAAGAAAAACTCGCTAATGTGACACTTGACACTTCCAATTCAAAGACTTCTTGCAGAATTTAATGATATTCTTCATGTTCAATACAACATTCAATACCAATTGAAACATCTCATTAAACACATTTTTGTAAAAAAAAATATTTGCTATATTACAATAATGAACAAAACCTATCCAATTGAGGCGGTACTTTCACAAGCTAATAAGAGATTAAATATTACCCTAGTGGTACAAAAATGATGCCACACTTGTCATTGAATATGCACCATTTTTGTACCGATAGCCACATTTTTCTTAACAAATTCTCAATACAAACCAATTGTTTACACTCTACTACTGTGTAATAACTTTACTCATCGCTGTAGAACCATCTCCACCAGCACACTTTCATCCTGTCCCAGACATTATCGAAACTGGAAATTTATCAATATTAATTTCATTGGTAATAATTTTATGAGCAACTCGTTACCTGTCCATTGCAGGTCTAACATCTAGCAGGGCAAATCTATATTTATCATCTACGCTACCGCCATCATAGTAATCTATGACATATCGTACATCTTTCCCGCATCTATCGACGATCCAATCGTGCCTGTCGAATGGCAATTCATAGCCCATAAGTTGTCTAATTCTCGCCCTCGGGCTGTAATCTTTAGCTTTACCACCAAAGCTTTTTAACCTGAAACAATCATCCCAATATTTATAAATTTTCCAATTCACTAATATAAATTTTGTACCGTGGGTCTCGACATTCGTTAGCATGCAAAGCCTCCCATTTAAGGACCTCTTGCCAGGCTTGCTCGTTATTGGCGTTGTGAATTTTGATAATGTCGTTCATATCTTTTTGTTGGATATCTTCATCTCTCCATCGCCAGCCCTTTTTTAACATGGCGTTCCAAAACATCTGAAATGCTTATAAAAATTATGTTATCTAGAGGGGTTATTTAACTAGCATACCTGTGCACTCGGGTACACCCAGAAGGGACTTTCGCCCTCTTTGACAATGGCTTTAGGAATTGTCGAGACCTGTCTTTCTTTAGATAGAGGGAAAGGTTGGTCGGGCGAAGGAGTTTGATTTGCCGGTCCCATCTACAATCATTGTATGAATTTGTATTATAAATACAATAACAAGAATAATTACCATATTTAGAGGATTAATTTCGTCTCCAGCGCCTCCTACAGGACATCCGGATTCGCTTAATTCAGTTGCGGGTTTCTTTTGGTGCATCGGGCAACCTTCCGGTATTTCGCCATCGAACCCTTTAAATTTGTGTTTTTGTGCAACTTCATCTCGATTGACGATTTCTATTGCGGTTTTTTGGGCTATATCCGCAGCGGATACTGTGTTACCCATTTTTATTAATCCTAAAATACCACATGATTTATTTTAACAAAAGTTAGGTTAGAATTGTAGAATTGTTATATAATGAAATTTTGTTCGATTTATAGTAGAATACAAATGGTAATATCGATTCTACGTACCTTAATAACCCTATGAAATGGTACTTTTAATTGAGAAAAGTGGTTTTAACAAGGAAAATTCGTTTGGTAACAATCAACTTATTATTTTTCTTTAAATTGACATAATGTCAAAAAAAATTTCTTCTTTTTTGACATAAATTTATTGATAATTCTTGATAACTGGATAGTTATTAAGCAAGGGACCAAGCTTATCAAACTACGCTAATACACGATATATTTTTGTTTTATTAGATGTTTGTGCAATAAATATTAGCCAAAAATTATTCTAAATACTTAAAATTCCCTTTACACGAAAAATTTTCATTCTCTTCTTTCTTGTTAAAAATCTAAGACTCTATTCAAAAAGTAACACATACTTCACTGCTTACTGTAAAATGTGTTGCCTAATTACAAGAGGAAAATTCAATTTCTGCTTAAAATAATCTTGAAATCTCTAACAAACGAAACGAGCTGTACAGATTAGGTATAACGAAAAATGAAAGTATTGATGAGGTCACGTGAAATGCGAAAACCACGTATAATGAATATTTTGCCGATGAATCTCACAAATCGATACACTGACTATAAGGTCAAATTCCCCGCAGCTAAAGACGCTTCGAACAATCGCATCTCAAGGATTTAAAAATACAGATCCGGAATAAAAAATTACGAAAGTTCGAATAATATATAAATAATAATCGCAATTCCATTTCGAAGCGGATAATCGTTAGAGGCAATAATTATTATGTCATGCAAACGTTCTCGATTCCCCATCGAAAGAAACATATTGCACTGCCCGGAGCGCGCTATTTTAATCAATAAATTACACATATCATTTGCGTGTATTAATTACCAGACGTTCGTGTAATGATAAATCGTATAGCATGTGAATGATTACCCATCTTAAACTGGCCCGACTTTCTTTTTTTTTCCTAATACGGTGAGATAACTAAAATTTTGTATGATTTTTTTTTTGTTATAGAGTAATTAATATAACTATGTGACCGATTAATTAAACTACAAGTTTACATTTTATACTCCAGAAGCATTAGAACGCTCCAGAAACTTTTAGAACTGTTTGGAACCATTTAGAACTATCTAGAACAATTTAGAATGTTCCAGAACCATTTAGAACTGCACTAAAAAAATTGTAAAATTTGTAACTAGTTTCTTGCTAATTAATCAGATAAAAAAACGGAATGCGACCTTTAAAAAACCATAAATTTAATATCTAATAATAACGCAGGGATATCAAGAGGAAATGAGAGAGACCTCTTTTCGTTTACTATCCGCGATTTTCGCGTCTTCCACTTCTGCGGCGTTTTACGAAAAAGAAAAAATGACGAAACCATTTCCCATTGTTTTATAATTTTAATATTGCCAAGACCCATTTAAATCATCGCGATTTTTTTTAATAGCCATCGCACAATTTCGTAGTGTGAACAATTGAATTATTTTTCTCGTTGCCGTTCCGGCGCAAGTGTCAAGGCGAAACGGAATTAAATACCGTTTTGTTGCTACATAAATCGAAAGTCGGTGCATTTGTAAGGCTAATACAATAAATTAATCGCGGTTTATGTATAAAAATAAGGTAGTAGATTTGTAACTGTTTCCTTTGTGATAAAATTATTGATGAAAATTGGGTACAGTTCGGTAGGAATAGCTGAAAACGTGGAGAGTATAAGATGCGCATAAGGTTCGGAAGATAAAGAAATTACACAAGTAAAAAATCCGACCGCGTCAGGCAACAGTTGAGCACCGGAAACGTTCTCGCTACATTTTACGTAAGGACTAAATTGCAGAAGACGATTCGTCTCGAACACGGCACGATTTAATCATCGAATCCCTCGATTTTCAATTATGGCAAGATACCATCTAGCATATGGATGTCATTCCGGCGAGGCATTCGCACGGCGAGAGTAGGCTCGCGATGCCTCCCTCTTTCGAAGGCTCGTTTCAGTTTAATGTTCATTCGCCCGATTCCGATCAGAAATCCATAGCTCACCGGATTCGTGTGTCATCCTCACTTTCTCTACGACGACCTCTCTGACCTAACGCCATGGGAAAGTTTAAAGTTTAGGCTCGTAGAGAACGTAGAGCGCTCGAACACTTCCACGTTTGCGCGCATATTTTTGATAGATATACACCGGCTGAACGATCGCTCGTTTTGTGCTGTTTTGCATAATCGGTTTGGAGTATTCCTAATTAATTAATTGCCTCGGCACGTTACGGAGATTTTTTTTATTATCTTAAAGCGTTTTCCTTGTTTGATTTGGTATTTTTTTATTATTTATTACTTTCTCTTTAACCTATCGAATTCTACTAACTAAATTGAATAATTCTATTAGTGATACACCTACAACTTGTAAAAATTTTCTTAGTCCACTCGGTAAGATTGGAACGCATAACTTATGCATGGATTTTCAAGCGAGAAAGTGAAAAACACACACATTTACGTGTATGCAATAACTGCCTGCATTCGAGTTCAAATTCTATCAAACACAAACCGAATAATGTTAAAGGTTATAGAGATGCAAACACGTTTCAAATTCGCGTTAATTGGCTTGTTTCGCGTTACCAGACAAGTAAAAAGTACTTTTATACCTCATTACCTAATTACCTCTTACCGAAACTTTCCATTACACGCCAATTAATGACACGAAACTATTGATTAATATACGAATAACTTCGACAATTATAACAATAGCATAAATCATGGGATAGGCCCAGATCGATTATTATAACGATTTTCCAATCGCTTTCGAAACGGACTACAAAGGCGCTAAGGCATTTCTCCGGTAACGTTTCCCAATAAATCATACGCTAAAATTGTATAGTTGAATAAATATTTAACAACTACTACAACCTGCGAAATAACATTTGAATGGATCCATTGTTTTAGCAAAACTTGGAGTGTGTCATGCCATTCGGTTCGTGACTGGAAATTTCGAAATTTCGTACATTTTTATTTTCGACTATACATCGAAGGGATGCGCGGCTCGGATATGAAATGTGCACACGATCGTTGGGAACTCTTCAGATACGATCTCGTTGAACTTTTCGAATATCGCTTATTGAACTCGTTTATCTACCTATATTTCTGCGACGTTTGCGGTCACAAAAGAAGGGTGAAAATTACGAAAGTACTAAAACCGATTAAAATCTCTATTATGATACGAACTGGCGAGAATAAACGAAGGTAAGTTTATTGCATTACCTCCAACACACCGGCGGAGATATAGGCAAGTTCTATTGAATCGGATTAGGTATTCACCTTGAGAAACTCTTCGAACATGTTTTCAGACTTTTCGATTTCGAAGTCAATTAAAAAATTACGCAACGACCGTCTTTATAGGTATTATGATCTAGAATGCAGTACAGATGATTGGCAAACGACCATTGAATGGTACGACCTAGATATCCGATGTCGAATACTCGGATTCGTGTGCACCATCTTCCTTCTATTTCGCGATGCAAATCGATAATGCCGTTTAAGGAACACCGAGATTTCTTTCGACATGCCGCGCGACCGATAATTTGGCATAATATGTCGTGAGCGTTTGATTGAAATGGAAAATTGCCCGTTTTATGTGGAAATTATAATAATTAGATTTACTATTAAAAAGTACTAATAAAAGTTTCGATCTAATCGACCATCGATAAAGGAAAATTGAGCGAAAATTTATAAATTACAAACCGATTTTAAAATTATAGATATTTAATACATTCCTCTATAAGATTTTTACGACATCCTTTAGCTATTCTTCGCAGTATTTATTAGCATAGAATTTTGCAATGTCCGTCATGTTAAGCACACAATTTACACATCAAGATATACTTGTAATAAATTCGCTTTGTCCTAAAACGAAATAGTAGGAGTTGTATAATCGGTATTACTTTATAATTAGTCATAGAAATATGTGACAGCCCATGCACATCTGTCCATTCGACAAAAATTGTAATTAATTCAATAGAATATTTGTAAGATTTATACCACAATGAACGAATCGGTTTCTACAGGTAGTAATTTGGAAAAAAACATCATGCCCACCGTTATTTATAGCGACCCACGAGTTTTATTCATAATTAATCGAACGACACAATGCAAATTTAGAATTGTTATTTAACTAGCTGCGAAGATTTATCAAAATATCAATATTAACATTCTCGGAATTATTTGCATACCGCCCGAAGATATATTTTTATTTTTAACAAAATTTGGGTAATAAATTACCATTTTAGCTCAAAACCATTAAATTTACAATTTACATCACAATATCCCATCATTAACAAGCTGTTTAAATGATTCTCGTTTTTTAATTTTTATTAGATATAGAATTCGACAGGTATATCCGAGGTCTCCAAGGTCATAGGAGCAATATGGCAATGCTTCTTTTCCCTACAAAAACAAATCTATATATTAGTAATCCTTTGAATTGCTTTCACAGCTTCTATAGGTAATTAAAAAATTTTAATTAATTGTATCATTTCGTATAGAAAAATAATTCTCGACGAAAAATCGTAAGTTGTTTACATTTCAAATTTAATAAGGCATCATCTCTGTTGACAGCTTCCGATTTCCGAGAGTAAAATGACGCTCGAAACGGTAAAAACACAACGAAACTGAATTACAAGTGAAAGCAATGTGGGTAAGTAAGGTCGTGCTTTTGTATTAGTTCATAATACTAAGTCGAGGATTTTTTAATCGAAGCAGGACCGGAGGTTATACATCGATATTAAAATCACCTTCGCATCCTCAACTGAAATTAGCGCTTAAAAGCGCACCGTTCAGCTCAAATCGATCGGATGTTTCAACGAGCAAAGAGGCCCAATTTTTGTTTCCAAATCGTTTCGTGCAACAATTTTCTTGTGATATGTGAGAATGCAGCTGGCGCCTATCCTGGTCCTGATCACAGCATTTAATGATGATGACTTGTCGTTTCTTCGTTCTCTCTTCGATGTTCTTCCTTCTAATCTTGCGCGAATTTGTTCCCGTGTGAATACGCGCGCCGCATTTAGGAATTCGTTTTTTTTTCCTTCAGATTAGATGCAGATTTTGTGCGATCAAGGATGCGCACGATTTTCGCCGTATAAGAGAAAAAAGCTGACACGATATAGTCGAATTAGTCGCTTTTGATGGATTATATCGAAGTGGAGTAACGCGTTTGCACGCCTGTCGATATTTTAAACGTTTCATTAATTAATTACCAGAAGAACGCTGGAAGGGTTTTTTTTTTCTAAAGCGGTGCTATAAATCTAATTTTACATCTAAAGAAAATGATTTTATCTACACCATCTATCCCAAATTAGAAAGTTGCCCAAAGAACAATGTCTTGCTCGGTGTATGTCCGATTGTTATTGGGATGTATTGTGAACTTTAATTGCAATTACCCGGTAATTAAATGGGAACTTTTTAGGAGAAATTTCATCTATCCAAACATGTAATAAATTGGTTCCTGCTGATTCTGCTTTCGGAATAGTTCATTAAAGCGCAATTTATGTACATACCTAGATGATACCATTTTTTTCGCATACTTGTATGAAAATATAATTGATTGTAGATATCAATCAAGATTAATATTTGAATGATTTGATTTACCAACATCCGTTCACGTCAAAATAATGCATCAGTAGTCGAAAATTAATTACAACTACCTGCCTAGTTAATTAATTAACTATATAGGTATAAATTTTTAATGACCAACGTTTACCAATATCTCATCTCGAGGTTAAATGATTAGATTATTAACGAAATAAATCTCCACATAAATAAAATACAACCGGCCTTAAAAGACCTATAATTTTACAATTAGACATTTTCCCAATTAGAACAAACGTAAATGTTACACCGAAAAAACACTGCCTTATCAATTGAAGATATCTCTATTTATTCGCAATCAATCACCGGCATATTATCTTGTAATATTTGCATAACCCATCGTTGAAATCTCTTTTATACCCACCTATTTTGTAATACTTCTCGCTTAATTGATCATTGAAGTCTATTTACATTTCAAACTCTCCTATTTGTAATCTTCAAAAAATATATTTCGCCCGTTTGTTAAGTAGCAAATCCTCATCAACAAAACACATATCAGTAAAAATCACTTTTACTTTCGGCATTTCAGACGAAACGCTAGCATTCCTCGGCGAATTCACTTAGCATCGGCAACTTTCTACGGAACGTTGCATCGCCAGTACACCGCAAAAGTTAATTCTCAAATTATAATTGAATTACGCATGCAAATATGGTAAATAATCTAACGGCGATGCCACATCCGTATCGAGATGAGTCAAAGGAACGGCGCGGGCGCAGGGACGGACTCGGTTTCCGCTCGAATTCCATTATTTTTAACGCGGCTTTAATGATAAACTTAAATGGCGCAGAAGGTCGACGGGATGGCGAAACGATGATCTCCATCTCCTCTACTCCATGCACCTATATACCTAAAAAGATAATCACGTAACAGTTCTCACGATGTGTAGTAATCGTTAATATAAAATAAAATTAATGATTAGTTCGTAATGTAGCCGACTATATTTAGTAGGTAAATTCGTACCATGGAAAAAGAAAATTTTCCTCGACTTTTTCTATTGCCTGTAATTATATTTGCGCTAATTCAATTAAAGCGCCTTCGTTTACTTTAAAGCATGTTGCAGAATTCGTTCATGAGAGGAATGTTCTCAGATAACATCACCGATTTGTTAAACAATAGTAGATTTGTCATTAATTCTAGAAAATCGTAAAATATCTCTTCTTCATTTAATCGCCCATTTAGAGAGGGTTTTAAAATACAGCGTTGTCCTCCATCCCGGTGATTAATCGCTCTTTAAAATACCTCTCATAAATATTTATTGTCAATTTCTCGATTCTCAATTCTCCTACGCCGATGCGAACCCGTTATATGTATGTAGATAATAGAAAATAAAGTTAATAAAACCGTCCGTGACCGGTTCGCCCTGCAAGGCTACCCGTACATCAAATATAATCTGCACAATATATCACTCATCCTTTACCATTTAAACAGCAATTTAAGCTTTAATTAACGTTGGGTTTTGCTTCATGCCGATGCTTATCCATCGAAGAATTCCGTCGAAACTTATAGGGACATAGAACAGGAAGTTTTGAAGTAGGAGGTCGATAAATATCGTTCAATTACATTGGTTTGAGCAAGGTTAAAAGAGACGAAAAAGCGTTCAATTACTTAGATTCTAATGTACAAAATGCATCAATTGTTAACTAAATTCAGGGTATCTTATAGATTTATACTATTCACACATTCATCGGGTATTCTTCTCCATGAGTATTTAGCGGGTTATCTAACAAGTTACGTGCAAAAGCGCGGCGTTTTTGAATTTTTCGATCGTTGAAGAGCCCATCCTTGCGACGCTCGTCTTCGGCTTTGCAAAAGGACATCCTTTCACTGCGGAGCGCCGCGGCAACGTCTCGTCGACGATGAACATCTTCGAGATCCATCTTCTGGGGGATCTCAGTCGATAACTGGCTTTCCACGATGAAGGGTGTTAGTGTATTGTTCGTCATAGGTGAGTTTTTTTATTTGGACGCGTTGGCGCTCGCTGGATTTCGATGCGATTTTAGTGGTGGATGTTTTTAAATTGTTCAAAAAAATATGTAATAAATTTTTGGATGTTCGCTTTGAGGAGACTTTAGCTTCGTTAATTATGAAACCGGGGTATTGTGTTGTATTATAATTGTTTGGATAATTGAGGCTAGAAGAGTTTATATAACTAATTTTCACACATATAGGAGGTAACCCTAGGTTAATTTAAATGCATCGATAATGATCTAGTTCTCACGTTCGGACGTGTATAGTCGCATTCGAGGAATGTAGAAAGGCTTATAATAAATTAGCAATTAGCCGTTTTGAATAATCAAAAAGATGCAACATTTTAATGGGCTCGCCAAATGACTTGTATTCTCACAACTTTTAGGCAGGGATTTTCCTTTAAAATTTCCTCTGCTAGAGGAAAATAAATATTTCTTCTGGCCTGAGAATCACGTCCTTTTCTTCGACACGCACGATTACGCAACCAACCAAATAACAATAATCGAATAACATTAAATCGTATATTATGTATTTACATCGTAATTATTCGTTTGAATTACCCAATACAGTTATAACAATTTATCTAATTAATGCAATTTTAAACTATTAAACGAAAGAGATTACGTCAACGTACACTTATAGGATATGTACAGAAGAAGCGACTGACGTTGTGTCAACGAATTATATAACAATTACTACAAAAGTTATTTTCGAAAATGCACTATCACTTTCAACCATCATTATTTCATTTATCTATACAAAGAGGTCAAGGTTAGCGATGGAACTAACGCGGATCTAATTGAACTGCAGATGTATAAGATTGCAGTAATAAACCAAAGTAGATCTATTATATTTAACGAACATTAATGCTTATTAAACCGGCGTTGCTTCACACGCTGACGAACTTATACACGATATCCATTTATCGATGGATAATTTATTGTGGGAAGTTTTCCATGGTGATATATTATTGTACTAATATGGCAAACGAGTCTATCAATGAATTATATCTAGTATCGATGATTTTTTCGTTCAATTTAAAGTATTTAGTGAACTTGTCTGCGTGGATTTATGCGCTAATTGTGGTTGTTTTAGCAGGAATATGCGCGGGATGGAGCCAGGCTATATTTTTGAACCACCGGCCTTTCCCGACGTACAGTTTGGAAAATATGCCCCAAACCAGTTTCTCCTGCAGGGAAAAGATCCTTGGAGGGTACTACGCCGACGTGGACACCCAATGTCAGATGTTCCACATTTGCGTTAAGGTTGCCGGAATCGGGGTAAGTCCATATTTTCACCGAAAATTTTGCAAGAAAAAAAAACATTTACTCAACCACTTGCTAACGACAAAACAACCAATTTTGTCCTTCTTAGCAACCTATACGAGAGTGAAATCCACCATTTACATATTTCATAACGTTGCATCGCATAATCTTACCTCACGGATTATTTAAAACAAATAAAATGAATATTTAAATTGCGCGAAAACTTTGCCGGGGAATTTGTCAAGCAAAACCGTCTTGATAATGTACAGGTGACCCGCGACCCGATGCCGACATCTGTCCAAGTAGCACACAATTCTCGAGAGTTATGTAATTTTTTTTATAATGTACCTTAAACACACAACCATCTCGGGCAGTAGTAAAAGTCGTAGAGTAATCGTCAGCGTGATTACAGTCATCGCGAGCGGAGAAGGGTATCAATCAACGTAAAGTTATGGGCAATTATTTTAAGAGATGTATCAATCACAATCAGAATCTCTTATCTATAATACACAAAGAAGAGGAGGCTTCGCTTTCCTATAGTATTATTGGGAGCCAGCTATTGTTGGTTTCTTCCTTGTTTTGAGCTCGTTAACCAATTGTGTTGGATAATAAATTATGAATATTTATGGATTTGAAACAAATTTTAACCACTTGTATAAGTTAAATATATCAACTACTTCTAAACTTTCAATCAATAAATGTTGAAATTAAAATGTTCCTTTATCCAATAATATGACGGGTATCCTTTCACACGCCGCAAAATTTTATATCTATATTTCAATTTTATAATCGGCTTAGGAACCTGGCTTTAATAGAATTGTCTAAAATTACATCACAGCCGATCCCAAACGTTCTCTCCATATTCTCTCAAATAAATTACACTAAAAATTGGAGCGGTATTTAACTCGACAAATATTAATCACCGGTAACGAAATTAATAGGAATAAATCATCATCGATTTAGCTTCAACACCTATACCGTCCCGTCTTAATTCAATTAAATAATTAACCATGGCGTATAATTAAAAGTCACGCAGTACAAAAGAAACGGTTAATGTTGCACGAACAGACAGATGAAAAAAAAAACGTAACAAAAACCCATCAATGACCGGACGTTACCCGTTCTCGAATTAATACCAATAAATGTTATGAAACTTTCATTTTCTGCGGCCGAAATGTAAATAACCGGCCGAATTAAATAGTATTACCTCTGCTATTATTTCTTCGTTATGCGGTCCGTTAAATGCCGTAGACAATAAGTCGTAAAATTGATTTTCACGCCGCAATATCTATACAATGTGATCCGAAAATAGGCGATGTGTTGCTGAAGAAAATTGAGGAATTTTCGAGGAAATTTCGTCGATGATTCCGAGGATAATTTTGTAATGTTCGGTGCGTTTTACAGATCCAGGACTTCCGTTTCTTGTGTCCCAATGGCACGGCGTTCGATCAGGACCATCAGATTTGTGCCGAATGGGAAGACATAGATTGCGACGTCAGTACGCTCTATTACTCCAGCGATAATTTCGATTTGTACCGATTAGGATCCGGTAAGTTCGAATTTTTTGTTACACCAACGCTAGTTGATATTTATGTATAAACTACTCGATTTTTTTTCACAATATACTTTCAGTTAATTTCGACTGCAATTCGTTACTATTAAGGTTCTCTCTAGGGTATTTCGAAAATGCGGTGTTGACATACGCGGTATGCACTATTTATGGTAATTTTCGATGTGTGCAATATGCTGTAATGCTGCTCTTCGAGCGCTTTTCATTACGAGACAACCGCGATGAGATGTTCTTTGATGTAATCACACAGGCGTAGAATATATTCGGAACCAGGGGTCTCATTCACGATATAAATATAAAAACGTTAACCCAAAAAAATCATCGAGGAATCATTACAAAATGCTTTGCAAATTTGTATAAAAAGCATCGTAGGTAAATTGTTCTTAATTTAAAAATTAATTGCGTTGTAAATAACGCAGTCTGAAATATCTCGATTTGAATCCCGGTGATTATTTTGTTGTCTACTACTACTTACAAGTGAAAGCTAAAGGACGACGCGGATGCAAAAGGTCGAACGGAATATCGCATCGCGCAAAATAATCATCACCCGTCTAAACAACTAACTGTTCCGGATTAATTGTCGTCTTCGCGAAATTCGAATAGATTTTTACTCCGATTAATTCGCCGGTTTTGACATCGAGATCATTTGCCTATAAGATTACGCGCTCGTTAACAAATCGAGGAATTTAACCGGTAGTTATGTAATTTCTAAGAATGATTTTCAACGATAATTATGAGAACAGAAAGCTTCGCCGTAAGGTAATAACGTGGGATCAAACTGATGTATACTAATCAAAAAAATATGTAGTTCCTGAAAAAAATAAATACATCGAGAACGTTTTCGGTGGCTGCGTATTTTAATTAGAATGTTTATATACACGAAACTATTCGCTTCATTTACATCTGTAATTACTAAATATTGATTATCAACTACATACAAGGTGTTCTTATTTAGTTATTGGTATTCACATAATATTTTTAACAGTTCGAAAATCTTGAACAATAAGGTGGAAAAAATTGCAAAATATAGTGAATTGTGAGATCAACATCAGATTAAATTGAATTGATACCATTTCGAAATTTCCACTATATTCTTGGTTACAGGTTTCGAATCGAAGGCGCTCAAATACGGCGAAGAAGAAGAACCGTTCTCATTACAAAGAGCGGAAACGGGCGATGCGAGACTCAATCGCGAACAACAAACTCGAGTGGTCGATCAGAAGAAAAAACCCAGAAATTACAACGCCCCAAGGCAAAACTACAACAACAACAACAACAATAACAACAACAACAACGACAGAGAAATATTCAAGAGTTCCAGTTCGTCGAATTTCTACAACAACAGAAACAACGGTAAAGAAAGAGACGAAGATTACGACGACAACGTTAATTACAATCAAAACAGGGATTACGAGCAAAAGAGAAAAATCGTCCATAGCAAAACCAGACCGGCGCAAAACAATCAAAACAACAGAAATCAGAACGACAACAGCAGAAGACAGAACAACAACAATCAAAGTAACGATTACAACAGAAATCAGAACGACAACAGCAGAAGACAGAACAGCAACAATCAAAGTAACGATTACAACAGGAATCAAAATAATGATTACAACAGAAATCAGAACAATGATTACAACAGAAACCAAAATAACGACAATAACAGAAACCAAAACGCCGACAACAGCAGGACTCAAAACCGCAACCAAAACGCCGATTACAGCAGGAATAACAACAATAACCAAGAGCCAGTCGCTCAGACCAGACGGCCTTCCACTAAATTCACCGGATTCGTTAACAATTTCGCAGGAAGCTACGAACCAACTACATCCAAACCATCATCAACTACCCTCAACACTGACCAATACACCACAGCAATCAACAACTACAAAAACAGGAACAACCAAAGGCACAGGCAAGATTTCACCGATAGTCCTGTTTACACCATCAGCACGCCCGCTCCATTCAAACAGCAATCCCAATACAACTCGCCTCCTGCTAGAACTACTGCTAACAACAATGCTAATAACAACAATCAATACTACAGTAGTACCGCGGCGCCTCAGAAGAAAATTAGCACCACCTACGATGATCACTTCGACATACCTAAAATCAAATCGGCTACCAGCACTACTCAGAATTACAACACCCAATACGATGTAACTAAAACCAAGCAGACTAGTAGTAGTACTAACAACGAACGGAAAACCACCCCCAGTCAATACGAAACGACGAAAATCAAGCAAAACTTCAACTACAAATCGACGGTGAGCGACAAAACCGAAAACTACCCCAGCAACAATCCGAAATACACCGGCACCTTCGAGAAGAAATCCACCACCCCGTACAGGCAGAACGACAACCGTCCGACGACGTTGAGCCCCAAACCGTTCAGTTTGAATTCCAACACCAACAGCAATTTCCCCACGACTTTCGCGCCGAGAACGAACGCCGTTTACAACCAAATCGCCCAGCAAACGGCCGCTTTCAACCAGAACAGGAACCAGAATCAGAGCCCTTCGACGTTCAGCAGCACCCCCAGGGCGACTCCCTTCACCCAATACACTCCAACGATTCCCAAGCTGAGCTCGACCACTCCTGTCAGCAGGTGAGGATTCTTTTAATTCAAAATATTTCTCCACACAATAGAATTTTCGTAAACGGGATTATTGGAAGCTAATATTTAGTCACTAATACTCAATTTAATTGTGTGTTGTTTAATAATACAGTACTAAAACTTAAATCGTAAAATTTTTTGATCGCCTGTCGAATTAATTGTATACTTTAGGTCGCAGTTTAGAGTATCTAAAACGGACTCAAAGATATTGGATATAAAAGTTCTGAGGTAAGAGCATCTACTAGATAAAAATTATTGTAAATGTCATCTATTAGCATCCTGGTATTGACATTATAAACGAATTAATTCCCACTTACGGATTTCTGAATTAATTACGATATTTATAGTCAATTAGCAATACATAAAACTGACTTTAAATTAACAACAAACTGCTGAATATTTAATAAAACGTAACCTTTCGACATTCGTATAATAAGATATGTATATACGATTACACAAACACCGGAAGATATTTTTATAGGTACTTATCGGACTCCACATTACATTCAACAACAGCTTGTTTAGATAACCATCGTAAATATTTGATTGCGGTTAGAAAGACTGATGCACAGATAAAGCGCGCCTACGTAGCCTTAGGCCCTAAGCATTTTCCACATAAATTACGTGTAACAAACTACTGGACACGCAACGAACGTTGAGATATATCGAAATTCGCGCAGATTATACTGCAAAAAATATTGTCACATATACTATATTAGACACTAATTTATTTTGTTTCTTAATTGGATACCTATATCTACGGTCTACGGTACCAGTATTATGCAGAAAATTTTCTGTCCAAAATTTTCTCCCTACTTTTATACACAAAATTTTCTCTCTACTTTTACGCGCAAACTTTTCTCTCTACTTTTATAACAGAAAATTTTCTCTCTACTTTTATGCACAACATTTTCTCTCTACTTTTATGCACAAAATTTTCTCTCTACTTTTATACAGAAAATTTTCTCTCTACTTTTACGCACAAAATTTTCTCTCTACTTTTACGCACAAAATTTTCTCGCTACCTTTTTGCACAAAAATGTCTCTCTACTTTCAAGGCACAACATTTTCTCGCTACTTTTATGAGCTAACTTTTATGAGCGACAATATATTTGCCGATAGATCGAATCGCTTCGACGAGACCCAATACGACGACGGCTCCTACAGCTCGAAGTACGACTACGATGGCGACAGGAGAGACGACGAGTTCCTGAAGACGGCGCACAGCCAGAACATCGCGGCCAGCCGAAACGAGCTGTCCAGAACGACCAAGTTGCCGGCGCAGCAGCCCCAGCGGACGGCTCCCGAGGCGCCCAAGACGAGCAAGCCGCAGGGCGCCCCCAAGCCGCAGGAACAGCCCAAGGGCGTCGCGCAGCAGCCCCAGAAGAAGGCGCCCGCGAAGCCGGTGAAGGACGTCAGTTACGATTACGCGTATTACGATTCGCACGTGGCCAGCGAGCCCGATTACGAGATCGATACCGAGATCAAGAAGTCGACGGTGAAGAATTAGGTGAATGATTGGAGGAGTGCTCGTTTGGTACCAGATCTATTGATTTTTGAATCGGAATTTAACGCCTTAAATAATCGAAAAAGACTTGGATTTAGTTGTTAATTATTTTCCGTTTGTTTAATTCTATTTTACTTCTACTCTTGTACTTAATTTTTGTGTGATTTTTGGTAGATGTGGTGCTAAAGGGCGCTTAGTGATTTGTTTTTTTTTAATGTAGATTCAGACGAAAGCTGTAAGATGGTTTTTTATTTCAAATTTTAGACCTACTTTTTAATCGATTTTGTATCTATTTTAGGCTTGCATATTTATTCGAAAACTACAGTAAATATAGTGTGCTGTTAATTTTTTCAAATTAATTCGTTGCATTACAGTTTTCATCGGAATCTACGAGAGAATAATCTGGTTTTTGATGTAAATGCATTTGAAATTTTAGAAGAGCTATAAACAGATCAATATTGTACAATATGAAGTATACAAATCTAAATTGTACACGATGTTATGAATGTACATAATGTATTTTAAGGTTAATAATAAAAGTTATGTTAGATATTTATTTGATTGATTTCAAGATAGAAAACAATGAATTTAAGGTAATGTTGTAGTCTGCGTACCTGTATTTTTGAAATTGAAAAAACTGTTTAAAGAAAAGTCTAATGTAATTGATTTTCAAGGGGAAATTTATGTTGGTATTAAAAAAATTAAAATGCGCAATTTAGCTAAATAGTAGAAAATTCTTTATTTTGCTAATAATATATTAAATTAATCTATGAGTATTTTATAAGTAGGTAACAATTCTATACACAGAATGTAACAGAAATAAATGTCTTAATTTTAAAAAGTTAAAAGAATACTAGTTATTAAACTTTAATCATTAGAAATGTCCTAGCTGCAACTATTTTTAATTGCTGATGTCCAGGACCTAAATTGGAATTGAAAATATCGATTTTTAATGTCAAAAATTAACGCTCTTATTTCTGTTCCACTTAGAATAAAAAAATAATTACAAAAATTCTCCAACGCATTAATTTAGTAGATACAATTAAAAAAGGTAAACAATTTTTCGCAATAAAAAGATAATATACAATAATATGTACAATTTCTCAACATCGAGGCTCGAGCACGAAAATTCAAAAGAAAACAACATTTTACATTTTACCTACAACACATCCATTCTCAATCAAATTTTCGTACTCGTCAAGTCCACCTTCCAAACCACAAAAACGAAAAAAAAAAAACATAACTTACGAACACCGCTCGGGCAACGTCTTCGTGCAAATCAGCTTCTCGTCGTCGAAGAACGTGTTGAAATCGCAGACGAACTTCATGTCCAGCAGCTGGTTCTTGTTGTAGCCCTGCGTGCAGTAGTGGAACAGCCGGCAGTCCCTCGGGTCCGCGTAGAACTTGTCTATCGCCTTGCCGAAGCAGTTGAAGAAGAAGTGCCGCTTCGGCACCGGCGTCGTCGCCGGCGGTTTCTCCGCTCTGGTGGGATTGAGGCTCTTCCTCAGCGGATAATCCGTGGGGAACTTCTTCCCGTCGGTGTACCTGTAGCTCTGCGTGGTCGATTCTCGGTGTCTGTTGTTGAATGCGTCGACTATTTCTTCTTCTATGGTTTGTTTTCGGGTTGGCGGTCGTCTCGTGAACGAATCGGTGCTGAACCTGTGCTTGTAGTTCGATGTTTGTTTGGATTTTGGTCGCCTCCTGGTGGCATTTCCGCCTCGTCTTCTCGGTTTGGGTGTGGTGAATTCGGTAGTAGTTTCTTCCACGGTAGTTGATTCTAATAAAGTAGTGGGAATTTGCGTGGTGGTCTCGTCCATTTTACTTATAAAATCGTTAATTTCTTTGTTATAATCGCTAATCAATCCATCGGTAGTTGTCGATAAAGTTTCACTAGTTGTAGTAGCTTCTGTAGTTGTTATGTCTGCTTCTTCGACAGAAACGCTTACTAAATTCATTCCTTTCATACTGAATTTTTCATCTGTAATGTTAGATTGCTTTTTGCTAGGGATAACTATGCTGTTGGTGTTGCTTTCTATGTTTTCGATTAATTTCATCAGATCCAACGGTGCACGAGTCGTGTTTTCTTGCATTTCGTCTGTAGTTGTTTCGAATTTGCCATCTAAATAGTTCTCGTTTAATTGTTTTTGCTTGGTTGTTAGGGGTTCATGTAGATTCATATAGTTTTCGTTATGCTTAATTTTTTCCGGTAATAGTGTGTTTGAGGTTGTAGTAATATCCATTCTGTTGACTACTCCTACTTTAGAATTAATTGCAGGTATTTTGGATTCGTTTGTGTCGACTTTTTCCATTTTTGAAGTGTCTTGTTCTGAGTTGTTAGTAATCGTTGAATTTTTATTATAATTTTCAGTTTCTTTAGGGGTTTGAGTAAACTCCTGTAGATTTTGTAGATTTTCGATTGGGATTATTGTGGTCAATTCAGATGTATTGAAGATTTGACTAGAGTTGGCTTCAAATTGAGGTTCAATGGAATCATCTTCTTCACTGTTTGTCTTCTGATCGTCCTCGTTTTCTTCAATATTCGTTGTAGATGAATTTTTAGTAGTTTCCACTTCTTGCTTCTTTACATTTATGTCATTTTCTGGATATTCCAAATTATTATCGTTTTCATTCTTTGTTAATTTCGTTGCAAGCTTTTCACCTTGTTTATTTTCTTTAAATTTCTCATCCAACAATTCGTTTTTGTAATCCAATCCTTTGGAAGAACTAATAGAATTCCGCAACAATTTTTGGTCTTTTGCATCAAATTTATCGGAATCAATTAATTCAATTGAAGAATCCAGAGACTCCTGTTTATTTATTGGATTTTGGGTAACACTGAAATTCCTTACGTTTTCCTTTTCCTGAATATCAAGATCCTCAAACTTAACAGTGCTCAAGAATTTTGAAGAATCTTCAATAAAAGTCGTAGGTGTCGTTGCCTCCGTTTCCAAAAACCCAGTAGATTGCGTTATCATCATCGATTCACCACGATTTTCCAACATTTCATCTGCAACATTATTCTCTACACTTTCACTTCCAGTCAAATTAGATTCTAATAATCTGGTAGTTCTGGTCTCATTCAAATCTTCAATTGCTGCATCGATCCCTGACCTCAGTAGTTGGATGCTTTTCCTGTTCAGCGACGCACTTTCCTCATTTCTATAATCAGAAGAACTGGAAACGTCAATATCATCGTACAACGTTTCCACTTCTTCGCTATTCCTATAGTGAGATCCGTACGAATCGATATCCTCAGTAGAGCTGGTAGTGGATTGTAACAGCTCGGAGAAAGGCTCGCTTTCTCGGAAGCTTTCGGTGTAACGTGGTCGTTCCAAAGATCTGTTTCTGTCGAGTTTCTTCCTCCTATAAACGGTCTCTTCGTTAGAAGTATCTTTGAACTTCAGCTTACCCCTTCTGTGCTTGAATCTAGGCAAGGGAGTTGTAGAAGGTGTGTTTTCGATGATAGTGGTAACGACTTCGACGATAGTTTTATGAGTAACAGAGCTGGTGGTGATTGCGGGATTTTCTGTGATAGTAGGAATGAATTCGTTTCGAGTAGTTGTTGTAGCATCGACGAGTTCCGTTCTAGGCGTCGGTGTGTTGTTGATCGTTCTGAGAAAATCGTAGTCGTCCTTAGCTCTGTAGGGCTTCTCTTTAAATTCCGATAATATCCGATTGCCTCTAGTCGATGGCGTTCGATCCGTTGTTAGAGTGTTCTCGATCTCCAGAGGCGGTTGCGTGTGGAAGTGTTGAGGTAGATCCGCGTCCTGGTGACTAGAATACTTCTTTGCTTCGGCGTTACGATTGCCTATGTGATCGTTAATACTGTAAACGTTCCGGAAATTGTTACCGTTGTAGGTTAAGGGCTCGTAGTTATCGTTGACGTAATCGTCGTCGATCGGTTTATCGATTTTGTCGACCAGCTCGTTCGACTTCGCGTTCGAATCGTTGCTCCGATCGCGGTGATTCGCATCGACCTCGTCCTCTTCGACGCCGGCCGGGCCTTCGGGGGCCAGCTCGTGGTTGATGGACGATATGCCTTCGAGGTCCAACGGGGTGGTGTACCGAGCGGGATTGGTTTTCTCGCTTTTGTACCATTCGAAGAGGAACCTGAGCACGTTCAACGCCTCCTCGTCGTTTCTGATTATATCGGAGTAGTTGATCTTTTTACTTTCGTCGGCTTGTCGCTTCGTTCGCGCGCTCACTTTGGGCACGTCCAAATAGAACGGATCCAACGGCACGTCCTCGTCCTTGTACTCGTCGTAGGAGCTCGGAGGCGGCTTGGAGAGCTGCGCGGACCTGATGGTGCCCAGCGAGTAGTTCAGCTTCCTGCCGCTGGCGTCGCTGACGCTCGCGCTCGCGCTTATCACCACTCTCGGCGGGGGAATGTGGTCTTTGGTGTACCTGAAACAATAACCGGTCGGTAGTTGAGGTGTTGCTGGTTTGATTGGGGCTCTAACCGTTTCTGTTCTATCCGCTGTTGGAGGGAGAACGGCGCGGGGGAGCTGAACGTCAGCGATGGCAAGGTGGGCAGTAAAGGAAGGGGCAGTTGTACTCTCTGCGGGCTCTTTTCCGTTCGGATTTCGCCGTAGCGGGTTTGCTGGAGAGGCGGCGGAGGCGGCGGAGGCGGTTTCAACGAGTGGATGTAATAATTTCTGATTGTTGTGGATGATTTCTGCTGGTAGTTGGCGAGTTTCGGAGTGCTGGGGGAGAAGTCCGTGCGGTAAGTGCTCGATTTGAAGCGAGGTACTTGGTTGCGCAGCTCTGCTGAAAATATAATAATAAATTGTGTATAATTCCACAGATACAAAATAAACTAAATTAAACACGATGTGACGCAAGGTGATGAGACAGTCGCATTTTTTATATTACTAATTCCTAACGTTAGAAAGCTCGATAAGTGCCGGGCTGAATTCGTCGATTGTTAATAGAAAATGTGAGAAATGATTTGACCTATGCCATTAAATATAAACCTTAATTATGTTTAACTACACATTATAAACTACCGATGGATCGCTGTTGGCGTTGGGTAACGTCGAATTTTTAGCACTATTAAATAACCCGATATGAATGAAACTCGTTGATTTTCGCGAATAAATACAAAGATTCTGTCGAGTCAGCATCTATCGCATTCTTGTCATTAGAAAAAAATTCTAATTGTAAATCAATTACATCTAAGATAGAGATATGCAATATAGGAAGAAAAAAAAACAAACATGTAAGTACTTTCGTTTCTACATACTTGAAGCGTTTTAATAATTATAATAAGAATAATTTATACGAGTTGTACAGGGTGTATCAATTTTTAAGAAAAATGTAAGTGAATTAATTGTTTTTTTTTTAACTTTATGTTAAACCATTTGTGTAACCATTTTGTTTTGTAAAGTGATAATTGATAAAGACAAAAATGCAAGATAAAAATCCAAGGGTAAGCAAAAATGCTCTACTCTCTACTATCTCCTCTGCTCTGCTCTCTATTCTAATCAAACTCTAAACAACTCTAATCTTTTTTAATCTAACTCTAATCGATTCTAATCTGTTTGAATCTAACTCTAATCTACTCTAATCTACTCTAATCTACTCTAATCTACTCTAATCTACTCTAATCTACTCTAATCTACTCTAATCTACACTAATATACCATAATCTACTCTAATCGACTCTAATCTAACTCTAATCTACTCTTATCTACTCTAATTTACTCCAATCTACTCCAATCTACTCCAATCTACTCTAATCTAATCTACTCCAATCTACTCTAATCTACTCAAATCCACTCTACCCAAAAAACACCAAGAATTTTCACTGTTATTTTAACCTTTACATACCAGCATACTCTCGATTAGGCTCGAACTCGGCCCGGATGCGGAAGCTCTCCGGCGGCTCCGTGTATTCGCCGGAGTCGTCGCGCCTGTAGGTGAACCCGTACCCGGGCGTCGACGTGCCGCCGAAGTCGCCGTTGGTGTAGTACGAGACGGACGGCGCCTTGTTGGTCCTGATGTCGGGCGGAGCGCCGGCGTGCAGGCTGATGTTGATCTCCTCGGGGTTGAAGCGGATGTCCGACGAGCTCGGATCGAGCACGGGGAAGTGGTGGCGGTGGCCGGCGACGTGCCGGTTCGCCGGAGACGGCGTGCTGTAGAACGGCGTTCGGGTGGGTTTGCGGGGCGCCGGAGGCGGGGGCGTCGTGGCGGCGGGCGTCGTTGTCGTTGTCGTCGTGGGCGATGGTGTGGATTTTATTATTAGGGGTTGTTCAGTCTCTGCGTTTTCTGGGGGGGTGAATGAAGGTGAGATGGGGAAGGTGTGGAATGTGGAATACTCACCTTCTAAATTAGATGAATGACTATGTCCGTATAATTCTAAATTTAAACTATAAAATTGCTCGGATTTCGTACAGTCGACTTCGTCTATTCTCTCGCAGACTCGGGTCTCCTGAAAAAATCGTACAAAAAAAGGTGTTCGTAATTGGGATATGCGAGGGTGAGGTGAAACGTTCTCAGGAAGGTAATAATTTTTATTACCTGATCGAAAACCGTTCCATTAAGACACAGAAATCTGATATCCATTGGTTCGTCGAGTTGGCCGATAGTGCAGACATGGAACATTTGACAGTTCGTCTCCAGGTCAGCGTAATAGCCTCCTATGACTTTTCCAACGCACGAGAAATTTGTGTCCGGCAGGTTATCGAAATCTAAAAACTGCAAATTTAATGAGTAAATGTAGCATTTAATTATTTTGGGATCATCAAATATACTGCTCCACAAAAGTTCACAAATATCGAGATTAATTTAAAAATTACAGGTTTTTTGATCGCCAAATTTTTTATGAGTTGTAGAGGTAGGGACAAAAAATCCACTCAGATATGAGAGAAAACATTAATTTTCGCATATTTGAAAATTTGGTGATCATAAAGTCTGCAACTTTTAAAATAATCGCAAAATTTGAGAACTTCCATAACTATTGTGGAGCAGATTATATTGTCAATTCATATAAAGTATAATTTGGAGTTAAAGTTGCAATGATTTGAAATAATGGCGTGTACTCCGTACGCATTTCTTCGGCCAACTAATTAGGTCAAAGTTAAAATAATGAATGGCAAAAAGCAATGACTTTGTCTTTTGTTTTATTTAATAATAATCGTACACGTTTAAAAATCGTTAGGCAACGCGACCGATAACCATCAATTCACCTTCGTCTAAAAGCGTTTATGAAATTTGTTAATGACAAATTTTAATTGTCTATTATCGTCGGCGGGGTTTTCGGTCGTTTAATTATCGCTAAAACCGAGTTATTAGCCTGTAATGTTCTTCAAGCGAATTTATCGAGCAGTCCTCGTATTTCCCCGTGTCGTTTTTCATAGCTTTCTTATGGATATTTCTCGGCAACTTCAGGAAGCGATAGATGAAAATTACGATGTTTAGATCGGTAAATAACGGTTCGAAATTATTTAATGCCGGGTTATTACCGAGTGAATATGAATATAGACAACCGAAATGCGTCGACCTTTTGCCATTTCGAACATTACTATGCAAAAGAGGCAGAAAGTGGGTACCCAGAAGATTGGTATTGGTGAAATTTGAGATGTTTAACCTTTACAAAATGAATCTAAAAAGTTAGGTATCTATTTTAATTAGTAAAATAATACTTAATAGAGTTCCTTAACAACGGCTTTTTGCGTACCTAAAAACGAACTAATCTCTCTACTAAAGAGAAATGCATCATTACGTAAACTATCACTTATTTTGTGCTTTTTTCTCATGGATTCAAATAGGCTCCAGAAGAATATGAACGGATACGTTCGTTGAGCAATGCTTACGTAAACGTCATGAGATCACATTGAAGAGGCTATTTAATTTTCGTTTTAATTTTTGCGAAAAGTTATTGAACATCCATCATTCCCAACGTTAATACTTACACCAAGCGAAACGTGCACATGTTATGTACAAATGTAATTTATTAACAAAACAATTCCCAAAGAGAAAAAAAATTGGTGGAATGAACTCGGCGCGTGCAACGCCAAATATCATTATTTCGAATTTAATCCGGTGTCGAAGCTATCGTCGAAAAAAAGCAGCCCGAGAAGTGTACGAAAGATTATGATCTAAATGAGTTCGTGACTGCAATGTTTACCGCTCGATTATCCGCCAAAAGAGGAAACTGCGCCATTTTTTTTTTCGTCGAGTTAAACGAATTTTTACAGCTAATATCTCGAATCTAAAGTGTCCGAAACGGTTGCGTAATCGTCCGAAATTACTTTGTTACAGTTTATAGCAAAATCGTGAATTTATTAGAGGCGGGAATGCGGAAATTCAGCTTGGGCGTGTGTCGAAAGAGTGTAATTTTTTTCGAAAAGAACAAACTGCCTACACATTCTTAAATAATAGACGGCATAAAAAAACGAAAGTATAGATAAGTGCCTAACTGTTGACGTAGGAAATTTATTTAATGAAATATGCATGAAAAATTTTTGCATAAATCATTAAGATATACTATAATTTAGTGTAGAATTATCAGAAAAACTATGATGTCAATAATTGCTAATGAAGATAAATTGATTGAATTTCGAGGCGCCAAATATTTAAAAATCTCCATCTAGTGAACGTTCGCATTAAATACCAATGCAAAATATATAAATATCGAAATTGAGTGTATTATAAAAAACCGTATACCACATATTAATGCATACCATATGGTTAGGAAAGAGGCAGGTAAATAAATAATTCTCATTTCATAATAGCTTCTCACTTTACCGGTTTACTTTCAAAATAATTGGAAACAGCTCGATTATCGCAATTACCAGCGATTGATTATTTTATCGGCGTTAATCGTTCGATATTAGAAAATCCATTCGCACGCAGAAATTCGAAAAATCCGTCCATTGTAGCGGAGAAAAACGGCGCAACGGAAACAATGGGACCGCGATCGACGATTTCGCGGGTATTTTATCAAATCGTGGGACCGTTTCGATGCGATATCTCAGCGAGATAGCCGCACAACATGCATGCATATCCATCCCGCCGGTGAAAATGAAGCGAGAATAGAAACACACGAACGAGATCGCTTTCATCTATTTCGCAAAATCGCGACCTTTCTCGCGGATCGTTGCCCAATAATAATTAAATTTTTCCTCGCATTGTTGGAATAAACAAATCGGAAATTCGGCGGGCGCTGCTCGCGATACGAGGGGAATGCTGAAATTTCGACTTTCACAAGGTCCCAATTCCTACATATCTAATTAAATTGCTTTGAAGTACCTTTGTGAAATATAACCCAAAGTTACTAATAAAAAAAAGAGGAAAATTTCAGCCGAAACAATGACTACAGAGGCGATTTAAATAATTCTGTTAAACCATCCTTACGTGTTGCGCAAGCAGGAAATATTTGACCTTCTTCGGTATAAATGTAACCTAGTTAGATCCTCATTCAAGAATTTAATTTATCGATTCGCGCCTCCGGGTACGAAACGCTCCGTGAAATGTATCGGAGAACTACAATATGAGTCTATAAAATCTTAATCAATCGATTCATTAGCTCTATATTCTTCCTAATTGCATCACTTTTCATCCTGAAGAAATTGACCTTTCGTTTTGTGTTGGCCCTTATTCTTAAACGTCTCCGGCCATATTTTTATATAAAAAATACAAACAATAATTTTGGGTAAATGTATGAAGGCTATGAAAAAAATTATAGGAATTATAAAATTCAATATGTCGAAAATGGATTACTAAACATGGAATTGGATAACGTCGATATGACCAGGTAGTAATACGCCGAGTTAAATTGACAATAATTAACCGACATTTTCTCATAAATAACAAACGAAAACGAGAACCATTCTAATTACCCGGCATTTTACTCGAAATATAGCCGAGAGGCTGCTATCACGTAACGTACGCGATTTTTTTTTTCTCTCTCCATCTCGACCTGCAGGTAACGTTATTAAGATAAACCGAATAGAAACTCGTTTCAGGCATGGCGATTTTCGCGGAATTCTGTGCACTTCGTTATGCAATTCGGGATCTACGAGGGCAATCGCGACACTAACAAAACTCAGAGTAGAGTAGAGTAGTGTGGAGTAGAAGAGAGTAAAGAAGAGTAGTGTAGGGTGAAAGAGACTCGAGGAGTGTAGAGCAGAAGAGTGTCGAGTAGTGTAGAGTAGAGTAAAAGATTCAAGTAGTGTAGAGTAGAAAACTCGAGAAGTGTAAAGTAGAAGAGAGTCGAATAGTGTAGAGTAGAAGAGAGTAAAGTAGAGTAGAGTAGTAGGTATAGAGTAGAAGAGAGTTGAGTAGTGTAGAGTACAAGAGAATAGAGTAGAGTGGAGAATTCTAATTTTTATAATTATTTTCAAAGGGAATCTGTGCATGAAAATGCTGTAAATGAAAACTCTCAATGATCAAAAGAATGATTTGTGGTTTTTGCGCCCAATTTACCAACAAGATAAAAATCTATATTCCCTTTTGCACATTCGTTGAAGCCAACGGTTATTCAGCTACTTATTGCTCCATTAACAATACGGTTTTGATAAATAGTTTAAGATAGAAATCTCATATGCATATAAATGTATCTATCGGTGTTATTCGTCGCTCCCACCCGCTCTTTTTAAAGGTCACAAACGGCATTGTTTTTGACTCTCCAATGCCACGGGCGTCGCTCTGTGGCATGTTACAAGTCACCCAACCCCATCGCGTTACCATTATTTATAGACATTAGCCGTTTGGAGGTTATAATTTCTTATTCGAAACTCGTGATCGGACTAATTGGATTGGAATGCGAAGTGACAGCATCCGCCACCGGGCCATTAAACGCCCGCTATTAATCACAAAATTTCATATAAGCTTGATAACGATTTGATAGAGTCATATCGAATTTTTTATGTACTCGTTTAGGATCCTTTCAAGGATGCATGAATTAACAATAAGAAAGAGAAAACGTTGGAAATGCTAGAGGTCATATTTAAGGGCAAATTGTGCCTTATAAATGCGTTATTTACTTACTCCAGGTTCCATTGATAAGACCATAAAACCGAATCCATATAGATAAAGCCATAGAAGACCTGAAACAACATAAAGGCAGCTAATTAAATATCCTAATAAATCACGTACAGAAGTAAATTGAAAATAAGTAGCGATCATAAAAATTATTACATTATGTACTAAAGATTTCGGTCCCATTAGCGGAACGTATTGGCAAATAAAAAGGGGAATAAATCATCTCGTAAAATTTTTTTGACGCAATCCGCGTGTAATTAATGCGAAACGCGGACAATTTTGCGGCTGTATTTTTCAACAAATTATCGGTTCGTAAATAATAGCGAATAAAAGTAATAAATTAGCCGAATGTTGCCTAATTGACTTTAATTACTTGGATTTTAAAAATGATTAATATCATCACATCGCTGGATTATATCGGTAGAAGGAAATTGTGAAATGGAATCGGTAAATATTAAGGTCGTTTTCGAGCGCCTTGAGATCAATTCGAATCAATATTATATCGAATCGTGGGTACAAATATGCGAAAAATTTGATAAAAACCTATCCAAATTTTTTAAAAATTGATTTTGTATACTAGAAACGATTTTTAAATAAACCAAACAGCCTAATTTTCTAAATTAACTCCTAAATTGTTCAGCTCAAAGAATGGATAATATTGCAACCAAATTTGCTCTTACCTGTATAAAAGGTCTATATAAAAGGACACAAATTTTGACAAGGTTCCAAATTCAGAAAAATATTCATTATAAAATAACAACATCAAAAAGTTTACCTCGTCCTTAATTTCATTTTAAAGCTAATCACTTTAATTTACCGATATTGAATAAAAATAATTTACTGCAACGATTTCGAATATCGTAAATCATTATACGTAGTTCATACTAGAAGGAATTAATTGTTTAGTTAAACACTTAAGCGAATTCCTAACTAATTAAACGGTGAAAATTAAAAACTCGCGTAGGATAAACATTTAATTATTCAAGCACTACTTCTTACGCTATTTAACATAATTAGTTCTATTCGGAAGATAGAAACAGTTAATTTATTCCTTCAATTAAATATATTTGATGTTACGGAAGCATCTAATTATTAAGTTATGCTTTTAGTAATAGTTATGATTTTTCCTAACTATTACTTAATTAAAGGTTCTCTTGTTGTCTATCTACTGGACTTTTACATGCAGAAAATACTTAATTGATTTATTGAAACACGATTAGTCTATTAAACTACCAGAGAAACTTTAACACGAAAGGTGTTTTTTCGCACGAGTAAAAACATGAACAAACGCACAATAATCCACTTAATGTTCCATTGATTGATTGCAATTTTTAATTAATAATTACTCTAACAGTATACCTACAATACACGCCAGAACAACTCTAATTTACGCCTGTGTATAATTAAGTATCAATTAGAGAAACGATTGTGTAACGAGTGTAAACAGTAAAATAACCGCTAATTACGGTTCACGAAATCAATCAAAATCGCCATCGCACATACTGATAATAATAGTAATAAATTCAATTACCGCAGCGACTCGAGATAATTTCGCGAGGGTAATATGCATAGGTAAATAAAAAGCGAAATTTTCGAGATCGGATTTTAAAAATTCCATACGGGTATCGTATGTACCTTTCAATTGCTAAAAGGCCGCTGTTCAGCTGCGTCGGTAAAGGCCGTTTGAAAGTCACTTCGATTCGAATCCGAACCGGCTCGACGTTTTATCATAATCACTATCAAAACGGTTCGCATTGCGAAAACTCGGATAAACGAAAAAAAATCCGGACCGTTGCATTGGATCGAAATACGAACGAAACCACTCTCTTATTACCTGTTTATTACAGATTGCGAGTTACTAACGCTGTAATTTTCTTATTTGGATGTTTGATCTTGCGCCATATAATATTTCGCTCATCAAATACTAAGTAACAACAATTTCATCACGCGTTATTTCGCTTATTTTGAATCGGATTCGGGGGTATATTCGATAATTAATCGCTATTGAATAATGGGAAAAATTTATTAATGTGTAAACTCTCACTTCGGATTCGAATAAGAGAGAAATGCACCGAAGTGAACAGTTTATTTGTTATAAACCGACCTTGACGATACGCTCACATTATTTTCAGTTATTAGCTCGTTACATGATTTACAAGAAAATATTTTTGTGATGAAATTAGAGATTTTTTTTCTCATTCGGCGTTACGAGCAATGCAAATTATACGATTTTTGATTTTTTTTTGGGTTTTATCGTCTTTCACTTTTGCTAATGAAGTTTTACGATTTATTTCTTACCTTGCAGAAACGATCTCTTCGTTCCGATGAAGCAAGCCATCGCTAGGAAACTGAAAAAAAAATCAGAAAAATATTTTAAAATTTATTATCGTTTATTATTCGAGTAAGTGACTCAATGACAGTTTGACACATTTTTTTGTTAAATTTCATTAGTACTTTTACAGCTTTACATATTTGCTTTTTATATTAAATTTATAACATCCTAAACAGTCCTTCTGTTATTTATCGAAACGAGCACTAACCGCAATCGACGGCGAATTGTACGAATTAAATTTCTCATTATTTTCCTTATGTAACATCTGAGTGAACATAGTTTTCATTAACACTTGTGGTTTCGACGTTTTGTAGCGAAAAAACCGAAATTTCTAACTGAATGTCGAAAGTACAATGGACGTCTGATATTAATAACGTTGAATTTCACTCGTTAGCGCTTTCTTGTCGTTTTAGTATATTAGTTTTTCGACGGGTTTTTATTAGAAAAATAGTTATCGCTTATATTTGGATATTCAAATTTGCCGTATAAAGAAAAGAAATTTTTTAATTATCTATTAGGTAATTACAACTCATATTAACACAGAAATGCAATATAAATTTCGCCAAAATAATATCATTAAAAATTAACCAACATACACAATTAACTAATAAAAAAAATAAAACTAAAACCATTAGATCTAAAGTAATTCTACTGGTGATGGCAAGTGTCAAGGTAAAACTTTTTCTAAATATTTCAGCAGATTTATTGTAGATACCGCTTTCACTTGAATTGCACATAGAACCGGATTAAAATTACATCTGGACAAAACAAACAATAAACTTTTAATAAAAAAAAACCTAAAAATGAAGCAATGTCATTAAGCAACTCACTGCTTCATAAAGCTGCATATATTTTTAAACGGACATTTTCACAGTAATCCTTGAATGAATTTTTCGTCCACCTACATGAGCGCGTTACGACGAGAATAAGTTTATTCAACTACTCGAGGCTTACATCACATTAAAACATTCCTTATAATTAAGCAGCCAACTAATACACAACGGTACCAAATTGTAACGAATTATTTAATATCGCTAATTACAACGTATGAGAACCATTCAACGTTCGCCGATTTAATTTATGCCACTTTCAAACTCGCCTTCACAATAAAAAAAACGCGGTTTAAGTGCTATCGAATAGTCAGAAATTGGACGATCAACATTTCCTAATTATTTTTAAAAGAGTATCATTCCATAAATAAATGTCACGGTCATTATAATACGGTTTTTCTCAATAAAGTCGAATCGTTAATAAAATTTATAATCCTATTTTACCTTGTAAAATTGGTTTAATGGCAAAAATTAAAAAAAAAATTCGTAAGCGCCCTGTATAAAATTGGCGACATCTCGTCCCGCAAAGATGTCACTTATTTAGACGTAACATTCGGAAAAGACGTAATATAACTTTTCCATTGAAATAAAAAAAATTGTTCAAGTCCGAATCAATCGAGAAAATTTGACATGCCTGACTATTACAAGGTTTTAAAAGTTCAGAAAAACGCCACGAGCGAGGAAATAAAGAAGGCCTATCGACAGTTGGCGTTAAAATGGCACCCCGACAAGAACCCCGACAACAAGGAGGAGGCCACCAAAAAGTACACACGACTCCTGCAATCCTCCTAAGCAATTTTCTAAGCACATCCCTTCGGGCGTTTCAGGTTCAGGGAAATCTCGGAGGCTTACGAAATACTATCGGATAGCAAGAAGCGAAAGAGCTACGACAAATACGGCACGGCGAAGCCGATGACGGGCCAGACGAGGCAATCGGGCCACGACGATTTCTTCGATTTCGGCGGAGCGTTTCAGTTTCATTTCAGGTAAAAATTTCACGTTGGCAACCGGTCGAAAATGTTACTGTCAAATCAAACGAATCGAGAAATTCCAATTATGTATCCCGCGCAATGTTTTCAAAATCCCCACGAACCGTACCAGCCGCAATTCCCTTCGAATTATCTCTCCTGTCCGTCACCCATTTGTAATCCATGCGAGCCAGTCTTTAATTCTTGTTGCCCGCAAAGCTTCAAAGCGACTTGTAATCCATGCGAACCAGTATGTGACCCTTGCAAGATAATTTGTAATCCATGTGAAACCACTTGTACACCGTGTGTACCTGTTTGTAATCCCTGCGAACCAGCTTGTAATCCCTACAATTCCGTTTGTAATCCCTGCGACCCAGCTTGTAATCCTTGCGAACCAGCTTGCAATCCCTGTAATGCCATTTGGAATCCTTGCGAACCAGCTTGTAGTCCGTGTAAACCCATTTGTAATCCTTGTCAACCAGCTTGTAATCCATGTAAACCCGTTTGTAATACTTGCAAACCGGCTTGTAATCCATGTAAATCCATTTGTAATCCTTGTAAACCAAGAATTTGTAATTCTTGTCCGTCGATGTGTAAACCATGTAGTAAAAAATGTGGGTTAGTAATGAGGAATATGTTTGTTTGAAATGGGTTGTGTAAAATAACATTATATTTTTTTGTAGAGATCCTGAGGAGGTGTTCAGGGAGTTTTTTGGAAACAGCATCTTCGATTTTCTTAGCGACGATTTTACCATGAGCAATCACGGGCACGGCAGAGACAGGTAATTAACCGGACTGGAATGGTAGATGACATTGAAATTGAAAATTTAATTCCTAGATGCAGGAGAGGTAGTGGCCACGGAGGTCACGCGGGCCACCAAGTTTCCATTTTCGGTCCCTGGGGGGGTGGTGGTTTCTTCAAAGGCATCTTAGCGACACCCAGAAATTCCACGCAAACATCTTATTGTGTCCAGTAAGGCTTTCGACTATTTTCATTGCTTATTAGCACCGCGGAAATTCCACCCCCCTCGCGAACATTTTCGTTGGCGGCTCCTCGCAGGACGTGCAGCATTGTTCTCGAGGAATCGTTAACGAAAGTACAAAATCTGTTGAACGAGCGAGTGTCGTTTTCAGTTCGAACGTTCCGACGAGCTCTTACATAAAGCAAGTGTCGACGTCGACGAAGGTGATCAACGGGAGGAAGATAACGACGAAGAGGATCTACGAGAACGGCAAGGAGACCGTCGAGAGCTACGAAAACGACGTGCTGACATCGAAAATCGTCAACGGCGTGCCGCAGTCGATCCAATACAAATGAAAAATGGACGCGTTCGTTGTCCCAACTTGTCTGTTTTTTTTTTGTCAAAAACCATAAAGATAAACTGACTTTTAAAGCAGACCCTCGGTTTATTATTCCTCATTCGTTTAGAGAGTAGAGCATAGAGAATAGAGTATAAAAAGTAAAGAGTACAGCATAGAAAGTAGAGCATATAGAGAGCAGAGTTTAGATTGATTGATTTTAGTTTATTTTGCTTTCTCAGCTATCATATTGTTACATAGATTTACAATGAAGATTCACAAAGAGACCTATACAGATTTACAAAGTGTTATAGAAAGTAGATAATAGAGTATAAAGACTAGAGAGTAGAGTATGGAGAGTAAAGATTAGTGAGTAGTTTAGAGCAAATTTAAAAAACTAACTATCATGCATAAATATATAGAGTTGTTAATTCTTTATTAAGACATTGCATGCAGCACCTCTCGAATGAAAACATCAGTTAAGCGTCTACCTAACGAAACTGGTCTTAATTGATACATCAGAAATAATCGATATCGAAAAAGACGTGCATGTTGGGTAATGAGCCCGCATTACGGCTGTGTAATTAATTGAAATATAGCCATTTTATGGGTGGTGTTCGATGTTTATACGAAAAAAAAACACCATCTCGATGGGCAGATTACGAGGCGTGTCTCGATGAAAAAAAAGGAACGTTTTTATTAATTTTTTCGAGTACCCCGTCGCTTTGAGTTTCAATTACGACGGCGATAACGTGGGCGATGATTTATGAAATTTCTTTAAGAAATGTATAACATCGTGTTGGGTTCTATAGTCGAGTTCAATAATCTACTTGTAATTAATCGATTATTTTTCGTAGTAAAGCAATCTTAAAAATATATACAAGATGCTCCTGAGTGGTGTATTGTAATTTCTACATCTCTTGTAGAATCGATAAATTTTTTAGTAGATCATCGGCTACGGCTGCTTTTTCCCTTTAATTTATCGAATTCACTCGACTATAGCGATTTGGTGTAAAAATCGAGAGGAAGGAAGAAAAGCGTTAAAACAATTTGTATACGTGTGTTGTAGAAAGTTCCGCGTTCGGCGAGTCCTTTTAATTCTTGCCTGTCAAAAATTTCGAGCCGCCTGAACGCTTCGAATCCAACAGCATTTGAATAGAATCGAAATTTTTAATGGGATGAGATAATGAATGGGTTGCCGTATATTAGGTGCACTTTCTAACGGTTGAATTATTAATAAGGAAATTCGGTAAAAAAAATCATTAGATACCTATTTAGTCGGAGTGTTAAATTCGGTGTTTTACTCAGAAAAACTTGGAAAATAATAGGTAGGATAGTGTAATGTTTTTATCGAATTAATTCTTCGCTCATAGCGACTTTCTATTGAAATTGTTTATAAACATTAAACCAACGCTATTTATGCAAAATTATTTCGTACACAATTCTGTAATAAATAGCGCATTTTCTACATACATTAAAATTCAGTGTCGGTTACATAAGGATTTTTCAATCGACGACCTTGGGATGCGGATCGATTGAAAAGTATAAAATGAATGTCGATCAACGGTTTTCGATCATCCATCGATGACATGACTAATGGATTTCTTTATTGTTTCCACTCCTGCCAAAATATTACCGTTTCATATTAATTGCACAAGTCAATACGATCAATCAAATACAGTTGATAAATTCGCTCGCGCGAATATGAAAAATTAGCTCGATATTTTACTTCAAAGCGAATAAATTTCACATTGCATTACCCTTGAACTTTCAAAGGCCATGGTCGAAGGATCGAATCGCCGTTAATTGCGTTAACAATTATTTGATTAACCAACATTTTTTACACATCATTTTGCAAAACGGTCGGTTTATTTTGCAGCGATCGCGCTTCCTTGAAAATCTCGAACAACAAAGACAGTTCCATTGGATTTTTTCAACCTTAATAACATAAAATATTGGATTATAAATTTCCTCGTTTCCACATCGAGCCATTATCGTTAAATTTATCGGTACACGCATTACAAAAAAAAAATTAGAACATCTGTTGGACAATTCATTACATTGACCAGGTGCACTATTAACCGCCGAGTAATTGATAATCGCTATACACCGTCGTCGATTTTATTGTTTATCCATAAACGATCGCAAACGAACGGCACTGAAATTATTTACGATACCCGTACCCGTACGACGAAAACACCTGTACTTATCGACTTCGACGGCGCAGTTTCGGTTTCACTTTCGGATAGATCGAAATCGATACGAAACAGGTCCGCGTGCAATTCAGAGTAAAATCTAGTCGAACCGCTGTCGATGTCGGCTGGTCGAGTTGCGCTATTTCTCGAGACCCAACCTCTTCTCTACTACATATAAAACCGATGTTTCGTGGATTATACCACCCACGTAGCTCTAGATTTTACGTAACGTGTATATCAAATGACATTATTCAGAAAAGAGTAGAGAGTATAGAGAATAGAGATTATACAGAGTAGAATGTATAGAGAGCGAAAAATAGAGTGTATATAGAGAGTAGAGAATAGACAGAAAAGAGCAGAGTAGAGTGTATAGAGAGTGGAGAGTAGAGTGTATAGAGAGTAAATAGTACAGTTACTAGATAATAAAGAGTTAAAAGTAGAATGTAGAGACTCAGTAGAGTAGAATTGAGCAGAATCAAACAAGACAATTTTATTTAAATTAACCCCAACTGATATTTGTTATAGGTAAATAACAGCGTGTTCGATTTATATCTGATACCGAACGCGGTGTTCACATTGCGCAAGAATCGCATTATAATTAAATAAAAATAATTTTTTCAAAGTTCCGTTCGCGTATTGAATATGCAATTACGGTTGGCGTATAAGTCGATTTTAATTACCGCACAACGCTCTAATGTGTTATTATTATAATAAATCCTTATGGGCGTTTGAGGGTAAAATCGGCCGCAAAAATCGTAATGGCGATTTTGTTTCGTGTCGACATCGGTTATTGAACGGCCGAGCGAATTATTCGTACTCTAATTTACTCTAATTTAATTCGAGTGGTACCGAAAATAGTGCATTTAGCCTATATTAGGCGTAGCGAAACGCCACTTAAACACCGTCGAGCGAGACAATTTGGCCGTATAAGGATCGTTTAAGGTTTTTTTGTTTCAGTCACAATGAGGCGGTTGAAAAATCGAGTGAATAAATCCTCGGTGGGCGCTTATCGAATTAGATTAAACATCTCGCCACCGGTTTAATAATATCGATGCACGAGTACAATTATACCCAGTCGCAACGACACGGCTCGTTTCAATGAAAATCGCCTTTAGATAAACGCGCTGTGTAGGCGGACATTAGATCATGAGCCCGACTGTAAGTCAAAAGTTTTGTCACCGGCACAAGGCCGCTTAAAGAAAGGAGTGATTGTTGCAATTTGTAAAATGCAGGATAAGATCGGGCAATTTTTCGGCGTACTTTTCTTATACAGTGCTTTCTCGAAGTCTCCTACGGTGACTTCACAAAGTCTCATTGTCACGTCACCTCAAATGACCTTACTCTCTACTAGAGAGAAGAGTCCCTTGTAAAATTTATTAGGTATTTAAATATTACATAGGTACACATTTTTCCAAAATTCTCAGTTTGCAGAAATGAGAAAAATGTATTAAAAATTAACAAAAAGTATCATTCTCGATGTAAAACGATCCAAAAACCTTTCACAATTCATTTATAATATTCCGAAACCCACTCCTACTAAACGCATCATATAATTGATTAAAATTACAAAAAAAATCATCAGTGCAAATTGCTGTAGTTATTGAATAAAAGCAACTATTCATCTAGATCGATTACAACACCGAAATAGGTGAGCAAAGTACCTATAAGTACCACCTATTGCCGGTAATTCCGAGCGAGTGTTTGAATAAAACGTTCCGTTTTGGTCAAACGTAATTATTATTAGTAATAATAAGACTTTCACAATCGAGCGACTCGGCGCGATCGGGCTTTTGCCATCTTTGGGAAATTTCGAATGCATCTCGATGGCGTTTGAATCATCGCGATAATTAATGCGGAAAATGTGGGAAGTCGTACGGACGACCTACGGCGTATCTCTTCGAATTTAATTAAATGGTTTAATGAACGTTTTCGGGGGGTACTTTTTAGAGATTGTATCGGTTGCTTTGTTAAGGTGTCGTGAATGTACGAATTTCTCAGTGTATAGATACGATTTCGAGTACCTTTTGTTTGGAAACGTGGGAATAAGAGTTTATTGGTACTCGATTTTCGAATTTTGTATGAAAGATTTTCGCAACGACCATTTTTTTTAAACAATAGCGTAGATATTACCTGTTGAAAAATATTTCAATTCGAAAAGCGATATAATTTCTTCGAGATATGAGCGTTGTAAAATCGCTTAATCGACCTTTGAGTGGATTTTAAAGACGTCCGACGACTTTTGTGCATTCTTTTACGTAATCGTATATTTTGAATTAAAAAACTTTCTTTCTCCTGCAACGGTTGCAGGAAAATACATTAACTTGCGCCGAGATTATTCATATTCACAGCCAGTTTTCAAAATGTTCGTCAAAGAAAAAATTTAGTCGAAATATAATAATTAATAATTTGTTAATAATCCAATTACAATACCTACTGCAATACGCGTTAATCGATTATTATATCACCGAGAGGTGCTGTTAATACTCCGTTACCGGATTGTTAAAGATCAATCAATCAATTTTGTTGGCCGTAAAGCGATTGTATAATAATTGATGATGTTTCTTTCGTTGATTTTTTTTCGGTCAAATTTGATTTATCGGCGACATTCTTTCAATAAACAATAAAAAATGACTCCCTACAGGGCCGAATCGCAACAATGAAATTTTCGAGACTCGCTGCGTCCGTTAAGGAGCGGATCCATACGAGTTTTATTGAAACTTTCATAACTCTGAATAAATATCAACGCTATTTATAAATCCGCTTTTACAAACGATAATGTTACGACCGAATCATTGACTATTGTAGCTCTAAGCGATGCAAGTAAAAGTAATTCGTGTCATAACTCTTTGTCCGCATTCGACACTACTGTAATGTATTTATAATCGATTTCAATTGATAAGATATCTCAAAATTTATACGCGAATCTTGCTTAAAACGATATGCAGTTTGCAGCTATCAAAATCTATCAATAAATATAAAATTTATTGTACCCAACAGGTTCTTTTATAGGGTTTTTTAACAGGTATTTTCACAAGAATTTTTACAGGTATTTAGTCAGCTGTATCTAAAGTAAATATGTAGGTGCAATCGAATGAGATGGAAACGAACAAGTGCATATAAGCAGTCACCTAATCGATTTAATTGATAATAAACCGGTGAATTTGCGTTTTACGTAATTCTTGCAAAATATTCTCGAACTGTAGAAGAGAAGCATCACAAAAGAGGATTCGTTCGAATCGTAAATATCGCACATCCGAGGCGATTATCGTGGGTATAACGGGTCGATTCGGTAACGATCTAGACTTACTGGGATTTATAACGTAACGAAATTTTCGCGTATGTTTCAGAAGATATTGGAATCTTAAAATGTATATGCATAATATGCATACATTATGTGAAGACACCCGATTTACGAGCATGGTTTGTGAAGAAATCGCCTCGTGCAATTCCGAGAAATTTCTTTTTCTATACTGTACCTAACTACTTATGCTTACAAGAAGTAATCATAAAAACAAGATGTTTAATCAAGGTTAATGGAAGACATTTAATTCGATTTAAATAATGAAAGTACCTAGCAATCTTCATCTTTATAACATTTACTATTTACAACTCTTCAAATTGGTATCTAACAATAAATTTAAATACCAATTTTTTTAATCTAACTTTTCGATTAATTATTCGTATCGTTTTATTATAAAAAAAATTATCATGGATTCGTGTGCAATGCGCTAGTGGAAAGCGTTTCGAATGATCTTCCTTCTTCGATTACAATTTCACAGTAACCGATCATTAAGCGTTTCTAGATAAGTAAATGTTTACCAATAAGATTCCATTGCGATAGGATGCAATCAATTTTGAAACATCCAGACAAGTGAAATTTTTGTTTAAAAATGACGCGCTCCGACGGTTTTTGTTGGATTATTTTTTAATCCATTTTCGATATCTAACGAATCAATCTGATTAAGTTTTAATCTGCATAGTATTGCACAATTGTTGCGTGAAAGGTTGTTTGATAAAGTCTTCATGTGAAATTGTAATATTAATACCTATTAGCTTAGATTATATTATAATATTGCTTATGAATAAAATGTGTTAGATAACTGTATGTATAAAATATCAAAAAAATCATATAAACAAAGACACAGTAGAGGTTCAAATCGAGTGTGTTATTGCCAATAATGGTAAGAAAATGAAAGTTTTGCTCTGCTACAGTTTTATATACAAATGCAGCAAAGGAAGTAACACATAGCACGAGTTTCTATCGTGAATTTAAATAAGTAACTTATTACTGTGGGTACAGTAAATGCAGCAGATAAATAATTAATTACGATTAACATGTAAATGTTTAATGAGTTTGTGGCACAAAGATGGTACGATAAATGATTTTGTTATACATTTTTTTCTAATTGAATGGAATTCATTAGTTGAGTGTATAGAGGTAAATGTTCAATTAAATACTAACAATAGTTGATCTTGTATGCAGTGAGTATGGTGCATGCTCTGATTGTTTTACCCTTGTTAGAATAATATTCAAAATCACCATCTCGTTTACATAAAACGGTTAATATACAATTACGTTATTTGCGCAGTTTCAACACGACAGAGATTTATTCGAATTAATGTATTATAGAATGCCATGCAGCCTATAAACGGTATTATTTTTAGTTCATAAGTCAATTTACGATTTCGTGTTTCACTCGATAATTGACTTTCGAATACAAGAATAAAAATTTTTTAACACATAACTCCGGCTACCTGGTTTGCATATGTGCGTATCAAACTTTCACGTATGTGCAATAAATATTAGTTTTTTTTTTAAACAAACAAATGCTTCATCTATTTAGGTATTAATCTCAAATATTAAATAATGATGCGAAAAAGTGAACCCACAAAGTAATTACATAACGATTCACCTAAAAATCTTTATGGAACAAATTAATTTTGGAGATTTTTTTGTAATGATATTGGCATGAAGTTTGTTAATCTTATTTAATAGGTATATAAATAGCACAATAAAATTATTTTTTAACTAAATTATAAACTTATGTATCTAATAATTTATATTTTGTTACATTACAAGTATAGAGAGACAAATACGCGATCAGAACACGAACCCAAAGCTTTCGAGTTGAGATCTATTTTTATTCTTTCTTTTATATTTAAATTAAATCTACCGATATATTCTTTGAATTATAACATTTATGAATTATGCGTCTTTCAATGTTAAGTATCACCTCAAGTTGGTTAAAAAAATTAATAAAAAAAATCAATATCCGCCTTTTAATCGGATTAAAGTGTGGTTGATTTGGCGAGTGGGTATAATAAAAAAATTTCTATCAAAGACGATTTTAATGATATAATGAAGGCCAATGCCGTTGTTACCGTATTTAGGCGTTAGGAAAGTGAACCAGTTTACCTACAATACTAAATTAAATTTCCATTAAGTTTAGTTCGTTGCAAGAAATTGTGGAATAACAACGGCGATTCTTCGACAATCTTTCACCGTTTATAATATTTACTCCAGTTTAAATAACGTTAAAATTTTACGCATGGTAAAGATTCGTAAAATCAGGCTTTAAATCTCAAGGTCTATTATGAGAGCTCAGTCGTGTTCATTATCCAAGACAACAATAATTCTTTGAAATCATCCTGCATAACGGTCAAAGATAAAATATAAGAGACCATACATAAGAAAGATACACATTTAATACTAATTAAAAATTGATATATAGTATTTCCAATGTCAGTGGAATATGATATGAAAAGATGAAGTTATTACAACATTTTATTGTAAAATTACCTCGATTTGTATGGTAAAAATTGTAGGTGGTATTGATAAAAAAATAATTCAATATGCATACACACAAATGCATTTTCTGAAAGGTGTCGTTGATTTATCTTTATAAGATATAGATAATATTTGCAATGCAAAGCAACGGCAAAAAATCACTTGCACGTTCCGTTTCATTATATTTAAATCAAGACATTATTCAAATAGCCCTTACAAATTATATCGGCGACAATATAAACTTATTGTTTCCGAGCAAAATAAATATTACAAATTTATGCTGATAGGTACAGCATACATTTTAAACTCTCGAAGAAAACAGCTACTTTACACACTCAAACGCCAATGCAAGAGATATTTTCCGATTACATTCTACCTCTCTATTCCGCGTATTAATCATTGCAATTAATTTCGTTTTATAGTGTGTCGCTCATACTACAATAAAATTACGAAACATTAACCGTTAAATAATACACCATTGCCACGGAACGATTACTTAAACACCCCATTTCACCCACACCGTTACAGTAATGGTTGTCAGTCGGCTATTGATTTTATCTTGACGATTGATTAATAGCGAGCAATAAGCAGAACAATTTCGTATCAAAGTAGTGTCAACGCGTGACTAAATTATTTTAATAACGAAGGACAATTAATTCGCGCTTATATACAGGGCGTTGCATGCATATAGCGCTGTACGAACACGGTTCAAATCATCATCTTAGCAATAAAGATACATCAATTTTGATGATCATCATCAGGGCAAAACTACGACTTTAAAAATGATTTTGTATCTGTATTTGTAGATTGCGTTAAAAGTTGAACTTCAAATGAGATACGGTGTAATTTTTAAACCACAACCACAATATTTACAGCAATATACAAGGTGTTCGCTTGACTTATTTAATAAGAAGATATACCCAAGCTTTTCTGTTTACAAAATCTACATTTTTTTTAAGTTGTTTGGTAAACAAATGATTTGTGATGTAATCTATTACTTTTTTGCAAGCTCAACTACCTTGATTGATTGAAAGTCTTGGATTTCTACACAACCAAAATAGCCTAATTATTTGACAAAATTAATTCTAACTACAGAATGGGCTTTCTCTGTTTATACACAAAACCAATTAACACAAGATTTTCACCGTGCAAATACTTACACTTTTTCGGCGACAAATAATCCAGATCTAGGTCAACCCCATAGTACAACATTTCAAATGTTACAAGCCCGGCAATTCTCACCTGTCGTTCGGACGCGACGCGACATTCACAGCTCGCGCATCGCGACGATCGTCGAAAAAAAATCGAAAATTCCGATGGTGTCGCGGCGCGGATTTCTTCGTTGGCGCGTTTACCTTGCGGTAGGCGCGGAACCGATCGAGAGAGTACTCCGTTCGCTTTTGCTTTTGCTGCGCTATGAATGATACGGGAACGTCCGAAACGTCGGCTATGAAAGTGTGCGTTGCATTCGGCGAAGGTTGCGTCGTGGGACGTCGGTCCGGATCGGAAATCTATGCTAATTGTTCTTCGGTAATTGACGGATTAATTTTTTGGAATCGGACCGGGTGTTCCAATTTTGGTGGTACGAAATAATTGGCGTTTGCAGCGTTTGCTATGTTTTGGTGTTTCGAAGGGGATTTGAGTTGGTAATACATCGAGATTGTTGTTATTGAGATTCTGTAGAAATTGGGATATTTTGATGTAATTGGGAATTGCACATATTCAAAAGATTTGATAAAAATCTTCGCAAACTAAAATGAAAGAAATGCTCCAGGACTTTATTAGACTGGTGGACCTGTCCAAATATTTCTTTATAAGACCCAGTTTTCTCAATTGGAATCTCAAAGGAAAAAGGAAAAGTGATATTGTGGGATTGGAACTTTCTCACTCCAACCACTGTTATTTTTATAATCTTTCCTATCAACTCATGTAGGTATTGCAAACAATTTTGCATTTATGTGTAGAATAAAATTTTCTAAATAAAAATGTATAAATATAACATCACCTTCGGATAACTATTTGTAACACAATACAACCTATTATTAAACTTCAACTGATAGAAATGTATAGTTTATAAAAGGTTGTAAATATTATCAGGACGTTATCAATGAGCTGAAAACAAAGAAATAATCCAACTGATTTATTATTCAATCCCGCTCCGTATACTTATGTAGTAGGTGTTATTAAAGAAATGCCTATAATACGGCAAGAACTCAGATATTATCCAATTATTGCAGAAACTATCAAAATTAGTCACGACGAAAAAGAATAGAACCGTGAACTATGTATAATGTAAGTATATAGTTACACCTTCACTCGATCTTTGTGTAATTAGCCGAATTATAGTTTTTTATATTTCACAGTCACAAGGTGTATAATTTTTTATAGTACTTTTATCAAATAAAATTCAAATGTAGAAATTATTAAATCATACCCTGATAAAAGCGGCATTCTTGAAAACAAATTTACAGAGCCCGCTTTTCACCTCCGCCATTTTTACAATGTCTACAACTAGATGACGCTGTAAACAAATCTGCTTCTCCTCCACTACTGGCCTTTTACTATGAAGCACTACGTGATATAACATACAACCTTTAAGGTAAAAGTCACACTTACCTTACATAAACTGTAATTTTACATAACCCAACTTTTATTGAATTAAACATAATTTCATAATTTGTATAGTTATGTTGTGTTAAAAATGTTTACACCCGTTCAAAAGTTTTTTAACAACAGGCTGGTAAAGTTCGGTTTACCATTTATTATACTTATGGTAGGCGGTTCCTTCGGACTCAAGGAATTCACCACACTACGGTATGAATATTCTCAAGTGAGCCCCGTGCCGCGAAAGGAGCTCGAAAAGCGCGGAATAGAAATGAAAAAACCCGGAGAAGTGACGTTAGAAAGCGAGTATGAAAAAATCAAAAATATGGACATCGATAACTGGGAGCAAGTTAGAGGGCCAAGACCGTGGGAAGATAACGACCAAAGCTCAAAAACTAAATGAAAAATCTCTATATATAGCATAGTTTTTTGTGATATATGTAATAGCTAATAGTTTGATGGTTGTTGGACCTATCAGTCCTAATAAAACCCGTTGTATAGAAAATGAAAAGTTATATGTATTTCAGTAAAATAAATCTATGTCCAGGGCTATGTACAATTGAATAATTCGTTAACATTAAAAAAATTAGAAATAAAAAGTAAGTTTTTTCCTATATAATACTTCACGTGAACACTTTTTTATGCACTTGCTGCCTCAACAAAATAATACTATTGTACAATTTAATAGCGGGGCCCATTTTCATTTTTAGAATCGATACAACGTCCCTTTGATTGAGCGACAAGAACGCCTCCCCGTCGATTTTTTCTTTTATAAATATATCACTGTAACACGCACAACTCGGCAATTTCGATACGAAATTCACCACCTCTTTGTAGGTCCAAAAACGAGGATCGACTTCGTTTTTGACGAATTTTTGCAGAAATTCGGAATGCTTTTGCCACGTTTCCCGCTCGGCCGGTTGAATATTCGAATCGTTTATGAATTCCAACGCTTTACCTTCCGGCGATTTTGTACCTAATTCCACTTTAATTTTCTTTTGGTAATGCGAATTGCTCCTCTTCAACTTCTTCTCCGGAGGCGGCGATTCCTCCTTACATTCGGGGGGTGGCTTGGTCGGTTCTAGCTTAGGTTCTGGACGGGGATGCTTCGGAGGGCGACCTAATCTAGGTTTACTATAAAAAAAAACTTATTACTAATTCGATAAATAGGATATGTGAATACAAACATTTTGCAATCCTTCGGTTCTCTTGAAACCGGAATTACAGCTTCGGGGCTTCGATCCGGACTGAGCAACCTATCCGGCACAATCTTATCGACATCTAAATTCTCATCCGAATAAGGACAGTGCTTCGGGGTGGAATGCGTTTGGAACTTCGGCCCTTTTATGTGACCCTGACCTCTACAACCTACCGTCGGACACTCCAAAAAATCGTACACATCATCGGGAGCTAAAAACAAATCAAAACACATCGATAACCGAAAATTCCAAACAACTTTCCGTACACTCACTCAAAGGCGGCTCGATGGGATGCCCGGTTTTCTGACACCAACCCATCGGATGTATATCGGGACTGTCATCGTCCACCCAATAACTATATCTATCGGGCCAACCGTCGAAATGGATGCGAATCTGGTGCTCTTTGACATCATCGACGGTCGCCACTCTGATTAGCTGAGGCACCCGCCTATCAACGCACTCCAATCTCATCCCCCTTTTAAAACCGCACGCCGGACGCTGCTTGAACGCCCGCACCGGCGCCGGCGTCGCCTTGGTCTCCTTCAAATACACTTCCCACGAAAACGACTCGGGATTCGGATAATCTACAACGAAAACAACGTAAAATCAACCGCGTAAATTGCTCGGTTATTCTAATTACCGTTGGGAGGCGTGAGATTATGCCCGTACTGATCGCACCAACCCACCGGATGGATGTAAGGCGACGTCGGATCGGCCCAATAATCGTATATATCGTCCCAGCTATCGAAATGCACTAGTATCCGATTATCCATCATATCCCTAACGGAAGCCACGCACACCAGCGACGTGTTCTTTCGATCCACGGCTTCCAGCTTCATACCCACCCTGAACCCGTTCGGACAAATAGCCTACAAACAATTCGATTATCGTATTGATAGTAATAAAATTCTAATTTTCATCTCACCTGTCCGGCTCTGTTGGCGAACAAATGCTTCGGGGCGGCCGTGCATTTGGTGTGCTTCAAGTACTGCACCCAATTGAAGTTGTCCACTTTGTAGCCGGAGGGCGGCTGGAGGACGTGGCCGTACTTCTCGCACCATCCCATCGGGAACACGTCCATGCTGTCGGCGTTGCACCAAAAATCGTAGTTGTCGGGGTAGCCGTCGAAGTGCAAACGCATCCTGTACCCGACCACCTCGGCGACGGTCAGTACGCAAAAGTAGGAGGGATGCTGCGGATCGACGCCTTCGAGTTTCATGCCGGGCCGGAAGCCGTTGCGCGTGTACGGAAAGGGATCTTTGAAGAGTTTGACGGGCGCCGGCTTGGCCTTGACGTGCTCCAAGTATTTGGACCACGAGAAACCTTTCTTCTTGCACGCCCAAGGGTACGACATGAATTTGTCCTGGGAGGTGTTGTCGATCGAGTCCTCTTCGCTCTCCTCGTCCGGTTTGTCCGATTTCGCGACGTCCGGCGGTTCGACTTTCGCCTTTTTCCGTTTCTTCTTGTACTTGTCGGTTTTCTCCTTTTTGGTTTTGTTTTGGAAGGCGTCTTGGCAGTCGTAGCTGCAAAATTTCGAGTTGAAAAAGTCGGAGGACATGCCGTAGCAGCCGCACTCCAAGCAGCGCATCTCCTCTTGGAATTCGGCCGCTTTCATTTTCTCCTTCGCCTTGGTCATTCGCTTCTCTATGATGGTTTTGTACTCGTCGTCGGTGATGTATTCCACCAGGTTGAATTCGTTGACGATGAATTTGATGTTTGTGCCCGGCAACGTGCCTATCCCATCGTCCCAATTTAGGACTTTTTGCAGGTCGCAATCGTCTACCTTCATGGCCGGTTTTTCTTTGACGAGTTCGATTTCGACTTCGCTCGTTAGGCTCTTCTTGGCGTCTTCCAGATTCAGTTTGGCTATCGATTGCGTGGTAATTATTTCCATTTCGTCGTATTCCTTCATGTAAGTTAACGTAGATTTTCTCCGTCGCTCCTTCTCGGGCTTGGGGTTCGCGTTGTTCGCGCTATTTACCGCCGGTATAGTTATGACGATGTTGCCCGATTCGCTCTTGGTGGGTTTCGATATCGAAGGTTCTTTGCCGTCTGAAATCGAGGTTAGATTGTTATTAATAACGAAATTGCCGGATTTCTCGACGAGTTCCGTGAAATTTAAATTCTTTTTTAATATGGAAACGTGTTTCGGTAATTTGATCGAGTCCTGCCCCGAAGGCTTGGCTAACACCGCGGACGTTCTTACATCGTTTTGAGAACCGATCGAGTCCTCGGTGATGCTGAGTTCGTAGGTTTTATTGCTGAGATCGTTCCTTTCGGGGCTCACTAAATCGATGACCTCATCGCACACCAAGTTCTCGCCGCTATTGCTATCCGCATCTGTACTATTCTCGTTCGATATGCTATCGCAAGTGACTTCCAAAGCGTCGACTTGCAGTTGCCCGTCGTTGATTTTTATGCTACCGTACACCTTCGGTTTGGTCACTACGGGTTCGGTGTTCGGTACGGGCATCGGCAGGATGGCCAGCTTGGGTTGAACACAATTGGTGGTCGCCGTGGCCGGGGGCCTGTTGGTCGCGAGCTTAGGCATGGGGGCCAACACTAGCTTTTGCTGTGGCTGGATAACCGAGCCGGCGCTTCGGCGAATCGAGCTGTTCAGCTTCGGTATGTACGGCAGGCTGTTGTTTATGTGGAAGCTGTTCAGTTTGTTGGTTTCCGGGCTATTGGATTTCAACATGGTGATGACGCTGGCGATTTTCGTGCTGCCCGGAACTAGAGGTACAACGTTTGCGGAGTTTTTTTGTATTACCAACGAATGGGGTCTACCTGTTAGTATTAGGTTCTGGTTGGAGGCTACGGTGGTGACGGCGTTGTTCTTGTTCCCGTTGGACGTTACGGAGGCTACTTGTACTTGCGGTAGGTTATTCGATTTGTTGATCGGAGAGAAGGGGACCTTGGTGTTGTTCTGGATGTAAACTAACGGTAGGACTTGGGTTTTCACGTTCATGGCGACCGATGGTGACATGTCCGCCGTCGTCTCACATTTAGGGGCAATCACATCCGTGCAATTATTTTCTACAATAATTTGGCTATCGATCGTATTTACGTTTAATTTGGAACTATCCGATTCCTCCTGAGTTGCTGATAATTCCGTGGACGTTAACGAAGACATTTCTGCAACATTTACGAAACGAAAGTTAGTTCTGTAATATTTTTTTTCAAAATTTTTCATTTAATCAAATTAATATAAAGTCGGTTGGAAAAGAGTTGTTCTAACCAAACGAAAAGTATTCTAACAATCGCCCAACAGCACGTTTACTACGCTTAATAAACAAACACAACGGAACAAGTCGCATAAATATTTAAATAATAAATTTCGAGACAGATAGAAAAGTCCTTGTCGACGGTTGTGTCCGATTCTGTACACCTTGTAAACTTTTACGTTTCATAAAATAAAAATCGCTGTAATGGGCCGGGCGATTGCCAGAATCGAATGGTCGATTAAAAATTTACCGCTAAGTACCTTCAGAAAATATCCATAATCACTACACAATTAAAAAACTTAAATTTCATGACAGAACCAAAAAGTATTCATCATATTTTTATAGAATAAACCAAGATCGCTGGCGCGCATGTCCAGTATCGAGGAGGGGAGTCGATTTCACGAAATTCGAATTTCCCGCGGCGAAGGAGCCTCGAAATCGCTCAAGTTCGAAATAACTCCAATCCCGAATTTTTATAAATAAACATTATTATTATTTTTCTGCACGTAGATTAGTATTTGTTGTTAATTATACTGGAAAATATGGCTCGGTGTGTACGCGAATTAGACAACACACATTACAACACGCATACTTTTACCTACGATAAATTAATTTCTATTAATAATGCGTCAAAATAACTGTACGTACTTAACGAGGTATTCAGTTCGAGAAGAATTTACTCTGATAAATATATTATACTTGGTATATAAATTAATTAATGAAATGCAAACAAATCGCAGCGTAAATGGGAAATGGAAGCCATTATTAGAAGTAGGAGTAAAAGTAAAGAGATATTTTAATTTCTAACAGGGCGTTCTCTCAAAGTTTCTTTTATAAGAAGGAATTTGTGATAAAAATTCGATCAATTTCAATCAGAAATTGAAAGTATTGAGGGTAAATAATTATGCAATTCATGCAGATATGATTTTAATAAAATTTTATCAGAAAATATTCTATCAATTTATTGATTGAAACAGGAGCGGAATATCGTTCTAAAATGAGTAAATTATCATTATACAGGTGTATGCAAATATAGGCTATGGGTGCAACAAAGACAACTAGCATTTAGTCTAATATAACAAAAAGAAAGAGTGATATTGTGGGATTGCAACTTTCTCACTCTAACCACTATTATTTTTTTAATCTTTCTTTGTTCAACTCATAGAGTTGATGATATTGCAAACAAATTTGCACTTATCTGTTGTGCTTTAATTCAAAAATTGTAAATTTTGTCATTGAAAAGTTAAAAAAACTGTCATATAAATGTCAAAGTTGTCAAATTTTTAAAATAACTCCGTGCAAGGGCCATTCAAATAATTTTTACCAAAACTACATGTAAAAATGATAAAAACAATAAAGTATAAAAAAATATATCCTACCTACACTAGGCAATTGCACTTAATAATTGTTTAGAAATTTATACGTCACTAAAGTACTCGATATATTCTAAGAAATACGTCCTTAAATTAATTTATCTACGAAGCTATCGAATTTGACCGAAATTTAATAGCAAACAAAATATTTTCGGACTAAAAGTAAGTAAATAAGTAAATTATTAATCACTCGTTATATGTAAGAAACTGGAAAAATGCTAAAATACACAATGCTCTAAAAAATGCACCAAAACTACACAAACCCGAAGCACAATCTAATAATATATTAATTTATTTATCCAGAACCTATAGTTATTTAAGTTTACAGATATAGATTAGGGATATAATGTATAATAACAATACAAAAGTTAGTTAAATTGCAAATAGGTTATGGCGCATATCGAATCGATTTAATCAAAACATTCTCTAAGAAATAAAAAGTTAGTTAGATTCGCGTTATATTTCGCAAAAAACCCCAATTATTCCCCAATAAATTTACAAAAATAAAATAATTACCTTTAATAGTTTCGGAGCGACGTTAGCACGCATGCGTATCGAGAAATTACGAATGAAAGGAGAAAACAGCTGGTTTCTGCGCCCCTCGCCTCCCCCCTCACGTCCACGTCCAATCATTGTCGTAGAAAATCCAGCGATTTGACAGGCCATTGTTTTGCTTTAAAAATCCCATTCAAATTCTCGACGATTTCGTTAGTTGTACCGAGTGATGCCCAATTCGACGTCGAGAAGAGGACTCCTCGGTTCGAAAACCGCTTGAGCATCGCGAAATCCCCGTCTCCTTTAAAGGTACATTCGCACGAACGTTGCCCCGAATCGAGCCGTTGACGTAGAACGTAAAATGTCGGGATTTATTTATATTTACTTTTTGCAGCAGCGCAGCAGTACAACATGGGCGGTGTGGTGAGTTCCGGCCAAAACAACGACGATCTGATCGACAATTTGCTCGAGGCCGATTACATCAAAACCCCTCTGGTCGAGCGGGTGTTCCGCGCCGTCGACAGGGCCGAGTACTTCCTGCCCGAAGGCAGGGCCAACGCGTACAAGGACTTGGCCTGGAAGTACGGCAATCTGCACCTGTCGGCGCCGTGCATCTACAGCGAGGTGATGGAGGGCCTGTGCCTGGCGCCCGGCCTCTCGTTCCTCAACCTCGGCTCGGGCACCGGCTACCTCAGCACCATGGCCGGCCTCGTGCTCGGCAGCTACGGCGTCAACCACGGCATCGAGTGCCACGGCGACGTCGTCCACTACGCCAATCGCAAGCTGGACGATTTCAAGCGCCATTCGGGCGCCTTGGACGAGTTCGACTACTGCGAGCCCAAGTTCGTGCACGGTAACTGCTTGTGCCTTACCAGCGATTGCAACTCGCAGTACGATCGCGTCTACTGCGGCGCCTCCTGTCCCGAACAGTACGAGACCTACATGAAGAACCTGCTCAAAGTCGGCGGTATACTCGTCATGCCGCTCAACGAGCAACTCGTGCAGTTCAAAAGGACCTGCACCGATCACTGGGAGGCGCGCTCCCTTCTTCCCGTGTCCTTCGCCTCGCTGGTGCAACCCGTCGAAGGATGCCAGGAGTGGGTTCATCCTAGTAAGTAGCGCATCCTAGTAATTATATAAACAAACCTTGTTTATACAATTTTTACAGTCGAAGTCGAACCGTTGTCGCTGCAAACTTTATGCCGCGCTACTATTAGAAACCTGCTGAGGCAGAACATCGAGCGGGAGCATCCGCCTGTTAAGAGACAGGTCAATTACAACAAAGCGCCCAAGAAGAAGAGGGCCTTGAGGAGATTGGCCGTACCGTTGTTCGATTCCGATACGGATTCGGACGATGAAAGGATTTTTGTGAGCGGCGGGATTAATGTAATTACCCGTAACTTTACAGTGACATGTAAATAATGCGCAAAATTGTTGCAGGAAAGGAACCGGGATAACGGCAGGGCTGCGTTTAGAGAAGAACCGGACGGGTTTTTGAATTTAGTTTTAGGCTCGTTCAGAGAAGGAAGATACCTGTTTAGCGGTAAGTATGAAAATTCCTACCCGTAATTGTACAATAAGTGATCATTTTAGGCCCTCTTCACGACAGTGACTGCGTGAATAGCACCAGAGAAAACAACACGGAAACCGATCAATCCAGCGAAGACAATAGAATGGAAACCGACGCTACGGAATCCACCGAAGAAACCGTACAAAAACCGGAGAAGATCAGAACACGAGCCGTTATAGAACACAATCCCAGCACCAGCGAGCACAATACCAACACCACAGCAAACGTTAGTATACCAATAATCAATAAATTCTTCAATTTCAATTTCACACGTAAACCTCGCAGGCGTCGGACGTTCCGATCGCTCCGCAACAGCAGCCAGCCGAACAGGAAGAGACCGAATCCATTCAGAACACGTTAGACGAGATCCACAACGTCATCATCGATGTTTTTAACGTGTTGAGGCGAGATCGCGAGGGCGAGGACGCCATCGAAGAGGACCCGGTCGAACAGCACGATGGAAACGAAGCAACCGCAGAAGATGCTAGCGAAGCGCGCCGAAGCGGGCCCAGCAACTCGAATCTACCGCAGGCGAACGTAAACAGTCGCAACAAGAAGAAGAGGGAGAAATTCGATAGCGGTTTGGGCGACGAGATCGTGGAGAATCGCAGCGATTCCTCGTCGTCCGATGACGACGATGATGATATCGGAGAAGGTTGTTGGATTATTCCGTTCCAAACGTTGTTCGTTGTTAATTTGGGACGCTTGTTGTAGATATGCAATCGAGCAGCGGCGACGATTCGGGACAGAAGCGCACCAAGCGGGCGCAGAAATCGGAAACGAAGAGCAACTCGTCGTTGAAGTGGCGTCGCATCGAGTCCGAAATTCACACGATGGTAGACAGCAGCAGCGAGAACGAGAACGAAGAGGAGCAGAAGTTCGACGACGAGATGAAAATGTACAAGAGCCCCTACACCGAACACATGAAATCCAGGATACAGCAATTGCCGTTGCCGACGATATTGAAGAGTTACCTCAATTATTATAGAGAATTCTAATTCGGAACGGCGGATGGGCGTCAGTAGGGGTCGGGGTTTGGTGCTTGTGCCAAAATCTTTGGTGTTTACTCGAATCGGAGTTTTATATATATACATATTTTTTAAGTTAAGAAAATTTATATTTTATTTGAAATATCCTTAATGATGTTCTGTATAAATACGTGAATTGTAGCTCTATAGCTTAGATTAAAGTGGTGTGATTTATTTGAAATATACACTATAGAGTGTTGGTAGAATTTTTGTAACTCGTTACAAAGTAAATTTCCAGTACTCGACTCTATTTCATGTTTCATGCGAGAAAGTTGCAATCAACCGACAATATCACTCTTTCTTTATCTTTTATATGAGGCTAATGCCTGTTGTCTTTATTGCACCCATCTATATTACAAAGAATTTTGCATCTATAACTGTATATGAGTGAATAAAACCATAATATTCACATTGCTTGGACTAGTATTGCACTGCTGTTTAATGGGTTGCCTAACTAGTAGTGGTGTTCCAAACATCCTGAGTTTCTAAATTAAATTTTATTCTACATATATTATGTACATCTAAGTTATGGGAATAGAAATTAAACAAAAACGATGAAAAAAAAGTAATCAAAAGGCCAAATTTCTGCGGCTCAGCTCGTCGGTAATCCACCCTTTGATCTTTCTCGTGCTCATGTAGACGCCGGGTATCCCTTTATTCCCGCAATGCACGCCCCACGATACGATTCCCGCGTGATAATAACCATTCCCGTTGGGCATTGGGCACATCAGGGGGCTTCCCCCGTCGCCCAAGCAAGCGTCCATTCCATCCTCGCCCCCGGCGCATATGAAACACATGTTCAACTGGAAATATTGGCCTAATATCGTTTTCCTCAAAGAGGCCTGACACTTGTCGAAGGGGACTAGGGGTACCCTAATTTTTTTGAGCATCACAACACCTGCAACGTAATAGATAAGTTCATATTTGTTGAATACTGAGATAGTGTAACCAATTACCTTGAAATTCTGGTGCGGTGCCCCAACCGGACACCAAGCATCGACCTGAATTCTCGTTAGTATAATCGGGAGGCAAGCAAATGGTGTTTACTACATCAGACGAAAATTCCCTATCCAAAATCAGCATAGCGGCGTCGTAAATCAGAGTACCTGAGTAAAAAGTAGGATGCTTGATTATTTCAATTACGTTTCGTTGGTTTTCTGAATATTCCACTACTTTATGTCTAACGGCATCACCGGTCATAACAACTTTGAAATGGTTCGGAGACTCCCTGAAACTTAGGTAACATTGTACAGTTATTTATTTGCCCAAGAGAGCCAGTTATGTACCCTATAAAGGATCCTCCGAAAAACATATTAAAGCAACTCAAATATAACTTACTTTTGACATAAATGATGAGCGGTTAGTATCGCACGAGGACTTATCAAAGCACCGGTTCCGCAGAATATCCATTCATTTGCTGTATTCTTCACATAAATTATCGCCGTCCATGGAAATTCTCCTTTGATGGTGAAGTCCTCGACGGTCGACATAATCTTCGGAGCGACGAGCGTAAGTTGTTGTCCGCAAGTTTTTTTACGGGGTGTTGTTATGGGGTTATTTGTGATATTATAAGGAGTGACCCTTGTAGGATTCTTGTATACAGAAGTATTGTCTATTAATTTGCAGCACACCAATATTTGATTGTGCTGGGAGCCTTTGCAGATAATTCGATTAGGATCGTTTATCCTGAAATTATCGGATTATGTAATGCTTGAAGACACTTTGTGGAACTTGAATTTAGTAAAAATCGCGTAAGTAAATTTAAAATAGATGTATCTAACCTTGGTGATAGCAAACCTTCTCCATTTGTTATAATTGTATTGTTAGCACTGCACAAATAATAAATTACACATTTACACTTATGTATATTTTCGATAAGATTGTTATGCTTTTCATCAGAATGGGTCATGCAATAACCAAACAACAAAAACAGCAAATAAATGAATTTTGAAAAGTGTAGCATTTTTGCGCGCTTCTTGGCGATTTGTTCTTCACCGATTAGCTTTAGAAATATGGTAATTGACGACCGGAGTTCATGGCTTATAAATGAATCCGTTTGCCGATGGGTAGAGGTTAAAATGTTAAGTGTTTATTTATATTTATTAAATTTAGATGAGAACACGACGAGGCTCGTGAACTCATGAACGTACTAAAGTAAAAAGTACTAAAGATGCATTTCGTTTGGAACAATTACAAATACAAAAGCGGAGAAGAAAAAGTGCTTCTACAATTTTCAAAAATCGAAATTTTCGGTCATATTTAGTAATCCTTAAATCCTCTTGAACCACTTTGTATAACAAGCGCAAGATTGTTTGCAATTTATTTAGATTTACAACATCTTTTTGTATCAACAAATGGTGGTTTTTCCATACGGATATTATTTTAACCACTAATATCATTAAAAATATCACAATATATGTAACGGCAAAACAATATACGATATATTTTTATTTTCGAAGATAACCTAATGTTTAACCTTAATTAGATTAAAAAATTCTGCAGTTAAAAAAACAAATTGTACTTGGTTCGGAGATATCGGAAAAACCCATCTAAATTTTAACGCACTGTGAAAGAACACAGTTTGAGTAAATTGCGATGATAGGGAATATAAAACAAAAACTTTATTAAATTGCAAAAATAGAAAATATATTCTTTAAACGAAGAAATTCCACGATTCCACAAAACTAATTTAAAAACTAAAAATAACAATATTTGCAATAATTACATTAGGTCCTTAAAAATAGCTTAAGTTCATAAGTTTCAGACTATCGATTCATTATACAGGTTGAGTTGTTGTTGCACCTATGTATATTCCATATTGCAATAAATTTTCCCTCTAAACCTGATGTACTCTTATGATCTATGAGTGAATAAAACATTAATTTTGACATCTGTTGGTTGGACTAATATAGCACTACTGTTTAATTGGTTGCCTAACTAGTAGTGGTGTTACAAATATCCTGAGTTTCTTAATTAAATTTAAATCATTAATTTTAATTATCATATAGCATGTAGTAGATACAAGATGCAATACCCGAGAGTTATATAAAATAAGTCTATCTATTAGAGCTGCTATGGAAATAGAAATTAACGCACTACATTTATTCAAACGATGACAAAAAAGTAATCAAAAGGCCAAATTTATGCGGCTCAGCTCGTCGGTAATCCACCCTTTGATCTTTCTCGTGCTAACGTAGACTCCAGGTATCCCTTTTTTCCCGCACTGCACGCCCCACGATACGATTCCCGCGTGATAATAACCATCCCCGTTGGGCGTTGGGCACATCAGGGGGTTTCCCCCGTCGCCCAAGCAAGCGTCCATTCCATCCTCGCCCCCGGCGCATATGAAACACTTGTTCAACTGGAAATATTGGCCTAATTCCTTTGTCGTCCTCAAGGATGTTTGGCACTTCTCGAAGGGGACTAGGGGTACCCTAATTTTTTTCAGCTTTACAACACCTACAACATTAGAAATAAGTGCGGTTGATACGACGTGTATTTCTGACAAATGTCTAACATCAAACGGGTTTTGGAAACATTTATCTACGTTTCGGTGGTTTTATTCGTCGCGCATTCGACGATTGATTTATATTTGAGTTACAAGGGATTGTATGGTAAAAAAGTATTCCGGTTTTTTCAAATCAACTTCGCGATTCGGTCAATTCTCGTCGTGCCGTCGCCGATGGTGTTGATAGGAGTAGCGAAGAGGATAGACGAAATAATTTTGTTCTATTTGATTGTGTTAACTTATTCCTTGGTTTGGCACGGAATTGAATGCGCTTTCTCTATAGCGGGCCTACTGAAATTCGATTTAATTCCCTCGGTGGCGTTACAAACGTTTCTAATTGTTGGTGCGATTATAGACATTTCGAGTTTTTGGATGGGATTCAAGTTCCGCGAACGAATCGAGAAGGTCGCGCGCGAAGACGGTATTTTCGATAAATACGCTTTCAAACGATTCGATATTTGTTGATTACTGAATTAGTGTAACCAATTACCTTGAAATTCTGCTGTGGTACCCCAACCGGACACCAAGCATCGACCTGAATTCTCGTTAGTATCATCGGAAGGCAAGCAAATGGTATTTACTACATCAGACGAAAATTCCCTATCCAAAATCAGCAAGGCGGCGTCGAAAACTTTAGTAGCCGAGTAATAGTCGGGATGCTTGATTATTTCAATTACGTTTCGTTGGTTTTCCGCATTTTCGCCTACATTATGTCTAACTTCATCACCAGTCATAACAACTTTGAAATGGTCCGGAGACTTCCTGAAACTTAGGTAACATATCGTTGTTTACTTAACGCAATAAACTGAATAGAATTTTAATAATCTGCAGTTATTTCTTTGTCCAAGAGAGCCAACTATATACAATATAAAAGATCCTCCGCAAAACAAAGTAAGGTAACTCAAATATAACTTACTTTTGACATTTATGATGAGCGGTTAGTATTGCACGAGGACTTATCAAAGCACCGGTTCCGCAGAATGTCCATTCATTTGCTGTATTCTTCACATAAATTATCGCCGTCCATGGAAATTCTCCTTTGATGGTGAAGTCCTCGACGGTCGACAAAATCTTCGGAGTGATGAATGTAAGTTGTTGTCCGCAAGGTTTTTTAGGGGGTGGTTGATTTTTGTGTTTTTCCAAACTGCAGCACACCAACGATTGTCCATTGTCGGTTCCTTTACAGCGTTGCAGTTTTTTACTGAAATTACTGGATTATGCAGGGTTTTCCACGGTAGCCGAACCATTAGAACTTTTAGGTTGTACCGGAAGTATATGTCAACTTCGTTATTTAAAATGGAAAGTACCATTTTTGACTTCATTTTTGGATTCTGTGGCCTTTTTAACTAGACCATGATAATAGCACCATATGCCAAAAATGCTCCATTTATTTCATTTCTTTCGATTTTTTTTTTAGAAAAACGGTCGAATTAATCAAAGTCTGGTTAAAAAAGGCACAGAATCCAAAAATAAAGTCAAAAATGGCACTTTTCATTTTAAATAACGAAGTTGACATTTACTTCCGCTCTAACCGGAAGTCAATTATGATTGAAATTATTTTAGAAAAACTCTCAACTCTCAACATTAGTTATACCTTACACCGAAATTTTCAGATTCGTAATAACTCTTCAGGAACTCCGAAAAAGTCCTAATGCACGGCTACCATATAATACCCTTTATAATGCCCGATGAGACACTTTTTGAAACATAAATTAACAAGTAAAAATCACGTAAGTAGGTTTAAAATAGTTGTATCTAACCTTGATGATGACAAATCGACTCCATTTGTTGTAATAATTGTATTATCATCTTCGCACGCATTGTGTGTTACACATTTACACTTATGAAATCCTTCAATAAAATCGTTGTACTCTTTCTGGGAATAGCTCATACAATGTATTGTCAAAATGCAATAACCAAACAACAAAAACAGCAAATAAATGAATTTCGAAAAGTGCAGCATTTTTGCGCGCTTCTTGGCGATTTGTTCTTCACCGATTAGCTTTAGAAATATGATAATTGACGACCGGAGTTCATGGCTTATAAATGAATCCGTTTTGTCGACGGGAGAGGTTAAAATGTTAAGTGTTTATTTATTAAATTTAAAAGAGATCGTAAACACGTGAACTCGTGAACGTGAAAAGTACTAAAAAGTTAAAATTGCATTATTTGGAACAAATACAAAAACGGAGAAAAAAAAGAGCTTCTACAATTTTAGAAAAATTGAAATTTTCGGTCATATTTAGAAATCTTGAAATTAGGGTATATAATACTGGATAACTTTATATAATAAGTGCAAGATTGTTTGCAATCTATTTAGAGTTAGAACATGTAACAACAAGTTGTAGACCGAGTTGTAGAGTTGTAACAACAAATGATGGTTTTTCCATCACTGCAGATAAAAAAATATTATATTAACCACTAATATCATTAAACATATTATCACATTTTAATGCAATGTAATGGCAAAACGATATCTTTTTATTTAACCTCGAAGATAACTCAACTTTTATCTTTAATTGAATTAAAAAATTCTCCAATAAAAAAAACGAATCGAACTTGGTACAGAGATACCGGACAAAACTTATTAAATTCGGATCCCAACAATTAAATATTTACCATTGCAACACCCTCTATAAATAAATCTATTTATAAACCCCGCGCAAAACGAAATCGATAAATCGCATTAGCCCCATATTCTAAAACGAGCTCGCAATAGTAACAATGTTAACAATCACAATCCGCTCGTTTTCCCGAAATCCCCATGATTCTATTAATTATCTGGAGAAGCGCCAATTCGCGCAACACGTAAGGTTGCTAGTTTATTAGTTTTACGTCCAAAAAAAACAACATTTATACGACAAAAAGATCGATTCCGGTGCGAAAATGCAGCAGATAATCAGCATGGAGGTGGGCAAGGGCCGCGTCGAGTCCTCCCGCTACATCACCAAGAGGTTGTGCTGCAGTTTGCTGCTCACCGTGGCGTTTCTCTCGATGATCGGAGGTGAGTGCGATAACGGGAAAATTCGTTTTTTTTTACCAATAACATAAAAATCTGGTCGTTTTCAGGTTTCTTTTTGGGGAAATTCGTGTCCGACAGGACGAACTCGCAGTACCGGCAGGGCTACAGGGAGTTGACGGGCAAAGTGGACGCGTTGAACGTCAATTTCGTCCAATTGAGCGGCAACCGATCGGGAAACTTGGCTGAAAACGCGAGTTTCTTCAGATGCAATTTTTCCACGATCGGTCACAACGATAGCGGAAAATTAACGGCGACGAATTATTTGAGTAAACTCAATCATTGTTTTGATAGTGGTGTTAAATAGATTAAGTTAGATAGAATTATAAAATTTGCACAAAAATTTCGTTTTTTTAAAATCTGTTAACGGGTAAGGTTAGTAAACTGCGAAATACCGAGTTAACCCGGGTAAACCTAAGTTTATCTTGTATGTAACTTTACCCGTAACATATTCATATCCAAATTTTAATGCACTGTGAGTTTAACTAGAATAGAAATTGGAGTGTACAGTTGGAGTAAATTGTGATGGTAAGGAAAATAAAACAAAAACATTCATTGAATTGCAAAAATAGAAAATATATTCACTAAAAGAAGGAATTCACGATTCAGGATCGATTCCACGAAACTCAGTTGAAAACTAAGAATAACTACATTTGGAGTAATTACATTAGATCTTATTCCAAAGCGTAGGTCGTTCTTCATTCCACTCAGTTTGTAGATAATGTCCCCGAATAATAACTAACAAAGACTTAAAAGAAAAAAATCCAAGTAGAAAATATTAGGTCTGTTCCAAGGTAAACGCAGAACCGTTCAGAATTGTATTAAAAACGAATATACACAAGCGTAGGAAAGCCCAAAACGGCTCAGCATTCCCTTTGGAAGAAACTTGTTAAATTTCATATTCCTAAAAGCTAAATTTACGAAGAAAATTCAAGCTTTATCACATTTATGCATTTGTAAAATCGCAGTGATTTAGTGTTCGTCAATTTGCAAAAAGTTACATTAAACATTACTCATCGGTACTCGCTCGATACACGCTCAGGATATATTTAGTCTTTGGTTTGTTTTACAGGTACTTGTATTAGGTTAATTGTATTTTTGTGTAATTTGTTTGTATGACAAAAATAAGTTACAGGGTGTTAGTTTATAGATACTACGTTTGTTCAGCACTGTATAAACCGAGGATGTATCGAAGAGTACCATCGAAAAATTAATCTAATAACAATTGGCGTTGGCTCTCTAGTATTGATTATTTCTGGCAGTCGTTTACACTTTGGTGAGAATTACAATTGAGTATAATAGGTGAAAAATTGACAATAAGTACATTAGAAATATAGTGTTTCGAATTACAAAAAAAAGCATTGCATCAATTTTTAAAACTCCTCTTAGTCAATAATGGAACGAGACTACTACAAATTATTTCTCTATAGCGAATTAATTGAAAGCAACCAAAAATTCGATAACGATTACAAAACACAAATGGTTATAGAAACCTAAATAAAACATTGATTCCATAAAATTATCGACGTCACAATAACCAGAAAATTTCACTCTTTTTGAGCATAAAATCGTTATATTAAGTACCGATTTTTCCAGAATGCCGTTCCCGTGATAACTAAAGCGTTTGTTAAAATTAGGAAAATGCTTTTGTGCGAATTCAGGACCGGATTTAGATGAATAGAGGCTATTCCCCTGACGAGACACTTTCCTCTATTTTTGAATTTGTAAGTTACATGATAGTTAATAAAATACACCTACAAAAATTTGAATGTAAGCCCCCGATCGATTTTGGGACAATCCGGCCCTGCGTGCGTCATCGTTAGTTACTCCAGCACCAATATTAAAAGCGTGCAACAAACAGCATTCTAGATTCTAGACGCATTAAAGTAAAACAAAAATTAACAAAAAAAAATCGTGTAAAAAACGTAACTGTAAATAAAACTAAACAATAATCTCTTCAATAAACAAAACATACAAAAAATAACATTTATTTTTTTTAAATAAACTAAGATTTATGTGTGTAGAATTAGCGTTTCGTTTTAGGTACCATTTTTCCGATCGATATATCAAACCTTCTATAGATATCACAGTGATGTCGCCTTAAACGATTAATAAAAGTAATAGCAAAAAATAAATTTCTCGAATCGTTTCTATAGTGCTTCTACTGCACCTCTAAATTGGCGATTCGTAGGCCATCGTCGAATATCGCGGACAAAACTATAAAATATATATCACAAACAATAGTACGGGTGAACAAATAAATCGAAATAATCCCTCAATGTTCCTACAAGGTGATGTGATTGACTTTGATTTTGGCCTTGTTGGCCCTGATGGACGGTTTTATGCCGTAGGTGTTCGGTATTGTGGGAATGCACTTCAAAATCCTCGGAAGGCCCTGCGTCTCCGTGTAATTCGACACGTTTTGAGTCGTTTGGTATATTAAAACTTCCTCCAAATCGCTTTCACTAGAAATAAAATAGCTATTAGAATGCTCAAAATCGTTCAAGTACATTTCCTCGCGCCATCTACTCTGAGAAGCGTACAAAATAATTTACCGAGCGTGTTCCAGGAATTCATTGAACATGTGGACGGGAATCTGGCCGGGTTTCTCCGTTTTGTCCACGTACAAGTCCGTTTCTCTGTTGTACAGATAAAGAAAATCGTTCAGCTGCTTCGCCACGACGGCCGCCCTATCCTTGTAATCCATCTTTTGGCTCGGAGTCTTCACGTTGAAGGGCGTCCGCAGGTAGTTCGAAGCCTTCTGCAGGAACTTCAAGACGATGTCGATGTTATCGTGATCGGGCCCCGCCACGATCCTCCTCAATATGCATATCAAATAGTGGCTGAATGTACTTCTCGCTTCCGATTGACTACAAAAAAAAAACGAGTAGTATGATTGATTAGAGTTCATTAGAACCTTATAAACCGATCGTTGGCGTGAAACAAATTGCCATATTAGTGTAAACTAACCTAATTCTTTTCCCACTTTGCAGCATATCGACAATTTTCTTCTTCAATTCCAAGCATTGAGTTTCCCTCGATATTTTATGCGGACCCAGCGTGGACCTGTAACCTTGACTCAACATCCTTTCGTACCTATCCTGGCGGGTATTCGTATTCTTGTTCGGTTCTAAAACCGAGCGATTAATTAAAAAAAATTAGACAAACAAACTCTTAATTACCTTTGTATCCATCTACGGACAAATCCCGCTTTCGTATCCCTTGCCTCGAACGGGTGGCTGCCTTCTCGCCGGGCGGTTGCAGAGAAACATCTTGGTAGAAATGCGAATACAACAGGAAATTGTAATTGTGCGATATGTTGACGCAGAAACTGTTGCCGGGATTGCCGGACAACGGTATGCCGTTCATGCGATCTGCAATTCAATGGGGGGGTCGCTAGTAAAATTCGCGCGGATATTCACAAAAACCGACCGGATGTACCTAAATACTGCGAATACTTCGCCCAGCTATCGGCCGACGGGAATATCCTCACGAAGCCGCCGCGCCTCTTGAACTGGGCCGAAGCGCTCCTGATGATCCTGGCCTCTTCCGGGGTGTACGGCAGCGGCGACCGGCCCACCGTATTCGTGGTCAACGATTGCTTTTTCGTTATGTTGCTCGAACTCAGACCGTCCGCCGATTGGACTCTTCTGCACTGCGAAAACGGCCACAAGTTAGACGTGCTTATACAACATACTTATATAACTTACGTTACTCAAGTGAGTTTTTACGTTCGACGATTTATTGCTACTGTCTTGGTTCAGTACTCGAATGGTCGGATCGACTGCTGGTAATCCGATTAACGACAACAGATCGGCCAACATGGCCGATTTCAATCTCACGTCCAACGGGCTATCACAATTTAGCGACGGTGATAAATTGACTTCGAGCAACCACGGCTTCAAGTTCTTATCGATTAGTATATCAAAGCCGAATAGTTCTGTAACAAACGCACACGTAAATCTAGGATGTTTTGGAAATGTACGAAGGAACTTACCGAAGCAATTATTATTGTAAGGTACAAACATTTTACAAGCGGATATCACAGAATTAGCACAAGATAAGCACGCTTTGATGATTAAATCTTCTATCTGAGACATTAGTAAAGCAGTATCTTTCCCTTCAGATTTCAGGTGTCTTAGTAAAGCGCTCAGCGTCCACTTATGACCTACATTTTCCGCTGACGGATCATCGGATCTATAAAAAATAATAATAAATCCCTTACTCAACAAAAAAAAGACCTTACTTACTTGACATAATCGCTATGGTACTTATTTATACTATAATTACACAGGTGCATGCAGGGATTCCACAGCTGCTTGTGACTAGAATCGTATTTAACAGTAGCAAATCTCACTAAACCCTCTTCGTATATGTAAATTAACAGCGGATCAAAACTGGTAACGACAACGTACAATCTCAAATCGCACTTGTGTCCTGCTACTAAAAGCGGATTGGAAATGTATTTGGCAACGACGACTGGTTCTTCTAGTGGCACTTGATTCGGAGACTCGACTATAAAAATGCCTAAAACAAATTTTATGTACGTAAGTAATCGATGATAGATGCCGATGATCGCACCTCTGCCTCGACTGGAGGCCACCGGTTTAACAATCCACGGTCCTTTGATCCTGTGGTGAGTGGAACACAATTCGCGGTACTCGATGGGCATGACGAACGTCTGCGGAATGAAATCGAAATGTTTCAGTCCCTTCGTATGTTGCATTCTTTCAATGTTCTTGTACAAACGATCCTTGCGCGTTAACTCGTACGATCTAGGAAAATGGTTGACCCTTTGGTAAGGACCTAATGCTCGAATTGTGCCTGTTAACAAACAAATTCAACGTTTAATATCGCAATTTTCTTAAAACGAAGGTAGAAATCACAAGGAATTCATACATACCTAAATTAAAATACATAATGTCTTCTCCATATTTTAATTTTTCGTACGTACTAACTTTTTCTAAAAAATTAAATTTTTTCACTTAACCGATTAACTGTAAGATTACTGTGATTTCTACCTATACAATTTAATCAATTTCTAATTACATAAAATACAAACCAGGTTTCGGGTGGGATCCAGTCCACAACAAATTGAAATCCATCGAGGAAGCGGGCACTTCCGATATCCCGTGGCAATCGAGCAGCTTCGAAAGGAGCTTCGATTCGGCTTGAAGTACTTTGTACGTTACGTGTAGCTTGTAACCCGGTTTGGACTGTATGGATAAATCGCTGGCATTGGCCAATGCAGAGCTACGGAATATCAGTACGGTGTTTTTGGAGCCCAAGGCGCCCCCGCATAACCAGGATTCCTCGGTGGCCTCGCGCGACTCATCGAGAGGAATAACAGCCGATTTGCTATAAAGATGTTAATATTTTGTTAGTGTAATGGAGCCAAGATATGAGGTAAGTCGAGGGTAAATGAATAATAGATAGAACCTGGATTCGTTAATGATCTGATCGAGGGAATCTTTAGGACTGACGGGAGAGGTTAGGTCAATGTTATTGACGCTATAAAACTGAGAGATTTGCAGGCACTCCCAAGTTTTGCTTCTAAAATACATACAAAGTGTTCAATACTAAAAAAACAAATTAAGTGTGTAATTGACTTACTCTTTTGACTGAACAGAATCTGCGGATTCATCGAATTGATTTTCGGCTCTATCCAAAGAAGCATTAGATAATGTATCACAGGAATTTTCCATTTTTATTTAAATTTTGTTCCTCCTTGTAGGAAAGACACTAAAACTAGATACAAAAAATTTTATAAGTCCACAAAGATTTTTGCACGATAGTTGTAAAAAATACGTAAAATGAGCTGTACATTGAAATACTTACATTTTGAATATATAATTTTTTTTGACTACATACAAAAAATTTAAAGGAAAAATAGGACCAACGACGCCATGTTCCTTAAAAACGTCAGATTTTTTTCTTACTGACGTATGTCAGATAATAATTTAGGCGTTTTCGATTTTCCATTAAAATTAATTATACCAGTTGGTTATATTATTGGTAGATCGGTTGGTAACGAAGCATACAGTGTTGCCAATTCAAATTTTAACAACAATGCAATTGACTTTGACATTTGAAACTTCAATTTTTTTTGACATTTGACAATTTTTGTAAACAATTATTTACTTTTTTATTTAAGGCCTAAAATGTTGAAAAACTAGTTTAATTTTATACAATTCGAAGAAGTTGTGAAAAAAGTTAACTTTATACAATTTATTTTAAATATGCACAGATTTTAAACTGGTGTAAATGTTTAGTTACTTTGTTCAATTTTTGTAACTATTTTAGCAAGAAAAATGTTGTCCAGGAAGAATAAGGATCTGAGAACAATCAAGGAAGGAGTCGTTGGGAAGTATGTAAGAAAAGACACTCCTCCCGAAATGCCAAGTGAGTGCAACTCGTGCTAATTAAAAGCTATGATTCATTGAACAAACATCCAATCGATTCATAACCCAAAACAAAGAAAAATTACCAAATTCGAATCTAACGATAGTTTTATTATTTTTAACAGTTATTAACGTGTGGACAACAGAACCAAAGCGACGCCATTCGAACACCAGGTCTGCTCTAAACTCCAACAACACATTTCCAGCATCGTCTTCCCAGCAAAACGTACAGACTGTGCAGAAGTTCGGCAATCAAAAAACCCCAATCAGTGATGTCGGTTTAGGGGCTCACGAAGGAAAATACACACCTAGTGCTTCAGTTCCTGATTTAGCTACAAGGTGACTAACTCTAAATGCTTTCATATTCTTTATAACGTTTATATAACTTCTAGGTTCTCTAATATTAACATTGGTTTAACTCGAGAGAACAACCAACCGGCGACATTCAACACCACAGGCATAAACTCCTCCCAACCGATCTACAGTAACCAACCGTTTAGTATCGCTTATCAAGACAATTCGGCTGTAAGTGCATCACAAAGCTCAATAGATAAAAATTGCATGTTTCAATCAATTTTCGATTTATAGAGCAATGCTAACTACGTGGAAATCGACCAAATATACCCACTCAGTCAAGAGAGCAACAGTAATTACAGGGACTCCCCTTACAACAGGACAAACTCGCCGATTTACCAAAATACGAATAAGACGGACAATCTGGATTTGACTCCAATTTACAGTAATACCAATTTTAAACAGTACGGGAATTCGAGTCAAACCATATCCTACGGTGAATCATTTCCCAACCATTCGAGACATAGCGTAAACAGATCCGAAAATTCGCAGGGTAAATCTTGTTACTAAACGAATTAATTGAGTAATAAATACACCTTTTCGTTACTTAGAACAATCGGAAGAGTTGCCCTTACCTCCTGGTTGGTCCGTGGATTATACACTAAGAGGAAGGAAGTACTACATTGATCACAATACTAAAACGACCCATTGGTCCCATCCTTTGGAAAGGGAAGGTCTTCCCACTGGCTGGCAGTGCATTCAATCGGATATATACGGAATTTATTACGTTAAGTAAGGTTCTTTGCGATAGCGTAGTTGAATTGGGTGTAATGTTTGAAAATTTTCCAGTCATATAACCAGAAGAGCGCAATACGAGCACCCCTGTTTAGTTCCTTGTTTCAATTACACCAACGAATCGTTTCAAAGATACGTTCCGGTTGGACCTACGCATTATCAAACTCATAGTGTATTGGTACCAGCCAATCCGTACTTGTTGGAGGAGATTCCCCATTGGCTTAACGTGTACTTTAATAGTAAGTTTCGTGTTGGAAAATTGTTATTTTTAATTAATATTTGGTGTAATTTCAGCTAGCCCAAAGTTGGATCATAAATTGAGATGGGACATGTTTAAATTATCCGAATTAGAATGTTACAATGCCATGTTAACCAGACTGTACAAGCAAGAATTGCAAAATATTGTTATGCGATACGAATCCTACAGGTAATTAGTTTTAAATAATTTATTTACAATCCATGTTTTATTTACAGAACATTGTATCGAACGAGAGTTTGAATAACTACGAGGAGACTAACAATATGTTAACAATTTTTTACAGATCGGCGTTAATGATGGAAATGGAGAAGTTCGGTGTCAATCGTAAAAACAGATAGGACTGTGATGGGATCACCTCTACTTATACGAATCCTGATTTGTGATGGCATTTAAATAATTTTAAAGCTGTGAATCGCTTTCCTTTTCGTCTATAACTTCTTTAACGGAAAATCCCTCTACCCTGTATACTTTGGCGTTGTCAATTTTTAACAATTTAGCCCATTCGTGACCTGTAAAGATTATTTAAGGAAATTAAAGAATTTTATTTTTATCCGATTTGATTTAAACGTATTAAAAGGAATTATACGAACCTGCCGATGCCTTTTTCTCTTCCGATAATCCATGGTATGTTGCCCAATCGCCTTTACCGGAACATATTTGGTAAAGGACAAAACCAAATGCATTCCATGCAATTAAAGCATAGGCTATAGCCAACCTGTTTTTCCATAACGCTGCTTTGTCTACGGGAATAGGGTTTGTATTTTTCCTAATTAAATTCCTTAGCCAAAAGAATCGAAAAAAAGACATTATTTGAATTCGATTGACAAAAAACCCTTTAAAATATACTACATAACAAAACCATAACCTTACTTTATTACTGACAGTTGTCAGTTCCCTTTGAATCGAGGTCTCGAACGTTAAGGCTATACAGCAGGTACTTTTACATAATGAGTCGTCCAGCACAAAAATCGTTTAAAAAAATCAACTTCCAGATTCGGGAAACGATAAAATAGTAAGTAGAGAGAAATATGAAAACAAAAAGTATCAAAATGAGAATATTTATTGACGCAACCTCATGCGTACAATGACAAACTTGCAGAGATTATAATTCTCATAATAGTAGATCTTATGAAAGTCAAAAATTTCACCGATTTGCATTTTACATTCACAATAATCTTAAAAAAACGTAATTCAACAACAAAATAAAACTTAGCTCACAGTTGTGTGTTCTTTAGTTGCAGAGCATTTCAATGGTTCTCTAACATTTAAAAAAAAGTATATGGCATGAAACGTACATAAATAATACAATAATATACCTAAGCTATATTTATCTCAGACGTATAATTCTATCATACAAAACACTCTGCACTAAATTATCTACATAAAAATAACCCTTTTATTTTTTTAAGAAAAACAATAGAAATTTAACAATATATTTTTCATATATCTACAAGATTCATAGTTGTTTAGTTATTAAATATATTTTACATACTTTTTAATTCTAATGAGGGTGAGACCAACTGTAGGACCCTTACATTTCAGTTAGTAGCAAAAAGTAAGGTATACATCGTACGCGGTTTATTCAACAGAGCTAGTCCTTGTTGATGAAGCAAACACATGATACTCTATCACATCTTGCATCACAGCAATTACAAGTAATTAGTAATTAATTATACAGCTTTCAATAACTTCCCAAAACGCATCGATTGCATACATTCCAACACGCCTCCTTGAATCCCATACAACTTGTAATTGAAAATTTTACACAAACCTGCCTGATACAATGCGTTATTCGGTCGCAATAAAATTTCCAATTTATCAGGACTAGCTTTTTGAATACGATTACTCGATTGTTTGGAAATTTTGAGCTCCCTTGCTATACCTTAACGGTCTTAATAATCTATTTAAAACACAATTTGCTATAATTCTCTTCTATAAGCTTCTTCTAAGTGAACTTAAAGAGTGCTCTTTTTAAAGTTTTGGTAGTGAACTGGCACTATTATATGCGTATATACATAAACAACTTCCACGGCTACGTAACTTGCGCTTCGAATGGGCATGAAATTATGAGAAACATAGGCCTAAATAATTCTATTTGTAAAACGCACTAATTTCACAACGGACATCGAACGGTGCAATAGTTAAAAGACATTTTGAAGCAAACTTCCAACAGTTAATCGACTCTTTTCACGCGCACATTTAAAACGGAATGACGCAGCCAGTTAGCGTTAGGCCATAACAGGTAAAATTAATTGCGCGATTTGAAACAGACTTCGAATTCAAATTACGTAGCGACGAGTGTTACAGCGCAATTGCAAAATTGCGCTGCAGCACATACATAATTACTGTGGTTAACAATGGTTTACAAAAGGACTGGAGAAACCCTTACACTCGTTTTATCGATAACAAAAATGTCTGTTACATGTTCCAAAGGTATTCACACATTACAAGAATTTTTGTCGGAAACGCAAAGGTGAACCGGAAACTTATACAGAAAAGTGCAAATAGGGTCAACTCATTGCAATTTCTTCACTCACTGTGAGACTAATGAAAGTTGTCTTCAATATTGCGTACAAACTTGCACTTATCTGTACATTTACAGTAGAGAAATCCAGAAAAAGCGCTGCGATTGCGATTCATCTATCCCTGTACTGAATGTTGCATACAAAATTTAATTTCCAGCGGGATTTTTCGAGAAAATTTCGCAGCCGATTTTCCGCAAGTGTATAGAGAAAAGAAAACGAACTTTTATCACATGTTACATTTTATTCATTTTTAAATTCATTTTTTTTTTAAGAAAAAACAAACACAGTCGACGTGCTACTACTTCGAACGTGCTTAAAACAATTCATTACTGGTTTAAGACAATTCTTTTAATACTCGATAAAATAACGACGCTTCTTGCCCAATTTATTTACAGCGCTTTCAGTCTAAGTAACTTAGATTCCCTTAGATATACAAACATTAGCCAACTCGTCAAGCTTTTATTCATTACATTATAATTCGGGTGGAAAGTATGCGGAAAAATGTTTAAAAAATATCGTTTCGGAATAATATACGGAAAGAGCGAAGAATGTGCAGAATAACACACGATATTTTCAAACCGAGAGGAGCTTCTGAAATAGCAATAAAGTGAATGGTTAGTAAAAAAAATTGATAACAAATTATAAAATTAATGCGTGAGTTTTTGTATATTTTAAAAAAGTAATTAGTAGGTAACAAATTATTTTGCTCCGCTCGGCTTCGAACGTGTTTTTACATAAACAAAAAGAATACAAAGTGTGTTTTTTTGACACCATAAATAGCATTTATCCCGTAATATTTTGTAACATGCCGGCCCTCCGACGAAAATTAGCTACAATTTACCGGACATTTCCATGACTGCGCAATAAAATAAATAAATATAACCAACCGCATTTGTAACACAATCTGTAACCACGGTACTTTAGTTATTTACAGGTTTAACTTGATAGCAATATTTTTACGATAGTCTTTATTTGTTATAATATTCACTGTTATTTTTATAATTTTTTTATTTAACTATACACACATCCGTTGCTTCTAGAGTTATGTAAAATCTTCTCTATTCTCGGACACGATGCACAATGAAATATGTCACTACACCAAAAAATTAAAAAACAAAAACCTTAAACAAAATACAGTAGTTCTTTCCTTTGTTTCCGTGCAAATTTCAAACTTTCGCCGCTACAAATCTCCATTTATGAATAATACCTAATATTCTAACTAACTATGACGAACAACGATTAAAATAGCCCGGAATTTCAATGATAAATCTCTGACAGGCTTCCTATGGTTTGTACTCTAAACAAATCACCCTAATGGGACCAAAAAAATGTACCAAATTTGACTGATCAATACTCCTAAATCAAGCAAAAATGGAGAAAAATTAACGGCGAAATTCCATCGAATGCATCATAATCGAAAAAACCTTCCACTCAATCTATTATTTTAATGCGATAAATTTTTTTACAAAAAAAAAACTTATAAAATAATTTAAATATACAATTCACAAAATAATAGACTAGTTGTTTTTTTTTTGTTTTAGTTACAATAAAATATTTTTACATCAAAGTTCAATACACAAATCAGTGCAAGAACGAAAGTGTAATTATCGAGGACATTTTATTTATATATTTTAATATTTAATAATTAATATTTAAATATGTTTCTGGTGTTGTGAAGCATGCTCCAAAAATGATAAGATGGTGAATGGTCATCTGCACATGGTGTCTTTACTTACCAGCGAACAATTAACGGAAAAAAGGGCAATTGGGGGGTAAGGGGCGGTGAATGGGGGTGATATTTAGGCTGATTTAAAAATTTAACATTATCACTTTTTGCTGGATGGGCTGTTATTGTTTTGTGCAGACGTATTCTTGTTATGATTTATCTCGAGTTCGGCTAATTTCTTCCAAAGTTCATCTCGCTCTTTTTCCCGTTTTTTCTCCCTAAAAACACCGTTACATAAAACTCTAAAATACTTAACAAAAAATACTCTCTACTCACTTTTGTCTTTCAGCCTTGTAACTGACCGTAAGTTCATCAAACAGTTTGGAATTCATCTCCATGAATGTCTTGAGTACATTGTATACCAAAGCCACGATGGTTTGGTTCCAATGCTCTTTCGAGATGCGATATAAAGCGGGAAACATGATCGGCATGATCACGTGATTGTTCTCCTCCATCAGCGACATGATATACTCGTTGTTCCAAAAGTACAAAGCCCGCTCTGCTACCTGAACATTAGAAACGAAATTAGTAGTATCCAGAAATTATAGTTATTCCCATTTAATCCTTACTTGGAAATGTGGACTGGAAACGCACTTGGCGATTTGCTTAAACAACGGTTCCTGAATTCGCAGAAACTGCGACGGTTCGATCACGTCCAAAACCTCTTCGATTTCGCCCAAAAACATCACCTCCTTTTGACTGCACGTCTTCGGCCAATATTTAAGTAGACCCTTTACCACAGGTTCCGTTAAAGTCGGATCCTTTTCTAAGAACTGTACAACACAATAGGCTAACTGAGCGTGGTATAACGACAGGCATTTCACCTTGTGCAACGGTATCAAAACCTTCACCAGGAACTGCTTGTGTTCAGCCTTAAGAGGTAACGCGAACCCATTGATTATGGAACCTAAGATTTCTAGAAGCTCGCCGACTCCGTTGAAATGTTCAGTCTCGTACACAAACCTACAAACATCGTACCAAGCTTTAGCATATAAGCTCCGTCGTACGTTTAATCGAGCATTACAGTAACTGAAACGTACCTCAAAAATATATTGTTAATTTGTTTTCGAATAAACGCCCTCAAGCCGAGGAATTTCCCGTAGATGCGGTGCAGCACGGTCTTGAGGAAGTCGCGCTCCCTCGGATCCTCCGAATCGAACAATTCTAACAGCTGCAGGACGAATTTCTGGTCGATGACGCGTTTGCCTATTGTCGGTTGGAAATCCGAGCTCTCCAAGAATCTGAGGAAGAATTCGTAGACGAGCTGCAGGTGGGGCCAGCTCGCCTCCAATGTCGGATCGTCCTCTTCGGGATCAAAGTCGGGATTTTCGCTCGGTGGTAAAGTTCTAAATAAGTTTGCGGATATCTACAATAAATAAACATAAACTCGTTAATATATATTTCTAATATTCCCTCAACCGTATATGCCTATGACTGTTTGGTGCGAACATTATCAAAACTTATCGTTGCCTAATTCAATTAACGTTATTACTAGAATCAATTTGTTTGGTTATTTCTCTACTCGTTATATATACCATAAACAACAATTTTATTCCTTTACAACCGAGAAAAATAAACATTGGCAAAATAAACAGTGATTTGAGCAAGCAAATACAGCTACTTTTCCGAGCAGAAAATCTATAAATTCAGATAAATTTGGTACTCACCATTTTAATAATTTCCGGATAAACGGGCTCGGTAAGAACACCCCTTCCGCCCGTTATGTAATCGACCAGTTCGTTCAAAGTGCATCTTTTTACCTCTTTGCCCTTCAAATCGGCGACGGGGTCCATAAAATCGAATGCCACGCAGCATTGCCTAAGTTTACGAATGAATAGATCTTCTTGTTCCGATGCTGGTACATCTGCAAAGGAGAACAACACATTTAGAAATTAAGATATATCAAATTTTACACAGATTTGGTGGTCAATGCCAGTTCACGTTTATTAGCAAGAGAGGTACTTACTTTATCGTCAAGAATCGGTCGATTAGTTAATCGAATCGATATTCCGTGAATACCTCAACGAATGAAAAAGATCAAATAACAATTGGATCATATTAAAGTAATTTCAAACTTCCTGTAGGTGTCACAATTAAAAATAGTACAAGTCTACTTTGGAAAAACACGGGGTATTTATTGACAATTATTATGCTTCGTAATTGCAAATATTTCAGTTGTAAAACGAAATTTCGCGTACACCTCCTAATAAATTTTAACTCTTAATCAAAAGTTGATTAATGAAATCGAGACGGTTTTTAATAAACCTTTGTGTTCCGTTATTATCTCTATTGACAGATACGAGTAGAGCATCATAAATCGAAGTAAACAAAAGATTTTTACGACGATAAATATTACATAACGTTTCAAAAACGAAAAAAAAGCATATACATAACGTTAAATTATGGAATTTAATTTTCGTCTATAACTTTTCCGTGTGTGTATTATATATTAATAATCACCTATTGTTTTGAATAGGTAAAGTTCAAACTCAATGTCACATAAACGCAAAAAATAGAATACCTAAACGTGTTAATAAATACCTTCGGGTTTTAAATAAATATAGCACATATACCGATGTGATTATGATTTTGGTAATTGAATAAAAAGTTGATAAAAATGTGAGTGCTCTTAAGATTGTTATATGTTTTCAATTCAAATAAACATTCGTTTAATTTTCACTAAACAAACTTAAACTAAATTGAAATATCATAGATTAAGAAATTAACAAATAAAAGAGCCTTTTTAATTAATAACAACCAGCCTGCTTATTGGAAATTTACTAAAGTGTAAACTATTAAATCTTTTTGATGGGAAGTAAATTAATCGAGATTTAAAGTAATAATTACTAATTAAAAAAAAAATCATAAATCCAATAATCAATATAAAAAATAAACATACTTTTTTTACTATAACCTCAATTTTATTGATGTTTCTTCTTCGGCGACATTGCCAGATTTCGCGTTTATCGGCGAATGTTCGCAATATTCGTGAAATCGAGAAGGCCGCGTAAACGCATATCCGCTTACGTTGTGGATATCGCGATATTTTATCAAACTATTTGACATCGTCGCGTCAAAAAAAATCTCAAAAATTTTAGGTTAGAACTAAAAAATTTCGAAAAATTACAAAATCGGATCGATTCCAACTTTCCTGTTAATTCGCTTCGAATTCTACTCGTAGATTTGCGATATATAAAAATAAACGAAATTATTAATTATATAACAAAATGTTTAGATGGGAATTGTAATATAGAGCGTTAATGATATTCTTCTCGTGTTTATTATTGATGTTACACCAAAGTGCAAAGTTGAATGCAAGTTGACCTAGGTCAATTGGAATACGAAATGCGGTTTTTTTTTTTTAAAGATTCAATTCCAGTTCGTTAGGCTCACCTTTAAGAAGAGGTAGCTGTTGGAGTTCGACGTCTTGTGAGTTTCGATATCTGGAGCTTCCCTGTGATTTCCTGGTCTTCTTCTTGAGCGACCTTTTGGCGAAAGGATCGATTCTATCGACGAACGTCGTCGTCGTCGTCGACATCGTGCTAGCAGTATTCAAGAAACTTTATCCCAGCAACAACAAAAAACGATTACAATTCAACAAGCAAACACTATTTACAAAGGGGTCTGTACGAGATCGCTCTGCATTTCACTAAGTACATCAAATTTTCGTTTTGTCAAATTGCACGGAATTTCAAACGCATCGTTTAGTGTGTATATTTATAGGTCCAGAAATTTATGAATGATTGCTAAATATCAATGACAAGCCACAAGGTGTGTGCCTTAATACTTCAGAGCACGCCCAATTATATCAACTGGTTCGATTTTATGGAAATTTTTTCGTTGATCTCGAATCAATCGCACTGGTATTAGTCAAAAAACGCGAGCCTGCCGATCGGAAATCACATAAAAACTGTTTTAGATGTGCGATCACTAAACTGCCAAGCCATTCCCGTATTTTCGCCCGCCATCAGCTGGTTATTGCAACACAAAATACCTTTAAACGGACGATTTTCACGCACTCGCGCTTTTATTTACGCATTTTCCTCGCCGCAAATGAACTTATCGAATATATCGTTTCGCCTCGCATCTATTGAAATCCGTTAAATAATTTTCGGTGATATATTTTTTAGACTGAATGATTTGCGATGCCGAAGGTACCTAGGACTGAAAATAGATGGGAGGTAATCACTAGTCAAGCGCACAACTGAATTGTCATTATTTTCGCTCGAAATACGACAAAACGACGTCCGCGAATCGCGATAAAATTATTATTATTTTTTTATATTAATTTCGGCAATATTTCGTCGATATTTTATTGAAAAACTCGGTTTTTTATCGGAATTTATTATCGGTCAGCACGTCGTCGAATCGAAATATGCTAACTTTTAGGCGTTTTTTCGAGAACACGACATCTAGACGCCGGCTTTATTTTTACGTTACTATCAGTTTATAGATTCGAATTCAAATAATCACTTATTTATATTAATTCTTTTTAAATTTTACAATTCGTTTAATAATATATTACTTCTGTAATAAATATTACGCTTGTAAATGGTATAATAGGCATTTTTTCGCGAGTAGTGCAAACAAACCAGAACCATAGGCTGCGTTCGGTAAATCGGCGCTTGTTGACGTTTGACGTTTATGACACGTGTGTGTCTGCCCTTTTCTATTTAGTACAAGGAACAAGGAGAGAAATAGCTGTAAATAAATAAATCGATGGCCCGCAAATTGTAAATAATCGGATATCTGGTAAAAATCTTTCGACTTGGCATTTTCGTATGTAGAATTAATTAATTATAGAATAAAATTCTTTATTTATTTAAAAGTCGACGCCATGTGTAAAGATTGTTGCATATACTACAGGTACGTATAGGGTGTCTCAAAATATATATGAAATTAAAATTACCATGACATTTAGCGTTTAAATCACGAAAAAGTCATAACGGTTAGCGACAGATTCGAAAATTTTTAGGAAATGTTCAACGTTCTAATCTCTTCTAATCCCTTTAGGTAATTTTATTTAAAAAAAACTGAACCCGATTAGTGCATTCACATTTATTACAGAAAATAATTCTTTTTTAATACGTAATGAATGATGCTCGATCGGCGTCAACCAGCCCGTTATTGAAGAAGAATTTCGATGGGCACTACGAAGACAGCTTATCGACGGAGAGCGGCAGTCATTTGAGTTTAGATTTCTGCTCCAAAGTGCTGGGAAAACCCTGTGCGCATTACGGAAACCCCAACAAAAACAAAAACGATAAAAAATTGTTGGTCGACGTTCAAAAAGTCGGTCAGTAGCGTAAATTGCGATATAATTAAACCGATTTATTAATTCGTTGATTTTCTTTGTAGTGACAGTGTACACTTTAATAGAGGAAACTGCAAACCCGTTTGTTACAGAAAAATCTCCACCTAACAAACCCGGTAATTTGGATCCTGCACGACGACCTATGTCTAACAATACAGAAAATCACAATCAAATTCGCAAGAAAGAAAACAATTTCCCGAGCGGCGTTTTAGATCCAGAAAGGAGCAACATTTCGAAAGAAGATTCGTACCACTCCGTACGCAAAAACCACTCTGAAACCGCCAAGCATGATAAAAACCCAAACCCCTTAACGAATCAACCAAAATCCGGATTAATCGAGGAAAGCGTCCAGAGTTTCACCAAGCAAGCATTCACCAGCCTCTCGACCACCAAAGAAGGAAAAACGCAAACCCGAGACTTCCCTTCCCTCGAAACCCACCCTACAAGTCAGTATCCCACTCAACAATAAACACAACAATCACCTAAACCCTCATCAAAAGACTACAGACAAAAACGCCGGAGCTTCGCCGACGACAACTCCCAAACTCCGCACTCCTCGTCGGTGGACTACACGCGACGCTACGGCGTCGACTCCTACCCAGTCAAAGACGTTTCACCGGGATTCGTCGACAAAACCCTGCAAACCTCCGACAACGGGCTGTTCGAAGACTGCAGCACGTTCCTCGCCAACGCCGGCGTCAATACGAGCGACAGAACGAGACAACTAACCTGCAGCAAAGTGCAAACCACCAGCCCCTACAGCATGTCGGACGAGGTGCTACATCCCGACTTGTGCAAATGCTGCCGGTGAGCGTGAAGAACCACCAACGATGATTTTATTAGGTAGAGCATTGCAGATATCCTCGCCACAGAAGGCGCAGTCCGCCAGAGACCCCGCGTAGATACTCCGATCGGTACGAACCGGAGCCCATCCATTACGCCCGTTCGCCCAAAGCGAGGCCCAAAGACGCCTGCTTAGTCGCCGGCAGGAACCGATGCGATTGCTGTTGCTCCTGCCGTTGCCAGCCCAGGCGATCGCCCAACATCAAACGTTGCTCGTGCGACGACGATCCGCGGTTGCCTAAGTATCCGGCGTGCAGGTGCAGGGACGCTTCGAGATATCCGCCGCCCTACGACGGGCCGTCCGTGGTCGAGGAGGATTGCGAGGACGAGCTGGAGCTGGTGGTCGATCAAAGCGACGGCGACAGCTCGGAGGGAAGCGCCGGGTACTACGAGGAGCTGCCGTACCAGAACAACGAGGAGTTCGAGGATTTGGTGCAGGAGCTGGAGGATAGTTTGCAGGTGAGGAGCAAGAACCGGGTGCAAAGGACGTTGAGGCAATTCGAGGAGCGCAGCAAGTTCAACAGGCCTTTGGAGAAGCCCATCATCGATTACGACGAAGAGAGCGAAAGCGAGGAGCCGATTATGAGGAAGATATCGGAGTTGACGGAGAAGCGGTAGGTTAAATGTCCTTCGTAGGTTTTTATGTTCTTGTTAAACGAGTCGTTTTAGAAGGCAGATGCACAAAAGTTTCCCTTGCAAAGGACGAGCTTGTTGTACTTACAAACAGTTAGACGATAAGGAATTGGGTGGTAAGTTTGCTCCGAAACCCGTTAGGAAATACCAAGTGCAGCAGCAGCATCAGCAAGTTCGTGCGAGTAGAAAAATTCGATCGAACAGGAGCCGTTGGAGGCAGGACAGCGAAACTGGCGAATGGTACAAAGTGCCTGGGCGCGTAAACGATTGCGGTACTTCGTACAAGAACGAACACGTTTGTAGTTGTACTTGTACGTGCGGCAGGTACGACTCGTAATCGTTTACTCGAACTCAAAAGTTTGGATTCAAATTGATGGTGAAATCGCAGCGTTTTTAACTACCAATCGTTTTATTTCGAAATTTAAATGAGGTATAAAGAGAGATAAATTAGCATATACAAAAATAAAAACTGATCAAATACGCGTGAGTTTTGTTTCCTTCATACCTAATTGTCTTCGGGCTCCACCAGCTCTTTGTTTTCCTGAAAGGATTCGAAGAGAGAGTTAATATTTGTTGAGAATTATTCGTCGAGGATACTTACTTTTATTCGTTTTCCGAACGCCGAGTAGAACGTTACCGTCGATGTGGATTTCAAGCCAGTATTTTGGTTAAATACTGTGCACTTGTTGTACGGGGGGCAATACAAATGGAGGCTGATCGCTGTGTCGACATTGGACGGATTCTCCACCCTGTGAAGACCGATGGAATCTGAAATCGAATCGCTTATTAACTTCTACTTGAATATAAAAAATTCGATTGCTCAATTACTAATGTTAACATCTTTTTATCTCGACAATAATAAGTATGATATAGATTGATGATTGTTTACCAAATCGAGCACGCTTATCGTTATCGCAGATTATAAATTTCGAATCACATTTAAATATGTAAAATTTGTTATGGTAACCGCATACGAAAAAAATCTGGGTCGATATGGTTTAACATTTCGAAACTGGAAACATAGGTCGAAAGTGTCCCGTTATTTGAGGATAAAACAGGGTTCCTAAAACGGCCGATAGGAGGCGATGTTGTAAAAGAACCACGGTTTTTTGCGTACGAATTATATAGAATTGGCAATAAGAAACTTAAAATAGATACAAAATATAAAAATATACTTAAATCAGCGATGATTTTGTTGTTAACATCATGCCTCACGTATCTTCGATTAATGTATTTCTCCATTTTCTCCTCGAAATGTCAAAAATTAATTTTTCAAGTTTTGACAGTTCGAACTGTCATTTCACACAACCGCGATTTATATAAAGCGCGACGCTGATTGGCCGATATAAGTTGGTCCGATCGTTCGCCACGTTGCGGCGCAAAAGTGAATCTCAAAAAGTCTTCAAACAACTGGACACTAACACATACACAATTAGGCCGTTTCCAGACCTTAGAAATAGAAATACAGGCCCGTACTCACCGTTGATGTAGGCCACATCGTTGAGCTTCAGCTCCTTGCGGCCGATCTCGCGCAGCCGATCGCCCTCCTCCTTGGGCCAGGCGAATCGGATCTCCTCCAGCGAGCCCTGCAGCATCTTCATGAAGCAGTGCGAGTTGGCGTGATCGTGGATGGCCGAGCCGTGCCCTTCGCCCCAGCAGAGCGTCATCAAATTGTACCTGCCGTTGCCGTGGTCCACCAAGTTCCTGGTGTATCTGCAAGTTAAAGGCACACCAGATCCTTCAATTCCAGATTATTTTCTTGGTTTTTGTCGTATTGTAAAGAAGTATTATGAAAGTTCCAGTAATTCTAGAATCTTGTTGAATCTGCCAGAGTTCTTGGTACTTATTTCAACTTTTGTTAACAAAAGGATGTGTGTTGTTTCATTTAATAATAACGTAGATTTGGTGATGTAATTAGGTTGTTTTTTAATTGGGCTGGCGAATTTTTGGCGACGACCTTTTGTTATGAGCCGTGATTTATCGAAATATTTATAATTCGTCGGATTGTTTTTCATATTTATTGAATGAAAAAAAAAGTATTATTTTCGGCCGTGCGGAAGGTCAATGTCGAATTTACGCACATCCGAGAAATGCGCCCGCCAGTGATAACATCAAACGTGATTTACGCAGTTTGCATAGAAATTCCGGGATTATGAGAATGATGTAAAAACGAGAGCGCTTTCTCGATTGTCGGCGTTCCTTTGTGCATCAAACATTTTTGATGGATGCGCGATATTTTCATATACAGAGCGAGTTTCTTTATTGTGCGAAATGGAAACACTTGAATTATTATCTTTGTTGTTTTAATCGTATACATAAGAGGTTTATTAAAGTCCCAATTCAGACGGATTCGAACTCGAAAAACAACAATATTTACCTTCCACTCGGAGTAGATAAGTGAAATAATGCATTCGAAAATAGGTATCGGGAATATATTTTTGTTTCTTTCGATTTTGTTAAATTTTAACGCGTAAAAGACGTATCAACTTTGAACCTTTCGACCTCACGATGACATAAATTTCAACACAAGAAGCTCGACATGTTGTCGTCAACAAAAGAAACTTACTAAATAATACATATAAATAAAAATAAAGTATTTAGCAATATTTTTTAATGACGTTATTTGATGATATTTTCAAATATAAAAATGGCGGATGACTTGTGGTATAACCACCATTTCTTTTACTACCAATACTCAATTTCATCCAAATGAAGAGAGAAAATTCCTTACCGAAATCTATCGAACTTGGCGAATCTTTTCCAATCGGCCGGCGACGATTTGTAAGACTTCATCACATAATGAACTAAATCAACATTAACTTTATCACAAGAAAAAATCACTCGCAGCTCCCTAATCAAATCGTCCAAGCTGTTAACAACGGGCAAATTGTCGCCGATCTCCTTGTAGAACTTCACGTCGTAATCCCCATCGAAATCCTTATGGAACTCGTCGATTTTGCACACCTCCATCGTCTTTAATTCCTTACTGTCCTTCTATTCACCGGAATCGAAAAATTTCTGTAATCGAGCTGCAACTGACCGCTTCGTTATAACAATTTCCTCGCCAATGAGCCTCCATTTGAAAGCTCCGGCAATATTCGCGATAAACTTTTATCGTACGGGTCAATACCGAAAAACTAAAAATAATCGTTGAATTGTACTTGTACGTACGTAGATACGTTTAGTAATAATTGTTGTTTCGAAATTATTCGAGTTTCTCTTGCTGGTGCATCATCCAACTGGCGGGAATGCGACGGCTGGTATTCGGACTAAGTTGATGGGGATAGAGCGATGGGGGGACCAGAATTGTTGGATTTTTAGGGAGGATCTGGTGCGCTTGATGGGATGTGTTTTAAACAAACGGTCGTTGTAAGTATCTGTAAAGGTTGGGGGTTCGTGGAAAGTGTTTATTCGTAGTACAAACCGAAGCAATAAGCAATTCCAAAAACCGAGTTGTTTTCAATCGTGTATGTTGAGTAACGGTCTTTAGAAGAATCCCAAAAAAAAGTGCACATAATATCTAAATCTTGTCGTTTTTTCTCTCCTATTGTCACGATACACACTATTTTATACCTGGAAAATTACACTAATTAAATATTTGCAACTATTACTTTCGATCTAGTTGTCTTTACCTATCAAAATTCAATTCTTTGACTTTAATTCTAATCATCATCGAAGCTAATTTGGCTTGTTTGGCGCACAAATCCGGATCGTACTCGAGATTCTCGACAATCTCCATCATCACTTCCTCCAGGATTTTCTTCACCTTGTCCGGATTGAACGGATTTTTCGATTCCAATTGGTAAGTGTTGGCGTATCTGACGACCTGAAACCGACAAATTCTAGTTAAAAAAATATACATCCCGTCCCTACAAACTTCTTGTTGTTGATTCAACAGCGAATTCGAACTCATCTTGTGCTTGATTTGTCTACATTCCGACGGTTTAATTGTAACTGCGTTCATTTCGAATCCGGATGATCGGAAAACTCTGGTAATTTTCTAATACAATTTCACTTCTTATCGATCAGAATTCGCCGGCGATGTTCGGCATGCGATAGACAGAACCTGGCACAATATTTTTCCGATACCCCAATTTACAAAGTGCTTTTGTAATCGTTAAAAAAATAAGTTCCGGTTTAATTCGGTTGTATTGATCTTTTCCACAGCTCTTTCATTCGTTCCATATAAAAATTCTCCCGACCATAAACGAATAAAAAATTTTTTGGCTAGTTTAATATTAGTTTTATTATTACATTTTTAGAATAATATGTATAATATAGCAGAGGAGTATATAGGTAAAGTTTCAAAGTCCATTTGCTCGCAATTGTCTGTAATTGGCCCTTCCAATTTTCCACCATTAAGTTCTCTACAAATTAAAAGTATTTTATTGTTCAGATTAATTAATTGCATTCAATTGTTATAAGTACTTACAAAGCTGCGCAAGCTGGTTACAATACTTTTTAATAGAGGGAATTCAGTTCCAGATACTCCGAGAAAATCATCTGTATCTATTGCCCATACCATTATACCTGCCAATCCTCCTCTCTGAGCATATCGAACCTAAAAATTTCTCTCAGAATAAAAATATATTAAAGAGTTATAAAAATAACCTTTTCAACAACTGATCTGGAATCGTCGAAACCAACCCATTGGTCCTCTTTGTACAAGTGAGGTACTTTTTGCTCGTCATCCCAGACGTAAGTCCAACCGCCTTCTTTCTTCAATTCTACAATCTACCGAAAAAATTAGACAATATTATTTGTTTTAAATATTTCTGCGTACCTCGTTATATCCAAGGTTTCCGCTCTCGCCTGTGTATTTGCCTCGGTCTCCGGGCCCCGAAGCCGGGGCGCCCAAACTCGCGTTTCTCCGGGAGGAGAGCCTGAAGGTTCTTCCGTAGGTTGGAATTCCGAGTACCAATTTCCCCGGAGCGGCGCCCCGGGCGATCCAGTTGGAGATGGCAGCGTTCTGAAAACCATCAAATTACTCAACTGGAACAATTCCTGAGCCTCACAGCTCAATTTGCTTACGACGTTGAGTTCTCTTTGGGCGCCAGTTTCTCTAGATGAGGGATACAAAGGAGCGTTGTGTCCTGTAACATCATTCCAACTGCCGTGGAAGTCGTAAGCCATTACGTTGATCAAATCCACGTACCTAATAATAATTCATGGATTGAGATAAACAATTTCTTACATTTACGAGTTATTCACTAACTTCGATAGCTTGGGCACGTCATACGAAGTGTTTACAATCGAGGGTGAAGCAGACACAGCTACAGTCAACAATAATCCTCTCGGTTTTAATGCACCATTGAGTTCTTTCAGAAGAGTAATGAAGTTTCGCTGTAACAGTATGAGTTAGGTACTGATAATTTCGCTCGTCTTTACTTCAAGAATATCCGGTGAATTGTTACGTACATAATCGTCCGGAGAGGATCCCTCGCGTTGAGTGGGATATTCCCAGTCGATATCCAGCCCGTCCAGACCGAACTTATCTAAGAGCTCCAAAGAAGTTCTCACGAATCTAGCTCTGGCCGCTGAAGAGGCTGCTACAGCGCCGAAGTTCTTGGAATTATTCCAACCGCCCACGGCGACCAAAACCTTGAGGTTTCTGTTCGACCGTTTGAGATCCACGCAATTTTTCAGGTTCTCTAATAGATTGATTAGTAGTATATCGTTGAGTGTTAGGGATAATTAGACTTACTTTCTTCAACGTCTAACCTTTCGTCCAGATGGTAAATCCTACCGTCCGATTGAACACCGAGGAAACTGTAGATTAAATGGGTGCACAATTTTGGATTGATATTAGCTGGAGCGAACTTTCCATTGCCTCGTCTGTAGTAAGCCCAACTTCCATAATAACACACGACATTGGCTGAATAAACAACGTAATTGTATAAAGAATAGACACACAGTAATTCTTTATACAAATTCAACGAAAAATTTCAAATATTATTACTTTTACAAAAGAAGAATGACATAAAAATAACAGTCCTAATTTCTAACAGTGTTTGTAAATAGCTTCTACTTACCCTTCGACTCCATTATTCTCAGGGAACAATTACAGTTGTGGTACTATTTACACACAGAAACTAATTTCGAAAATCAACGCCTTGTACTTGCCTGTTCAATGCACAATTACAATTGCACCAAGCAAATTATTGTATCGTGTTCGAGGGTTTTACAGAATTGGCTTATCTCGTTATGACTAATGATACTATTCGCAAATGTTGACTTAATATTTAATAATAGTTTACAATAATTCTACGAATTTCTCCAAGAAGTAAATAGTAATGATAAATGATAATGCATTAATATATTTATTTTCCCAAATGCTCATGAACGGTGCGAAGTAACGCCTGTTTCTGTCCACAATCGCCCGCGACATCGTCCAAACCGATTTGCCAGATCATTATTCCTCCAACATTTTGCGACACGATGTATTTGGTCTGCGAAAACAGCACACAAGATGCAATTAATATACAGATAACAGCGAGTTAATTCAGAGAATCGACTACACTAACCTTCTCTCGAATGGACCGTTGGTTTTCGAAACTTAACCACTGCTTGCCTTGGTACATGTATGGCACTTTTTGCTCATCGTCCCACACGTAGGTGTAATTCCTGAAGCCTGTACAAACCTGAAAGTTAGCAACGCCGCGTTTCACTTTCTATTACTCGCGAAAAAACCGTCGTAATTTACTGTTTTGTATGATGGAGTCGCCGGGTGGCCCCCGCCCGATATGGGCGAGTGCACCCCGTGCTCGGAGGCATCCACCAGAGCGAACGTTCGCCCGTAAAACGGTATGCCCACGTTGATTTTCTCCTTGGAAAGCCCGGCGTCCAGCCAGTGCCTGAGCGAGGCCTCGATGTTCAGCCGGCCCCTTTCGTAGCTGCTGTCCAGCGAGGAGGCGAACAGGGGCGAATCGTGGCCGGTGTGCGAGCTCCACGGCCCGTAGTAGTTGTAGCACATTATGTGCACCATATGGGCATACCCGAAAAATTACAGGAAAACATTAGATTTGAATGTACCCCGTTTTTTTTAGTAACACTTACTTCTCTATCTCCGCGACGTTGTAACCGTCGCTGGGGTAAGGGTAAACAGCGGTGGTTAACAGCCAGTTTTCCTCGTCCAAAGCGCTTCTTAAATCCTTCAGCATGAGCACGAAATTGTCCTGGAAATGGACAGTTCGGGAGAGATTTCATGAAGGAGATTCGAACTCACCGAATCGGATCGGCCGGGGAGTTCCCAATCGATGTCTAATCCGTCGAAGCCGTACGATTTGCAAAAATTCACGGCGCTTTTCGCCAGATTTTCCCTTGTCGTTTCGTTGGCTGCGACGCTGGCGAATAAATGTTTATCGCCGGCCACGCTGAGCAGGATCTTCAGCTCGGGATTGGCCGTTTTGAGGTTCGCTACTCGTTTGTACATTTCTATAATGTGAATGTTTGTACGGGAGAATGCTAAACTAAATCTAGCGGAAGGTAATTTTAGATGAATCTTCTGTGATATTCTAATTTGTGAAGAAGAATTTTGTCTTTTAAATTGAATTTAGTTGCTTCGAATTTTCACCGTTCAAGGTAGGCTTGTTACGCCTCGTTTTGAAAGGCGTTTTTGGAAAGGTTTTTGTACAGAGAAAATGGATTTATTCATTGCATGTTGTGTACCCAATTTACCTTCATCTATATCAATTTTTCTGTTGTATTCTAAGTACCCGCTGGCGTTCAAATTGGCGAAGGCGTACAATATGTGTGTACAAAGATTGGCGTCCAATTGTTCCGGAGGAGCTAAGGACACTCCGTAACTATTTACGTAGTAGCAAATTACATTGGCTGTAAAAAAAGATTTGCAGCTGTTCAAATCGAGTGATGACCGACTGTTGTTAAAAATTTCGTAATTTATTTACGAATCTTCGACGATAAGCGGTATCGAATTAATAGCCCGGGAATTTTATGCTTATGATTTATTGTGGAAATTTTAATAACAACTATCGTGCAAAAAACCCTGCTTATTTCATAAATATATAATGTAAATAATATAGTCGTGTTATCGGAGCATTGTTGAATAATTATATTCGTTATTTACACAGTATTTTTTTGAGATAAATTGATGAAGATGCTAGATAAAATTTCTTAAACAAAATCCCTTTATTATCTATACAAATAATAGTGTCTTCAAAAAATATCCGCACGTAAAAATTATAATTTTAAAAAGCAAAAGTAATTTGAAATTTTAATTATTCGCTTACGTATAAATAAGTATTTTACAATGTAAATATATAACATTTCAAGCAGGTAATTTACCGATATCAGTATCACTAACCAACTAAATAATTTAATTAATAGCTAAATAATGTAAAAAACTCACTCGATTTGTTATGTTGAGCGTGACCAATACCAGCGTATACAATGCAAATAACGAAGAACAGGAGCATCATCATCGTGATCATGGAACTAATGACAATACGAAGTAGCATAATTCATTTAAATACGCACCGGATGGGGAAGTACCTTCTATATCTTTTCAACAGCGCTAGCGTTAGGAAATCGATCGACAATTTTTCAAACCGTTCAAAAAAATTCTTGTTATTTAACTTATTCCCTACGCACTCCGGTCCGCGTAATAACTCGCTTTATCGAATCCGTTATCTCTACAAGTTTTTTCACTTACCTTCAAGAATTCGCCCACTTCAATTCAATTTAAACCCACAAATTACCCGACAACAACGCAATTATACAAAAAAAAAGGAGGAATAACCATAGAATCGAAACGCAAACACCTTCTAATACTCATTTATTTAAATCTAAACTAAACCAATCTACAAACCCGATAAGCGCGAATTCATTAAAAAAACCCCCCGTTCGCTCAGCAGTCGAGCACCTGCTCCTTGTAATTGCAGGCCTGGTACTTTGTATCGAAGTACAATCCGCCGGGGCACGAGAGGGCCGTGGCCACGAAGCGCCCGTTGTCGCTGCTGCAAATGTAGAATTTGCTGCAGTCCTTCGGGTCCCGGACCGATCCGGTCGACGTGCATACTCCCGAAGAAGGCGCCGAAGGCGTCACCGTCGGCGGTTTCGACGATTCCCCACCGGCCCCGGAAGGAGTCACCGTGGTGGGATCGTCGCCGGCTGGAACTTTGCGGTCCTACGAAGCAGATCATATTATAGCATGTGAAGAATTTTGAGGAGGAACGTGGAAGTTTAAAAGGACCTGGGAAGGAAGCTGAGACCTTACAAAATGAGCTGAGAAGGAATGGAAGATCTTAGAATGACCTGAGAGGGATACTGATACCTTAAGAAGGATTCGAAAAGGATTCTAATACTTTTGGAAGATTCCGAGAAAGATTACACTTACTAATTGTTTGGAAATGGCGGTGAGCAGGGGGTTTTTGATTCCGGATAATCCATGGTGATCGTCGGTTTCAAGCGCCCACACCATTACACCTCCAAGGTTCTTCTCCTGCGCGTATTTAACCTAGAATTTGTTGTGAATTAGAACAAGCTCGGGCATTATATGGAAAAAAACATTACTTTAGTAGTAACGGCTTCGACGTCGTCGAAACCAACCCATTGGAGCCCTTTGTACATGTGAGGTACTTTCTGTTCGTCGTCCCACACGTAAGTCCAACCGCCTTCTTGCCTCAATTCCACGATCTACCAACAAAAATAATATACATAAGAGGATAATTGTTATAATTGTAATTATGCTCACTTCGTTGTATCCGAGAAATCCGCTTTCCCCGGTGTATTTGCCTTGGTCGCCGGGGCCCGAAGCCGGGGCTCCCAACGAAACGTCGCTGGTGGAGGCGAGCCTGAAGGCTCTGCCGTAGGTCGGGATGCCGAGCACCAGTTTCTCCGGAGCGGCGCCTTGGGCGAGCCAGTTGGAGATGGCGGCGTCCTGAAAATCATCAAACCATATACTCAATCTACGCAGGAAACGATTCCCGAGCTTCGGCATTTCGAACAGCTCAATTTACTTACGACGTTGAGTTCCCTTTGGGCGCCGGTTTCTTTGGACGACGCGTACAAAGGAGCGTTGTGTCCGGTTACTTTATTCCAAGCGCCGTTCAAATCGTAGGCCATCACGTTGATCAAATCCACGTACCTATAGGTAATTAATTGGAGATTAATTAACAATTTGTTGGGCATATTAACGAGTTATTCACTCACTTCGATACTTTGGGTACATCGTAAGAGGAATTTACGGACGAAGGTGAGGCAGACACGGCGATGGTCAACAGGAGTCCTCTCTTCTCGAATTCCTCTTTGAATTCTTTGAGGAGTGTAATGAAGTTTTGCTGGAACATTTCGGATAGATCGTTACCGATACATGTTTGGTGTTTTGCGTGGTACATACGTAATCGGCTGGTGAGGATCCGTCGCGTTTGGTGGGGTATTCCCAGTCGAAATCGAGCCCATCCAGACCGAACCTTTCGATGAGCTCCAAGGAAGTCTTCAGGAACCTAGCCCTGGCGGCCGGAGATGCGGCCACAGCTCCGAAGTTCTTGGAGTGGTTCCAGCCGCCCAAGGCGACCAAAACCTTCAAGTTCTTGTTCTTGTTTCTGAGAGCGACGAATTTTTCCAGATTCCCTGATGCAAATGGCTATGTTATTTTCATTAAAATAGTAGTTTCTCTGTAGTTTCCCCGCTGTTATAAGATCAAGGTTTCCAACGATCCTGTTGTGTCTAGATATTGCTTATACTAGTCGTATGTACTTACCCCCTTCCAAGTCTAACCAATCTTCGATATGATAAATGGTTCCGTCGGCTTTAAGTCCAAGGAAACTGTAGATGATGTGCGTGCAAAGGTTGGGGTCGATGTTTTCCGGCGTGTATTTCCCATTTCCGTTCTTGTAGGAGTACCAGTTGCCGTGGTAACATACAACGTGGGCTGGACGATGGAAAAATTAATACAGTATATTAGAAAGAAAAATGTCTGTACTTACACGTCGACGCGGCGGATGAATAACTTTCGGATAAAACGAAAGCGAGCAGAAAAGCCGCTAGAACTTTTCCAATCATTTTGGAGGACTTGTTCTCTGGAAGAGTGCGAATAATTGAGATGCTTTTGTGCGGACTGGTGTGGTTCTATTTACCTGCTGATTTACTGGTACAGTCGCGAAACTGTATTACATGCCGGTACCTTCGCATCGGTTTTATTTATATGAAAGTGCCCTAATCTCATGTTAAATAAATAATAAAAAAACGTCACTAACGATAGCGGGAAGTTCGTTAATTCGATTATTAATGGCGAGACCAGAAATTTGGTAGGTAATACCAGCTATAAGGGAGATTAAACAATAAATAAATATCAACAAGCATGTTGGCGATTTATGGTTGATTTTTGTCTCTAATTCGATTTTATGACTGCTCATAAAGCGACACGTTGGATTAAAGTAATTAATTTTATTAATAAAGATGCTCGGATATATTACAAATCATTTAAAACAAATAAACAAAATTTATTAGCACAATATATTTATTTTATTGTAGGTGCTTGCTAAAAAATGTTAACGTTGTCGTTGTAAAATATTTCTCGGAAAACTCGGATTCTATTTGCTCTAATTTTTTTGTTAATCTCTTTTCCTGCCTATCTTGTAAATTTCACCGGAAACTATGCATTAAAAAATGATAATATCTGTATCTAATAGCCTCGTCCTTTTCCGATATTTTCTCGATTTTTTGGAAATTTTGCAACGTATATAAATAAATCATTATATTTTTTAATCGGCCCTTCCGTGACATGTCTAAATGACAGTAGTATAACAAGAAAATTTTCAGTGAAGAGTATTTCCAACATTTCGAAAAAAAGATCAGAAAATGCCGCCACCGCCAAGAACAAAAGACCAGAGAAGGGTAAGTATATTCAATCGTACAACTATTTTATAGCATTTCGCTTTTCTCAACAAAAAAGTACACATTTATAGCTCTATTAAATTGGCTATAACTAAGCTAGAGACATGAAAATTTCAACAGGCATAGCTTCATGTCTTGTCTCAGGTTCCACCAAATTACAACATCCCCACTCAACCCCAAGTGGTCGAACCACCCCTTCGAATGAGACCATGTTCAAAAATCCTTCGGGGTACCCAAATAATATTTTTTTTTAAGCCATCATGAAAACCTTAAAGATCTTTTATCACTAAATCCTGAAAAAATTATACCGATCGGGCAACACTACCTCCATTTGCCACAACATAAACCTCATGCTGCCACTACAAACTCGCTCCTACGTCATAGTGGTTAAAAGTGTTGCCAACACAAGACGTGTTGATGACATCACAAAACTTAATTGTCACGCAACATTTTCGAAATCACCACGTCTACGATACGTCAAATACTTGTCAGTCGCCGTGTCAAAATTAACATGAAGTGAATATGTTGTAATTGCGTTGACGATCCAGCGAAATGCCTAGAAGAGGTAGAAGCCATGTCATATACAGAGCACCATTAATATTGGGAGCTGAGGTACATAGTTTATTGAACGATTTTCTTCAGATTTTTATATCTTATGTATGAAAAAACATCTCGGGGGAAGACCAGAATTAAGTGTTTGAAAATGGCTGATTTTGGTTAAAAATACGGCGTTTTAATTAATTCTTCAATTATTTGTAATTCTTTTTTACAGAGATGGCAAATACCGAAATATAAATACGTGGGGAACCCCCAGTTGCCAACTTGGGGCCACGTGACGTCGCACTTTGGACCGGTCGTACCTCCTTGTATACCGAGTTATGTGCCTGTGCCCGTTTATTCTCCGGCCATTATGAGCGGTTTCTCCACGACGTATTGTCCCCCTTGTCCTCAACCGTGTCCTCAACCCTGCGGTCGAAAGCATCCGGTATATTTTCAACGCATCAATTAATTTACATTGCTAAAATCTACTTTCTTTATTTTTCAGTGTATTTTAGATTAATTAAATTAAAGTCTTTCCGTTAGCGACGAATCACTTACCTTAAGGTCGAGATCGCATTATTCACAATAGCAACTGTGTAAGAGGCCGCCTGGGTTTCACAGCCATAAGTTTGGTAATATACAAGAGTTTTTTTTGTAGGTTTGTTCAACTACATCGAGAACGTGTGGCGCAAAAGAAATCATACATTAAAAATGTAATGTTGGAAAATGTTTTATTTTTGGAAAAATACAATTTTATTTGATTTTCATCAATTCTGTTACTCTTGTTTTGGCCTTTCTCTTCTTCCTTTAAAAGTCTCAGCCGCTACAGTTATTCAACGTACCGCTCTGTCGTGAAGATAGCAACAACCCCTGACTAATGTCAAAAGTCATAAATGTCATTTCCTTAAAAAAATTGAGGTTATGTTGTTTGTTTCGTTTATGAACGTACAAAACATACACAAGTTACTTTTTATTATGTTATAATGTGTGATTCCTTTAAAAAAAGTTTAGTATTTTATACTTTTTACCACGCGTAATGAATTTTATACTATAATGAGCTCCGATTCCAAGAGAGCGTCTGGTTTATTCGGCAACCATTCTTCAAATGATTTTAAAGCTGTTAAGGTTAAAATTAAAAGGGCTAACATGGACAATCCTCTCGATTTAATTCTGCCGAACCACATTGAAAGGGACATTGTAGATCCTCGAGATATCGTGCCTTTGGTCAATTCAAATCGGGGTAAGCTTTATGAGGAATAAAATAAAGAAGAAATTTAACGAAACTAATCGCTTTTTGCGTTCCTTTACGCTTGCAGGTTTCAACAAAGGTGAGTCGATATTCGATAGGAGCGACATTATTGTAAATCAAACGTTCGATGAACCTCCGAATACAATAAACCCCGCGAAACAACCACAACCTGGGAACACAACATCCCGTTCATCAGAACGAATATTACGGAGATCAAGCGACAGGTCGAGAAGCAGGAGTCATCACAGGCACTCGCCTAGACACGGCACCTCGTACAGATCCAGGAGCCCCCATCGAAGGGAACCCTCGCCCCGAAGGAGACGAAGCGATTCGGCGAGAAGAAGCAGAAGCAGAGGTCGCAGGAGAAGCAGAAGTAGGAGCCGTAGAAGAAGCAAAGAAAGGCGAAGAAGTCGCAGTTCACTAGACAGGGAACGAAGTCGTAGCAGACACTCTGACCGTTCGGGTTACTATAAAAGTGAGTTCTAAGTCGCTCGTGAATGTATTTATTTCGTTTTTTTTTTTTCTTACGCGCCTTGCAGGGTACTCTCCGACTACGAGTAGAATCGAACATAGGTATGGCAGTAGGGAGAGGCGCTATAGAAGTCGATCTCCCGATCCGTACGAGAGACCGTCCACTTCGAAGGGCAGCCCGAAGAGACAGAGATTCATCGTCAAAAGATTGAGATCGGTTTCGAAAGAACGGAGGTTTGTTAGAAAGGAATTATACAGGCCATTGCAGCCTGGTGAATATATACCGAATCATCCCGACTTGAAGAAGAAATCCGCCGAGCTGGTTGAAAGGAGGTACATTTTTTGTTTATATACCTTTTTCTAAATCGCTATAATTCTATCGGTTTTCGTTTTAAGAAGCGCTAAAACTACCAGAGGCAGGAGTAGGAGCAGGAGTAGAAGTAGACATAGATCGCATTCACCGGAATGTCCTCATAACAGTAGATACGCCGGACCGCGACCTACATACGAGGTACGAATACAAGCATCTCCGTATTTTCCTTTAAACTCCGCCAATTGGTTTTTAGGAGATGTATTGGGCGCCCCCGCTCCGACCGGGGTTTCCCATGCCGCACTTTTACCAGCCGGCGTTTTACCCCCGGATGCCGCCGGGGCCTATGGTGTACCCGCCTCGTTACCCCATAATCAATCCCTTTAGATCGAAGTATCCGGTTTACAACAGCGGAGCAATAAGGCCGAAGGTTGCAGAAGAAAGCGGCTCTACGGTAGAGGCCGATAAGACTGTGGTTACAACGGAAGCAGCGAAGCCGGCCGAGAAGGATTCGTCGGAAAATCAAACGGCGACTTCTGTAAATAAATCGTAAACAATATAGATAGGTTTATTTTTAACGAGTGCCAGTTATAAACGCTCCTTTTCGAATGTTAGTTAAGTATTTCTTTCTGCAATCCATGTCGTCGCAGGGGCGATTGAACGGGGTCCACACCGGCTCGCCGATGAAGAATCGCTTGGCTTTGATGAAATTGTTGCTGTCCAACGTGAATCTGTGGTAAATGCCGCTGGGCAAGATGAGCAAATCGCCCGGCGTGACTTCGATCCTTATCCACTGGTCGCGCTCGTCTCTCACATCGAAATATCCCGATCCTTCCACGACCAATCTGTAATGCGAGCGGTAAGTAAAAGGATCAGTGGTTAGATCAATAGGAGTACCTGATTTCTTCGTCGGTGTGCAAATGTTCCGTGTAGAAAATTTTCAGTTTGTCTTCGTAGTTCGGGAGGCACTCTTTCGAGCACACCAATTCGTCCTCGTAATTGTAGCCTCTCTGTGTTTTGATGGCTTCCAGTTTTCCATCGGTTTGTAAGGTTTTGGTGTCGAGCTGGAAGTATTCGACTCCCGTTAGTTTTAGTAGGTCGTCCAGTCCGATGAATTCCGGAGGGGTTTTGTGGTGCTCCAGGCGCTGGTCCGCCGTTGTGTCGTCGTCCATGTACCAAGCTCTTACCATTTTCAATCGATTATTGTTTGTTCGAAGAAATGATTCTTCTCGAATTAACGCTGAAAACGCTATCGGTAAATGTTATCAAGGTTAAATAAATGTTATCGTTAATGAGATGATTGTGAATGAAATTTACAGCTCAGGAATGCCTACTAGCGGTCGAATTAATAAGCTGTGTATGTACGAAAAGTTGTGTATTTTTTTGGCAAATAATTACTTAAGGGCTTCAGGAGCTCTAAATATGTAATGTGGTACAAAAAAAAAGAAAATGCGCAATAAAATAAGCCTGTAATTTGCCATTAATTAAAATAAACATTGTGCACATCTATTTATATATTGAGTAAATATAAACAATCAAAATCCACTTATCTACTCGTATATATTGGCTAATCAGTCCATGTAAATCACAAAACATAAATATTAATATGGAATGATTATTTTGTGTTCGTGTGGAATTAATCAATCATTCTTAAAATTAATAATCCATAAATGAGGTATCGTTCGCAAATAAAATGTATATCATGTAAAATAAAAACACCAGGAACACCAGGCCTACGCAAAGCATAAACGTCGATTTGTTGTGGATTTCTAAATGATCCAATTGAGCTTCGTGCGTTTCCAATAGTTTTCTCGCTTCTATTAGTTCTTGTTTAATTGCATTTTTCTTTTTCTCCGGAATCGATTCGGAGTTCAACTTATCCTCCAACGCCTCGATGCGTTTGCTTGTATCCTCTATAGCGCGCGAAGTAAGTTGAATCTAAAATGATATTTAGATTCAAGATACAGCGATATAATTTTAGTTAATAGGATATTTCATTAAAAAATTCACAGTGGCGAACTTTTTGTAATAAAAAGTGGTTGTACAGCCACTTCTATAATGTACCTCTTTCATGATTGAATACTTTTTCGCAGACATTTTTCGATTAGTGCCTTTACAGATTTGTTAAATTCGCAATAAATTGAAGAAGTTTTATTATTGATTTTTCTGGGGTGAATTTGAATATTTACATACAAAACATACCAGGCAACGTCACTATTGTAACTGTCAACTGTCAAATATACGTCAAGTTGCTGAATAACCAAATAATAAGTAACTTATGGTAAATGTCAAAGTGGAAAGAAAAAGAAGAATTTATAAGGTTATGGTATTTTCATTTATAACAGACGCCGACCTAACGTTATTAATATTTTTTAAACAGATACTGATAATTTCTCAACTAAAATGAAACTAGTAAGGTAAGCACGTCGAGCGCCATCCCGATATAAACTCCTTACCTCTTTATTCGAGACCATAGAACATAACCTCCAACGCGTTGTTATTATATTTCAGGTTTCTGATGAAGTTGAGCCATGAAACGGTCACAATGGAGCTCAAAAACGGTACACAAGTACACGGCACGATCACAGGCGTAGACGTAGCGATGAATACGCATTTAAAAGCCGTTAAGGTAACTGTCAAGAACCGAAATCCAGTCACATTAGATACACTCACAGTCAGAGGCAACAACATAAGATATTACATCCTACCAGACAGTCTGCCCTTAGAGACTCTCCTCATCGACGACACTCCCAAAGCCAAAGCGAAAAAGAAGGAGTCCGCAAGAGGCGCCGCCAGAGGTAGAGGAAGAGGCAGAGGCCGCGGTGGCCCCCGAGGCAGGGGCAGAGGAAGAGGACGCAGATAGATTATCTACTAACTATTTTGTATTTTTTTTTTCTAAGAACTCTAGAAGTAACGTTTAATTTTCTTTCCGATCAAGTTTGCCGTACGTTGTACGATGTCTTGTATCCTTCAGGTATTTGATTAATAAAAGTGTCACTCGATACAACATGAGTCGTTTGTTTGTAAAGAAATCACGTTGGCTGATTATGATGAATTTTTTTACTTGTATTTCAGGTCATGTAATAATTGAGAATTTATGTAAACATCTACTATAAAAATGATTAATTGAGTTACTCACAGAAAACATATTCTTGTTAGTAAAAAAAATTATTAATTTTATGAATGTTTAAAAAGAGGTGTCACCCTGTATAGAGCCCTTTGGCTACGCCGCTGGTGACAATGGGACGTTTCGCGAACGCGTTGTGCGCCTGCGCAACCTCAACTGGTGCGTTTAGCTGGCTGAGCTCTGGCGTAAACATGGCGAATATCGGGCAAATTGTGAGGTTTTAATAAAAATAAATAAATGTCCTGGTGTTGCGGATCGCGAAAGACATAAGTTACGAGACTGTCGGTGAAATAATGTGAGTGGAAAATCCGGTTCAGGGCGCGCTTTCTATCCAGGAGGCTCTGTAAATTAGGTTTGACGTTTAATTTGTCATGATATTTACCTTTTTAATTTTTGTCGGAAGGGCGCTTTGATTTTGATTGAATCATTATCGAGTGTTCGGGTACTGCTTCTTGCCTATTTCTACACCTTATATACCTACCATTTACTGTAAAATTCGATTATTATGGTATATTCTAGCTCTAAATCAAAATGTCAAAATATTTTAGGTTAAGTTTTGCATAAAGTTATCGGTTTTTACTATGTACTTTCCAGGACTATTTATTTAACATAGTTAGAATTAGTTAGGTAATTTAGTGTCCTGCAAAATTCAACAAGGAAGAATGACCAGAACACGCGGAAGGCTCTTGAATTCATCGCACAATCCGCACCAGCATTACCCTAAAAGGTGAGTGTTTATTTTTATCTCGCAATTAATTCAATCGCATCCTGGCTAGTTAATATTAAATTTAATTTTAATAACCAGCTCAAAGGACCCAGATAATTAATTTCGTATTTATTTTCGTATCTACTTTGCATTTGGCAAATGCACAAAAATCGCTAATGTTGATCGATTGTAATAACAGATGGCACTCGCTGTTTTAATGGGATTTATCGGAAATTCCCAGGGTAACTCGCGCTAATCAACCTTAGGGCTGTAATTACAGGGTGTCGCTAAATAGATTTATTCATCCCCGAGGTAAATTGTACCAAATCAAAGCTGTTATTATGCTTTCGAACTTCTACACCTTAGTTTCACTGAAATACTATTTTTCATTTAGTAATTCTTATTGAAATAAAATTTTCATGAAGTAACGTAATAATTGGTGGTATGTAGAAAAATTTCGCGAATGAACATTTAAATGTAGATAAGCTTTGTTTATATACGGATAATAATACAGCTACGAGTAACTGCATACAAAGTAGCTAATTTCTAAACAAACCAGTTTCATTCTGTGAAGCATTGTATTATTGGCTTGCAATCAAAATATATGCAAGCGGAAACCTATCCAAAAAATTCTCTCTGAAACACTTATCGAGTAGAAATTCGTATCTGATTACTCAGCGATTTTTTAGCTGAATACCGGCCGGAATGGAGGCCAGGACCTATTTCGAAATGCTCACTTTCTCCCAACGACATTCCCAAAGGACAGGGTGGAATAGTCCGAATGACTGGCTTAAGTGCTGCTTTACAATTGAGGTCCTAATGCTAAAAAGCTGTTATGGGAATTTTTTTTTGTAGGTGAATTGCAATTTTATATCTTCGTGAATATCCAGGAAAATGGTGTATTAAAAAAATTGTTGTTTTTGTAATTATACAATCTATTGAAGAAAGCTTACGGTACCAAGTTTTCCATTTGAATGTTTTGCAAACGATAATGCTTTCTCGAAAAAGCCGGGCAAGTTTAAATATCCAATTTATATTTTCATATTTCCCGAGGCTGCACGTTGGCGTCGACGAATAAAATCAATACGGAATGCAGATTGTATTTGTGTGATAAAAGAATATTGCAATAATCTTTCTCTCGTATAACGGGAAAAGTTCGGGGTGTTTTTTTTATGGATGATGCGTCTGTTGAAGCGTAATGATTCCCTTCTTTAATTCTATAAATTGGCATAACGTGATTACACCGATCACGAAACTTATTTCTTACGAAAAAGAGGATTTTTATCTCCCGAATAAATAATAAATTCGAAACGAAGACGGCTCGTCATCATGCGATGTTGCGTTTGATACGAGGAATAGGAATGCTAGATCATAAAAATAAACGTTTTCATCTAGAACGTTGCGATTACCGCGGTCGTAGAGAATTATTCTTGCAGCAGTAAAGTGCAACAAAGTTGCAAACGATGTTCAGGAGAGGGCAAATTGTTCCACACACAAGCACCCTTTAAATGCCTCAAATATACCACTAACATGGTAATATGTAAATTTCTACTGTTTAATTAATAGATGTAGACTTCTAGAACTTTCGAAATTGACATTTATGACATTTCTAATGACAGAAGTTTAATAGAGGTGGGAATTGTTTGGTATAGAGGTGCAGTAATGACTGTTACAAAATAAGTGTTATTTTTTAAATATTGTTCTTCTGACTACTCTGGTATATTCTAGAATTAATAGAAATTAATTTAATATCCATTTTCAGGTGCTCACTTTGTTATTTTTCGGTGTTAAATTCCTGTAAAGGCATTAAGGGTAAAGTGCGACCCAAAAAAGGATTATTATTTTAACATGGTAAAATGTAAATTTTGTAGTGTTAATTAATAGATCTCGTGGACTTTTAGAACTACTAACGTAATTTAGCTATAATTAAACATTCGTTGGCGAAACTAGGCGGTGTAAAAGGGTATAAACATTCCCTTCCCTCTGCCGTTTCCTCTCCCTTCGCTAATTACGATTCGAACAATCGTCGGCGATGCATTATTTTCCCCGGACCCGGACGTTTTTTCACACAAGATCGCTCACACGTTCATAAATTCTCCTGCAAAACTAGCAGTCCGTGAGGGATATTGGTGAACCGGTAACGATTGATCCGCAACGTTAAACCATCTCGAGTAAAATAGAGCCGGGTTTTTTTTTGCATGCATCGTTACCAAAGCGAATTGGAGACACGAATTTACCTATCAAATACCATCAGGTATTAGTCCATTACTGCAGTAGCAGGTAATTTGTAAAAAAAAGGTTTTTGCGTTTGAAAGAACCGGCTTATCGACCAATCAATCAAGGAGTATCTAAGTATAGCCGGTTCGTCCTGGTTTCTTTTTTATTATGTCGCAAAACGTCGCTAAAAGGTCGCCATTACGGCCTAACCCGTCGGTTATTTTCGACCGTTCGCTTCCTTTTACTCGTACACTAATGATTCGCTGATGGACAATAAAGTTTTTGCCTTCGTTTCTCTCCGTTTCGCAGCCAAGATTTCCGTACTAATTACTTACGTACCGAACGATTTATATCGGGTCTTCGGGGCGCTTCCTGCAAGCCCATGCCAGTCTTTATCTAATCTTCGCCGGCGTTTATTTGTTCCCATTAGCGCATCAATTCATTAGGTCCGGACGAGCCGTTTGTTTTCCAGTTTTGTTTTCCTAATCGTAATCGCTCATTTGCTATTCAAACGGCTGGGAGGGATCGAAATCGAAAATCAGTGTTTCGGGGTCTGGGCGGGCTCGCCTTTTCATTATCTCTTTATGACGGATTCGGGGCCCATTCTTCTGCTGTTTACTCCGTCGGAAATTTATTAATTACAAAACGGACGGGATCGGGGAAATATTTACGAGATCTTGGCGTGTTTATGATACGTCTAAATGGAGTAAATTGTTATGTTTATGTACTGGATTTCGTGTGTAAGTTTGTTTGTTCAGCTTCCGAAATGAGCATATGATATGCGATCGTCAGAGTTAAAAAGTTAACTTTATTGCCATAAAAAAAAGATGTTTTTTAAACTCGAGTAATCTCTACTGTAAATATGAGCGCATAGGTGTAATTTAGTTACTCTGATTTGTTTATTGAATGTGTTTGATTTAAAACAAATTTTAAAATTGTGATGAAACTAACGATATGCTGTGGTATAACTTTTAATATTCTTATCAAGAAATTGTGAAATAGGTATAATGGTGATTTTTTATATAAATAAATATTTACATTTCCTAATACATACATGCAACCCCGTCACTATTTTCGTTTCGAATACACCAAAATAAACATAACGTTGAGCGCATTTTCCTTTGAGCCGGCACTAAATTCAAAAGGGAAGGTATTTTCCTTTCATTTTTACATCTGCAGTGTTTGCAGCCCGGTAAATTCCAACAAGGAAAACGTTTTTACAGTTTGATGTACACAAAGGCTATAAATAATATACCCAAAGCGCTTAAGTTTTATGCATATAAAAAAGCGCCGCGAACGTTAGAAAATAACGCGCCTTCGGGAAAACGACAAGGAAAACCCCATTTTCCGGCGATGGAATTCAATTATCGGCTTTTGTAGAGGATTTCCGGAAAAACACGACACCCGGAATAAGTCCATAAAACCCGTTTAACGGACCCCCCATCAGGGCGTAAGAAAAAAACGCTCATTCGAGCCGATTTGATATTGTATCGCAATTAATAATAAAACCACCTTAAAAAGTAAACGAAAACTTTTTTTTTAAATATAGGGTGTCAATTAATTGAATGCCGATACTTCAGGATGTGAATGTTTGGTATAAAAATCTCTGGAGTAATACAAAAATTGTGATAGAAAAGTTATTTTTTTCTAAAACTGTAACGCCATGTAGCATTAAAACTAAGAGGTTTAGGACGTACATTGATCTAAACTTTTCTTCTTAAAATCATCCAACTATTCATATCGTGAAGTATCGGCATTCAATTAATTAACACCCTGTATATATTTCAATGTAAAATTAGGTCGAATTCGACGCAAAATTCGCATATCCCGGGGCGATTCGGCGTGTCGCTTGTATTTACAAATTTTTAGGCGAAATGCGACGGCTTCGAAGGCGAATCGCCCGGCGTTTTTTTCTATCTAATAAATTAGGGGCGTTTTTTGATAGATGACGCAATTTCGTGTCGGCGTATTATGCGAAATTTATAGTGGAAAAGATTATGCGAAACTCCGGGATGCGGCCGAAGGACGCCGCGTTATTTTTAGATCCCTTTTCAATGGGCTGGTTTTTTTTTTTTTATTTCGTCGTCGCGAATTACAGTAATACGAGGGCATTTCGCAGATTCGATCGATGAGACTGAAAAGTCGGCGTGTTTGCTCAAAACGGAATTAAATATTATATTTAGAGACCGTTCGGTTTTATTTCCCGTCGGAAATGCATTCGGAGATATGAAAAAGTCGAGCTAAATGCTCGTTCCTTCAATTTAAAAGGAATAAATAGATCTGGAAATATGAGATAGTAGAGGAAAAAGTCATCAGAAATATCTACAAAAAGTTGCAAAAAAAAATAATTAGCATACTCATCGCTTGAGATG